CCTAGGGATTGAACGATCCCTTTTCCCTTTTTCCCTGATTCTGGAAAATCAGGGATTTTGAGAAACACTAATGAAAATCCTTCTCAGAATTTATTAAATTTTCAATTTATCTTAATATTGAATTCAACATTCCTATGTACTTATATTTGATGAAGAATGTTTAACCTTTTTTGTGTAGGACGACCTGAACCAGTAGTTCAATGGTTTAGTGGATCTACGCCAATTCCAACTGGTGGAGGAGTATCTATGGGTAGACACGTAACTGTCAATCGACTTGAAATCCAACATGTCAAACGTGATGCACTCAACAACACTTACGTGTGCCAAGCATCGAATACAAAGCTCGTTCCGCCGGCGGAACGGACAGTAAGGGTCGAAATGTTATGTGAGTAAAAACAGATAATTCAACGATCGAAGTTCAAAAACTCATAAATTTTCTTCAGAATTTAACCAGAATCACCATTCAGAAAATTGCACACATAATCACAATGAAAAATATTTCCCATCCATAACCTCTCATCCTCTAACATATTTGAGAACTATGCAAACTATTTCTACTCTTTTTCATTTCACCCAACCCGCTTCTCTTTACAAACTCAACTCGACTCAACTCAACCAACAGTAAGGCCGATATCAACAAGTATAGTTCATAAACCGAAACAGTTGGCGACGGAAAGCCAGATAACTTTATCGTGTGAAGTTGAGGGCTCAGTTCCCGATACCGACATCAAATGGACCCAGAATAATCGAGTTTTTGAACGTGGAAGTGTAAGTTCCAAAGATGTTGCTGTGGTGATCAGTGGAATAGAAATTTTTTCCCCTTTATTTACTCTACGATGTGATGCCAAACCCAAGAGCAATTAATTTTTTTTAATCTAAAAAGTTTTCTTCTTTTTTTTTGATATTTCAACCAGAAAAAAAGTGGAGAATTTTCTCTGTTCTAGAGTTGCTTTGAAGCTGCGGGTGAAAGCAATTGTTGGGAAAAAAAGAGATAATTGTCGATAAAGAAAAAAAGCGAACCTGTTATGTCAGAATTAGATCGCTGGCAATTAACATTTTAAAATTATAATTAAAAAATATTTCTACGCAAAATTTATAATCATTAGAGTTTTAATAATAAATTGAACTTTCTTTTATTATAAAACATCATTTTCTGAGACTTTAATAACGAGAACTCATTACGGAGAAAACCTTTTAAAATAATAAAAAAGTTTAATGAAGGTTAAGAGAATTAAAGTCTTCATTGGGAAAGTTTGATTCTGACATAATAAATTATTAAGGAGAAGAATCGTCGAAACAAAGCTTAAAAATATATGTTTATGACTGTCTTCATCACATAAATTATATGTAGATATATGCTCAAAAAGCTTTTTACTAAGGTCAAAGTTGTTCATTATTATTATTATCAATATATCTTGCATGTTTAATGATAATTAATGTTTATTCCAATATATTGTATGTTGAGTATATATATCAAATATCTTGGTGAATTTAAAGCAAACACGTAACAAGCGCAAGTAGATGAACATATTTACCCTTAAAACAACTTTCAACCTCTGTTCAATGACATGTTTCACTTTTAATTGATTATAATTAAGTTCATGAATCTTAAATCGTAAATTAATCAGTCAATTAATTAATATTTCATCGGAATTAACTAGAAACAAAAGAGTTTGAAAATAATATTTTTCATTACATAAATTTTAATTGCCATTTTCAGATCACAAATGCAACCAACTCAAGCACGGTAATATCAGCATTAACCTTTCGACCGCTACCATCTGACGACGGAACAAAGTTGAAATGCGAAGGTTCCAATCCGAGGCTACCTAACTCAGCTCTAGAAGACACATTAATAATGAATGTTATGTGTAAGTTTTTTATGAAATTTGAAGCCATTTGAACAAAGTTCAAGAGAATGCTCGAAATTCTAAGAAAAGTTTGAAAATGGGTTTCCCAAATGTCAATAACCGGTAATTAAATAATCTAGAACATCTAGGCATAGATTTAACGTCCAGGGTCACTTAAAGTTTGCGTAGTCATATCAACAAGCCCCATTAATATTAAACTATTTAATCGTTAGGTATGCTTAGATATCTCACTTAGCATTCCCTAACAACTTCAACTTCTAAATTTTAACCACACAAGATAACTTTAAGCTGAAAACTTTGCTCCTTAACAAAGTAGATGTGTAGGAAAATTTTCAATTTTTCTCTTCTGAAATCTTTTTAGCAAATCTCTGAGATTTCTTCTTAATGAGTGTAACTGAAGTAGTTTCGTTTTTCTTTCCTTTTCCTTCTTCTTGGTTTTATTGTTTTCGGGCGATAAATTTAATTGTTGTATCTAATTTAGAAATTATCTTATCAAATGATAAAATTACCCTGTGCACAAGACCATTTTGGGGATTCGTTGTGAATTAAAAGAGAAAATGAAAAGGAAAGGAAGTGAAAACTAAATCGCTTGCTTTTCAGACACTTACGAATAATGAAGGCAAGATCTTTGAGCTAGAGACTTGAGGGTAGAAGTGAGATATCATATAAAAATGTCTTTCTCATTTTTCTTAAGAAAACATTACCAGTTAATAGACGTGGGTTTGAAGTTCACGATAAATTTTAAGTTTCTTTGGATTAAGTTTACTGTTGATTATTTCTGTGACAGAAAACGAAAGAAAATATCCAAAATTGTATGTCTACATCTTAGATCTTTGAATCAATATTAATTTATTAAGAAAACAAGTTTGTTTTGCTAAATAAACAAAGTTTCGTTCAACTCGACAAAACTTTGATGTGAAGAGTTTCTTGAAATTATTTCTTTGATCTCAGAAAATTTTCTCTTTGTATAGAAATATAAAGATTGATAACCTTTAATCAAGTTGTGAGTTAAGCAACAATGATTTAACAAGTTTTCTCCTCACCTTAAACATGTTTGGTTTGCAATTGAAACAATAATGACATGTAACATGTGAATTCAATTAAAACAATGACGATTGTGTTCTTAAAAGCAGATTGCGATAGTTTAATCAACAAACTAAACAAAAATAAATGTGTGAAAAATAGCACATTTGTAAAAGCACAACATGAGTTAGTTTAATTAATGCAAACAATGAAAGAATATAAATTAATCAGTTAAAGATACAACAATGAAAGAAAACGAAACACAAGCAAAAATATTCTGCCAGATAAGACAACAGAAATCCTAATTTAACATGACTTTTCCATTCAGATCCACCTCAAGTCACATTATCTCTTGGATCAACACTTAATCCCGATGATATCAAAGAAGGAGATGACGTGTATTTCGAATGCAACATCAAAGCTAATCCGAAAGAGCATCGCATAACATGGTCACATGATGTAAGTAAATTTTCCATTTACTCGCCATAAAATTCATTTATCAGAATTATTAAATAAAAATCTCTTTGATCAATGACGAAATTCTATGGAAAAAAAGGAGGCAAAATGAATTGAACTATGTGCTTTGTTAAAATTGCTTTATTTTCCTAAAAGGATAACTGAACGCTTCTCTACTGTCAACATGATGATATTTTTTACTACATAAACGTTCAAATCGCTTTAAAATAAATGTTATGCTGTCAACAGTATCAAGGTCTGTATAAGGGTGATCGTGAGATGGGAATATGTGGAGTTGTTGAAGCGATACGGGTGTGTACAGGAATATAGATAAAAGTTATGGAAGGCAAGAAAAAAATTTCCATATTTACGGCTATGACTATGGAAATGTCCAAAAATAAAAAAAAAATATTAGCATCGAAAAGCTTTCGTTTTTTCCCCTTGAATTTTGCTTCCTTCTTCTGTTGTTGTTGCCATTGCCGCTGTCGAAAATAAAATCGCAAATTTTATATATTTTTTCCGTACATTTTTGTGCTGGCATCGTCGTAAAGAACTGCGAAATAAGAATAATAATTTATGGAATTTTTCCTCTAAATAATCATGATTCATGTTTCTCTTGCTGGGCTTGGAATTAATGTATCATCAACGTTGCAGCATCACTTTTACTTACTTCATGAAAGAAAGAAGAATTTCTTATCAAATTTAATTGCCTTCAACATTGATGTACTTCATTTTTATTCCTTATAACTAAGAGCACTTTATTTTATGACACTGAGTGGAAAGATGAGAAATGAGTTAGATTTACGATTGTCAAATAGTGTTACATTTTATTTGTTAATTTTTAAAGTGACTCGAAAGTCTTAAATTCCATTGATTCAATCAAAAGTCAAAATTGATTTCCAAATCTTTGATGTCACCACCAACAAGATCTTTATGTAAGTACTAAAATAGAAAGTTTAAAAAGAGAAGAAGAAGGGACGAACTGCGAACAAACTATTGAATCCCCACAAAATCCCTTCAGAACTTTATTTCTCAATTGATAAGTATTTAAGCTCTAAGAAAATATTGAAGTATTTTGAAACTTACGTAAGCAAAAAGAAATTTTTTCTTGACGCTGGTCCTAGGATCACGACATTCACTTATCGGTTGAAAGGGAGAGGAAAATATTCATTATTATTATTGTTATCATCATCATTCTCAAGAGGGTTCACCATAAAATGTTGTGTGCACTTGTTCCTCTTGTTAGCAGCAGCAACAAAAAAAAGCTTTCTCGCTTCGTCGTTTCTTCCTTTTTTTCTTTTTCAAGAGAATGCTGTCAAGTAAACAATAAGTATAATATGCAAATAAAGATAATAAAGCGTTAGAGAGTGAGGGAGCTTGAGGGAGATGAAAGACGACGAAAATTTATTCAAATAACACCAATGAATATTTCGTATTCTTTGTCGACACAACAGAACGCAAGGCAAATTGAACGAAGAAGCTGAGAAGAAAAAAAATGAGCAAGAATATTTTTAATATGTAAAGAAATACCACTTACCGTACGTTATATTACTTTTCTGTTGAAATAATTTTGTGATAAACGCTTCAAGTTCCGTTCAACGCTTTTTTCACTTTTTTATGACAGACGGGCGCGTAACGAAAACAGCGGAGAGTCTTAAGAAATGGATGAAAATTTTCATAAGTCTTTAACATTTTCATCATAAACTTGCGCTTTTTTATTTTAAGGATGTCTGGTTTTCCAGATAATTTTATCATTTCATATTTTACAACACAAAAGGCACAAAGGGCTCACAGCAGGGTCGATGATGGGCGGAGTTGAAATGAGAAATGAGAAGAAATAAATTTTATTTTGCTTCCCATTAAATTCACTTTTTTGTTTCTTTTCTGAAAGATTCGAATGATAAGTAGAAAGCTGAGCTTTAAAATAATTTCACGCAAATTTTAAGCTGCTTTTTATTATTACAGGAAAAAGGAACGAAGCCATCATTGCACTTTCTGAATTAAAAGAAATGAAAAGAAAAAAGTATTTTTAACTAATAACGAATTAGTTTGATTGATTTCTGCTTGTTGCCTGTTGGGTTGTCGTAAAGTTTTACGTGACGTAAAAGAAGTTTAATACTGCTAATAAAAGATATCTAAACGAGTATACAAAATTTATTAAATAAAGATAATGCTTTCAGATCTTTCATTTTATCTTACCCAATGTCTGTTTCCTCGCAAGGCTGCTGCACTGTTAAAGTGTTCAAAGACCATTTAATCTCCTCAAAAAATTCAATTTTTTTACAGCTTATCAGATATATTTCTGCTTTTCAAAACAATTGAACATTACTCTTCTTCTAAACTCATGAACTTTTCATTCAAATACAACAAAACGTCTCTTTTGAACATTTTGCTGTTGATATTTATAAAATTGGATTCTGACGAATTTCCAAGACAGAAAATATTTACCAGCATGTAGACACTCACATAACAGGAAAAGCATTAAGTTAAATAGAAAAGTTTTCCATTCTCCAGTATTTAAAATAAAAGTTGAAAGTTTTTTTGTTTCCCTCTTCCTGTAGGACGAAAAGACTGAAGTTAGGAAAATTGTTTTTTAGTTTCACTCAAGAACTGGTAAGAAGCGAAAACTTTTATTGAGGAAAAACGTAAGAAATTTATTTCTATAGCATTTATAGGAGTTGAAAAATATTCCCGGGTTTTTGGAAAACTTAATTAACTCAGGAGATGAAAAGGTAGAAGAAGCAGATCCTTTGATTAAATTCCTTCTATTATTTCAGCGGTTGAAATGTAAAGGTTTACTCGTTGAAAATGTAAAATGAAAACTGTTAACATTTAATTTCTCCAATAAATTACAAAGCAAAACAAATGAAGCGTAAATTTTCAATCGCCGCGGTTCTTTGACAAACTCCAATTACTTTGTTTCCATATCAAATATTGCTTGTTTATGTTGCCATCAATGAGTCTGTTGAAAGCATCTGAAATGAAAATTTTGAAATTTAATTATCTAGATAAAAGTTTTTTTCAAGAATGTTTCCTTTTATCAATTAAAGGGCTTACCAGTCACTCAAAATGTTTCATGGGGTGTCATCATATCAACAAGATCATTAGTGCTACAAAGAGTTGGACGAAATCATTCAGGAATGTATGCGTGTTCAGCAGCAAACGACAGAGGTGAAACGCAAAGCTCTTTAGTGTCACTTAGGATACATTGTAAGTATTTCCACTTTCTCTGTTTGTTTATTTCCACTTTAATCGTAATCAATGAAAAACAAAAGTAGAATAAGACATAAAAACATTCTTCAAAATCCAATTAAAAGATCATTTTTCGTCATTAAAGTTCTGTTTACAGCCAATAAAATCATTCATTAGCAACGCTAACTGACTTTTCGTTGTAATGCTGTGAGTAGAATGATGATAGACAACGAATCATATTGTTATTGGTTGTCATACATTCACTCATTTCAACTCATACTTCAAAATGATGGTAACCATGGACAAAGTAGAATTAAAACTTTCGTAATTATCTCGTTTCATAAAATTGTTGAATAGAAATGAAAATAAAGTAAAAAATATTTGCAGGAAAATTGTTTGCGAGCATTATGCTGTTGGCACAGAAGTATCACAATTTTAATTTGCTGTGTACATAAGCACATAATAAGCATGAATTTGAAGACAAATCCTCTTATAATTGGATATTTTCTCTCCCTTTTTCAACGCCTCAGTTTCAGTAAATGTTGAGGAGAAGTTGAAAGGCAAACCGAGAGAAATTAAGTAACAAAAACCATATAATGCTGCATACATATGTTTTTTATGCTCTGATCCCCAAAAGGAAGAACCAACTCGCATCTGTGGAAGAATGTTAATATTAAAATATTTAAATTCTTAAGTTGGAATTAAATATTCGTTTAGAGTTGTCATTTTCAGGATGGTTTCTTCTTTCTGTCTCTTCGCTTATGTATCTACGCTTATAAAAATGAGTTTGAAAGCACATACGATGATTTTATTATCGGGAAGCTTTCCATATCGTCGGCTGAATGTCTGAATATGTTGTTGAGTAAAAGGCGACTTGCCTGTCATTTAAATTTAAAAGTCAAAAAGCGATTAAATTTATAAAATCATTTGAGTCACAAATCTCGAAAGCAAAAGTCGTTCAAATAAAAATTGCAAGAGTTATTAAATATATTACAAAACTCTTTAATGTTATCAGATGATTTTTATAACAAAAAAGTTGTTGAAATACCTGCTACAGAACCAGTAACAGACAGTAGCTATCAAAAGGCATTAAAATTGTTATGTCTATCGATCTTGTAATGTTTATCGAAACCCTCGGGTATTTTATCAGCTTCCATAAGCAAATTGTGTTGGTTGGTATTTCAACCTCCACATTTATTCATTCTGTTATTTAATATCATTAACTTTGTAGACTATTAAATTAAATTTCGAGCGATCTCCCATGAAAGAGTTTGAAATGTTTGCTGAAGCATTGAAACTTCTTAGTCGAGTGAATAACTTGTATGTTTCAGATCGTTTTCTCCTCCCGTTTATGCTTTTCATTTGCGTCAAATGTAACCTCAAAAACGAGATTTCAAACTTAATTAAATGAAAGTTTTGTATGCGCATGTAAGTATTTAGAAAATCATTCGTTTTGATAGCAATATTCAAATAAATTCTATCAAAAAAGATTTGGAAATAGAAAAATTGTGTCACTGATGTTATAAATCCAGTAGAAATTTGAAAGCAGTAATTATGATAATTTTTATTCGATTTTGATTCGTCAATATGTAATTTTAAGATCTCAATAAAAGTTTGATAGAAATAATGCATAATTGATGCATTGACAAGCAACATGGCGCTTAATACATAAAAGTAACAATAATATTCATTAAATATGTTCAACATTTATAAAATATTGATTTTCTCTCTTCAATGAGATACTTCGCGTAATATTTTCTGTATGAGTTAAAATGGTTGACAGAAAAGCAATTTTCGTTTGCGCTTTTCAGAATAAATAAAGTTTTCATCTGTCACGAAATTCTTTTCTACAAAACTGACCCAAAACATTTTCCTTCTTCCACTTTTGATGATCATCAACACGACGACTAACTTTAAAATTAACTTTCCTTGAATGCTTAAAAGCATATAAAAATTGAATTCTTAATTTAAATAGAATTAAGTATCAACCAATTACGCTTTTAATCATTTCCGAAACAAGTGAAAAGTTTAAACTTACTTAACTTAAATTTACTTGGAATTGCGCTTTTAAAAGCAGAGAAAAAAGATAGAAAATAATTTTCCGCTTCAACACTGAAGTTCAAGAAAACTTTGGAGGCGACAGTTCATGTAAGTTGGTGGGGGGATGAGCTTATTTCAAAAAAGAAGTGACAATCTTCCATTAATCGTAAACAGCTAAGCTAAGTTTTCACAACATAATAATTTCCATTTCATAAACAAACTCACTTAACAAATGCTACTTAGCTGAATTAATGTTTAAAACAAATTTCTATTCAAAGATCAAGATAAGCAAAGAAAAACTGAAAAACATTTATATAAAAAATGGTTTAATTATGTAACGTGTTGCAGCACGAAACTTTTAAATCATTCAAACGATTTCAAAACATTTCCCGTAATTATTTTGAAGAAAATAATTTGTTTGTTTTAATTACACTAAGTAGATATTGTACTATAAATAAACTAATTCTTACGTTATAAATTTCTATTAATTAAATTTCTTTTTGCCTTTTTTCAGACGCTCCTGTTTGCATATCGTCATCAGTGACTATCGTGGGAGCATCAATTGACGAATCTGTTGCGATTCCATGTCGAATTAGTGCCGATCCACAGAAAGTGACATTTGAATGGACATTTTCTAACAGCGGCGAGCGTTACGAAGTACCATCGGGACACTACACGACGATACAAAACTTTCATACCGACATTGATCACATTTATCTTGACGCTGATGAAAACGGGACTAATGGAAATGGTACTTTAATTCGCCTCTCCACCTCTCTTCATCTTCTTATGTTCACTTTTTCCTCATCTCTCTCATCCATCTATAAACCATAAGCATTAATCTTCTTCACGAGCTTAATCGTTGCAATTTATTTTTGTTTTTATTGTTTGCCAAAAAAAAAACAAAAATTCATTGTTGTTACTTTTTCTATTCTCTTTTTCTTTCCATCTCTCTTTCTCTTTCATCTACATTTAAAGGTTTGATAATGGAAACAGTAAACGAATTGATTTATACACCGAAAGGTGAGCGAGATTATGGAACATTGGCGTGTTGGGGCACCAATTCAATCGGGAAACAAATGGAGCCTTGTTTGTTTCAAGTCGTTCCTGCTGGTACGTAAGAACGAATGAATGAATGTTTGTGAAAGTTTAACTCGAATGTTATCGAAAAGTTTTCATAGGGGAACGGTAAAGGAAATTCTTGCTTAGTAGTGAGATTTCCAGTTAATTAAATTTACTTTGATTTTGATTAGATTATGGAAGAAGACGGATGGGGTTGACTCTCTAACTCCATTAGAAATTCAAAGAAAACTTTTCCACATAAATTAATATACATAAAGCTTTTCACTTCCACTCAATCTAACCATGTACCCTTCTTCTAATAAGTAGATAACCCAGGAGTTGGCGGGATAGTGAAGCTTAATTTGTGTTCTGGAAATCACTTCACTTTCGTGTTCCCAAGGGAAAGAACTCGTCTAGCTTGGAAACCTTTTTGATGTGGTTTTCGATGAAAATTTCATTATGTTCTTCACTCTCCCCCACTCTCTTACACTTTCATTCATACTTCCTTAATTAAAAAAAAGTTTAATGCAAAAAGAGAAATAATAATTAATAATTAACTGTATGAGTTTTCTGTATGAGGTGAATAAGTACGAAAACAAAGTTTCAAAGAAAAAGAATATCAAAGGGAAAAAATTATGTAGGAACACAAAAGTAGCTCTTCAATTGCATTTGAAACGTTGAGGGCCTGGATGTTATAATGGAAGTATAACTGAGCAAAGTTACAAATAAGCAAACGAGCTAATGAAAAGCTCGACAATTAACTGATTTTGTTACATTTTACTTTTGCCATTTCTTTATTAAACACGTAACCTTCAACGAGCACGAAAACTCCATAACGACGGCAACGAATCGAAGTGTTTATTTATATCGTTCATTCGTTAAGCTTATTGGAAAATGTGCGGAAAAAAAATCAAAGCACTTTTTTTTTAATTTATGTTTCCATCTTGTTAAGCGTGAGTGTGTGCGTAGGTTTTAAGATTATTTATGCACACTTAATACTTAAGTATAATAAAATCGTAATTCTAATAAAATGCTTACGATTCTCATTCCATCACATTTCTTTTGATTCTTTTTTCTTTCTTCTTGAAATAGCTAAACCTGCCCCACTACGCAATTGTACTCTTCGACCTTATTCGTCACCCTCCTCAATCGCAACAACGGCAATTCAGTCAACGAATTCTTCAACCTACAGTTTACCATCTCCACAATTTCCACCCTACGTCAATAATCAAATCGTAAATGGGGGCCAACATTTAAAAGAATTAAATTACATAACAACAGAATACGAGAAGGATAAAAATCTATTGGTTGATAGAAGAAAAGTCATTTCATCGAAACAACCGCCATTGAGCACCCACTCGCATCACCAGATCGAGAGAAATTTTTATAATGGAAAAAACATGAGCTTATTGAATGCACGACATGAGATTCAAATTCAGCAGCATCAACAGCAACAGCAACAACATAAGAACAATACAAACTTTAGTGATAATAAAATCAACGATCGATATAAATCAAATTTAAAAAGTCTTAAACGTCGTACAACGACGCGAAATGAAAGTGTACGTGAAGTGAAATCTTCCGCTAACAACACAAAACACGTAAATTTTAATAAGCAAACAGCATCGTCATTGGGTGAAAATCAATATTTAGCAGAATCATCAAGATTCGCTTATTTACGTTCATCGACGACTGTTTCAAAATATCATACAACATCCGCAATCAAACCAAATAGTTACAGTGCACATAGCCCGTTTGCGAATCAAGTTCATACTGAGACAGTTGAACAACCATCGTTAATGGAATTGGAATGTATAGCTGGCTACGATGGGGGTTTGCCACAGTATTTCTTTCTTGAAGCATACGATTCACGAACGAGAAAATTACGATTAAACATAACAAGTGCTCTTAATGATGTTCCATTATTTCGAATTGATTTAGCAGGTATTTAAAAGCAGAATATTTTGTCGTCAAAAGCAGAGCAAGAGGCTGAAGGAAGATGTTAAGTAAGAACTTTAAAAGTGGCACACGCTATTGAGATCACTTGAATCTCTCTTCTTATATCTCTGCTTTTGATGATTATTAATTAGATGAGATTTTCCTTTTTGTCTTCAAGATTCATATTACATTCTTTAAATTCATTTATATTCTTTTTATATTCTACATAAACTTGATTCAATGAAAACGAGGATTTGTTTCGCTTTAAAAGGCGTCAATGGGAGATTTCAAATAAATTGGGATACTTTAACAGCAATTATGATGAAGAAAATAAATTTAAATATCGCTTTCTTATTCAATTATTCTTCTACCTTACAACGTAGAAAGCTGCGAAGCAAATACAACATGAATGAGTGTTGGGTGTGTGGGTGGGAGAATAGGACGATGAATAAATCTTTCATTAGAGGATTATTTTTGTTTGCTTTCTTGAATCTTGAACGAGCATCTGAAAGTATTTAATAATTAACATATATTTTTAATGTTTTCATTATTTCATTGTGTTACGCTATGATAAGATTTGCTGCCATCAGATTCTTACACGCCCACGCTACACCTGGTCGCATACAGTGTGAATCAAAAAGGACGATCGGAGCCAACTGTGCTCGAAGACATAGCCATTAATGAAGCGGAAAAAAGAACAGGTAAGAAGATTTTCCTTCCCACTATCATTGAGATAACTATCTAAGTTAAGAAAGAAACGAGAGAAAGGATAAATTCCTTTCACATTCACATAGCACACACGAAAAAAAGAACAACAGAAAGTTTTTCTTCATTTTTCTTCAGCTTGTTTTCATTCTTTCTTATTTTGTTGAGTGAAAACAAAGTTATTCACATCATTCCCTCTATAAATTTAGTTGTCTATGTTCATACATTAGAGAGACGAGAAAATAAGATTCAAAACACAACTCTCAGTTGTTTCGTCTCGGGATTGTCATGATTCAGAGATTTTGTTGGCTATTCGAGCGTGTGAGAATCATTAGTTTAATATTCTTGAAGGTTTGAAGACTAAGACATTGTTTCGAGTACGATGAAGGTATGAAAGCGAATCGTTTTTGTTCAAGAGAATGAAAAAAGTTTGAAATGTTGATATATTAAAAGCATTTAACATGAATACTCTTGGGAACAGAATCTTACATCTAAACAAATGACAAATGAGTGTCGTGAAGAAGATCAACCATATTTTGTATTTCTCTACTTTCACAACTCTTCTCATTAAAATATCAAGATTACAGCAACCTTCGTGCTTCACAAATTAACTTTATCTTTACAAAGTTTACATATGAATGTTCAAACTTTCCTTCCACGAAGACAATTTTCATACATTTTACAATATTTTTGTTTTCTTTAAAGTCAAATATCAACATTGACTCTTTTATAAAGACTCACTAAAGACAAAAAATAAGAAGAACACTCTTGGTATTTGGAAAAAAATTGTATATCTGAAGACAGACTTTGAAACTTTTAAGTAAGAAACTTTTCTACATTTACCCGCCTTTAGCATCAATAAAAATGAAAGAAATAGAAGAAAAAAAAAATGAAAGAGGAAAACTTAAATATAAAAATAAAAAGAAAACAATTCCGACATCATAACAGAGAAAAAAGATGTGAATACTGAGAATATGAAATATGTAACTGAAAGGAATATCTTTAAACAAAAATAAAGCACGCTCAGTTGGAAGAAAGAGTCTCCCACACACACTCACAAATACGGTTTCTAAGGTTCCTTGTTCAAGGCGCCCTCGTGAGAAAAAAAAGATGAAAAAGAAGGAAATTTTTAGACACACGAAAAGGGAAACAAGCTACAAGCTATGATGATGGAGGAAATCTACGACGAAACTTTTTCTATTCTTTATGATTATGGGGAAAATTTAAAAAGCAGAAGAGAAAAACTTCCTATCACCCTCATTACAACATTTCTGTTTACTGGTTTTTCGTCTTTTTTCCTTTTCTTTTCTTCCAAATGTTCATTGCTTGCTGGCTTGCTTGCCTGCTTGTGTTATTGTGGGTGACAAGAAAGTGTGTTAAGTACGTAAATCTTTTATCAACCACCACCGCCTGGTCGTCTCTGTTCTCCCTGATTCTTTCCCATTACCAATGTAAGGTGGAATGAACATTTTTCCCGTCTTTTTCACTTTTATCTATCTCTCGTTGCTGCTATTGCCGTGTTAGTCAAGGAGAAATGTAAATTAGGAGGATAACACAATTTTGTTCCAAATGTTAATTTTGATTTTATCACAAACGATTTTAAGTGTATTTGCTTTCTTTCTTTCCTTCTCCTTCGTCGCTTTTGTCTTTTTTTTCCTTTTCGTTTCGTTTCGTCCCTTAGCGATATTTTGCGAAAACGCCTTCAAACAATTCTCTCGACTCGTTTCTTTGTTGCTATCAACATCAGTGACGACGAGAAAGAAAACATAAACGGGGAAAAAGAAGAGAAGTGCGAAGGCAGTTTTTCCCATTCCGCCATTTCATTATTTAGTGTAAAGCAGGTGAAAATTAAAATTAAGCACCCATGTTATGCAATATAAAACAATCAAAAGCAGAAGAGGGCGAGGCTGGGTAAGGTAAACATAATCCTTGAAAAAATCCTTAGCGTGATGGAAGTAAAAATGCGATTACATATTTGTCGTTGAAATGAAATCAGATTTCTTCTTTTGCTCTTTCAAAGGATGGATGGAAAGAAGTTAACGAAACGAGAGTCAATATAAAGAAAGAAGAAGAAAGTAGAAAGTTTTTTGTGTGTGCCCAGTGCCATAAAATCTTATGAAATAAAATCCCTCACAATTCTTTCATTCGTTTCGTATCCAAAAATGAAAAAAAGGAAAAAAGATTTTCAAATCAGAGTAATTTTTGAAACCTTTTTTTTCTGCCTTTTTTTACTTCTTTTCTTCAATTAGCCTGAAGAGCTGGTGCAAGCATAAGGATGTAATGAAATGAAATATTAATTATAACACCGTTTGATGTGTAAATACTCTTTTCCATTTATTAACCCGGGAAAGGACGAAAAGCCTTTGGATGACGTGGAAACGAAAAGAATCGTAAAGGTTGCCTTCTTTTATTTGCTTAACATTTCGCTTTTCCATCTTCTTCTGACGATCAAACAAAACATCTTTAAATGTTTTGACCCAAAGACTTTCCCCATTACCTTCTGCATTTGAAAACTTTAAACCTCGTTTCGAAATTTCCCTTTCACTTGAAACAATTGAGAATGAACAAACATGCCCGATGAGTTACAATTAAAAATATATGTGATGAAGCATGCCAAAGAGTTGCTGTTGTTGTTAGGTCAGGTTGAATAAAACGCAACATTAATGATGTTTAAATAGCTAAGGAAATAGCTTCGTGGAGAAAATGGTTAAATGAGAAGTACTTAGCACTTGAAAACGAGACCAGCTTTTACCTCGATGAAGTCGACTCGCTCGGAGTTAACTCAAAGATGACAAGACAAAAAAAGAAACGTGACAAGCACGAGAAAATTTCTCACTGATGAATTGCAGGGAACGATGGATGGATAGATAGACAGTCAGACAAGCAGACAGACATGACAAGATTGATATAAATCGCAAGTCAATCACAAACCGATAAGTAAACGCTTTCGTTATAGAAGCAACCCTCATAAAAAGCACACAGTTCAGTTCTTATGCAAGGGAAAAAAATGAAAGGAATAAAAGAAAATCGAAACGCTACTTTTTTTTATTGAATGTCTAATGAACTGTGAGCAAGCACATAAAACGATGAATGAAAGAATTGAAGAAGAAATTCAAAATCAAGCGCCGCAGTTTCGATTGAATCAAACAATTGATAAGAAGCGTTCTAATGTAATCAAATATATCCTGGGAAGCGCAGTGAATTCTCTTTTTTTCGACAAAAACATTTTCTTGAATCGACATCGGAAAAGTAAAAGATTTTCCTTTTGCCTCCCATCGTGTCTTTGGTGCGTGGAAAAATTTGTGTATTTACGGTTCAGCAAAATGAAAGTAAAATAGGAAGGAAAAAATTACCATTATTTATTTTTAATCAAGCCAAAAAGGGAGCAAGTAAGGGAACAAATGGTTGTGTGTGTGTGGTTTACATTATTCAATATAAAACAAAGAAATAATTTCCTTTTAACCTCAACATTCTGAGATTACAACTGGTGCTTTTAATGAGCGTCTTCTCTACTTATCTTATGCCTTTTTATCTTTTCGTAGAATTTCGACAACTCTCACCTTCAACCACCCCCATTCTCTTCCTTATTCACTTAATTTTCAAATATTTATTTTGCATTATATTCTTTCGTCGTGTGTATGAAAAAGCTTTTATCTAAAGATAAAGAAGATGAAGACGAATTTGCAAGAGAGAAGTTTTTATTTGTTTGAGCAGTCGATGTTGTAAATAGGAAATGTCTAAAGATGATGTGATGCATGAGAATTTGTTTTAAACGTTAATTGAAAGGCTTAGAAAACAAGAAAATGTTATTTGAATCCATGAGTTTGCTTACATAGTAAAAGTAAATGAGATGGAATGATATTTGCTTTACATTAATAGAACCAATTCCATGTTTTCTTATTTCATCTCGTCTTTGTTTGCTAAACATTTTCCACAATAAATAAATTCATCTTTGACTATTCTGCTTGAATTAAAAAGCTTTCGCACAAAATAATTTAAATGGAAAAGAAGATTTTGAAAAATTGTGATTCACAATTCAAGCTTTCCACTGAAAAACTTCTTTACCTGCAGTTCTCTTTTTAATCCCTGTTCAAAGTCATCAAAAACAAAAAAGATGAGGGTAAAAACTAACGAGTTGGTTTTTATGCTTTGCTATGGAATGACCAACATATTTTCTCTCCATCCCCACACAAAGTCATGAAGTCACAATGAAAGGATGATTTAGCAAGATTTTCTTACGCTTGGGATGAACTATTTAGTTTGTGTGATTAAGTAAGTAGCTTTTGAACATCTCATTGAAGATTGAAGTCGCTTAATAACGCCTTAGTGACCAATTTCCCTCTTAAACTATTCCTAATTTTCGATTTATAACCGAGATAAACCACCCAACGATGCTTGAGTTTCTGTGCACTTTAACATTGCCCTTAAGTAAATACCTAATTAGTTTTCTTGCTCCTTGTTTTTTGTGAAATAAGATCGTAGCGATAAGATAGTGAGAGTCGATTTGAGAATAGAAAAAAGGGGAAATAACAAGCATTGAAGTTGAATGGTTGAAGTAGTGAGTAAAATGTTAGAAATGGAAAAAATAAAGATAAATCCCATCTATTTTTAAATAAACAATTATTTGATGTATAGCAGAAGTAAACAGATATATTTCACCTAAATGAGAAAATAAATCATTTTTCGTGTATTTAGTAGATACAAGTTTGAGTTTGCGGATGGAATTAGGGGGAGAAGTTGGATACAAATTTATTTATCTACATCAACATGGCATTAAGAAGATTAAACAACATGTGTTAGATAAAGAGTAAGAGAGGGAGAAGGGTGAGTGAGACGGAACGCTTCGGGGGTGGTAAATGAGTGAGACTTATGGTTCTATGTCTGTAAAAAAGCCATTTCAATTTCACATGTGTAAGCAAAAGCAAGGCTGGCATTCATCATAACATTTATTTGTTCGCTGCTGATTTTATGCTAGATTATGATGGCAATTAAGTGATCTAATGAATAACAGATAAAATGACATATTAAATGAGCTGCTTATGTTTGCTCGTCATAGCAAATATGTTTTGAGACTTAGCGGGTAAAGCTCACGTTTGCTTCACACTTCGCACTGATCTGTTGTTGACTGATTTGGATTTCATTTCCATTCATAAATGACCGACATTGGTTGACGATTATAAAAGCAAAGTCATTGAGTGAAACATTCATATCATCATGTGCTAAATAAAATAAAATGGCCAATTCCAATTATTCATTTACAGTCAAATGACAAGGCGAGATTTTTGAGTTTGTGCTTTATTTCGTTGCTATATTCAACCCTTACGCTTATTTTTTCCACATGAAGTATTCCATCATTTTTCACCTCACATCAACTTACATCCCCAATTGTTTTTAATGCTGAAGCTTCAAAAACTAAACGAGTGAATCGTCGTTATGGCATAAAGCACATTTAACCAATTTTCTAGATCAGAATTCAAATTAAATGTTATTTAAAGTTCACGTCATTTATTTCTCTCTTCTTCATGTAATAAAATGTGATTTATTTTCATTCGCTTTTTTTTTTGCTCTTGCTTTGTGTAATATTTCACTGAACTTTCATGCCATTTCCCTTCGCTGCTTTTTTGATATGCGAAGAAAAAATTATACATTTTCTCTTCCTTTTGAAATTTTATGCTTGTTTGGAAGAAAATAAAGTATCAAAGCGAAAGCTAGCGAGAAAAAAGGGGAAAAAAGAATCTTCCGAAAAAAAAAACTCCATACAGGAATTTTGCCAGAGATGAACAAGCATCGAGTCAGAGTAATTGAAGTCTCCATTTAATAAATGGACCCGATGTCCTAATTTTTTTCGCTCTTTTCATATCAAACACACAAGAGAAGAGAAGCAGAAGAAATTCTCTTGAAACAGTAGAGGAAAATCATGTCATATATTATCTACTTTTTGGTGTATGTGTGCCTTTATGATAGCTAAAAGAACTTCCACGAAGGCGAAAAAAAAAAGTTTAATGGAGAAGAAGTTCAGCTATAAAAAAAACCTTTGATGCAATTTATGGATACCCTCGGTCGGTTGATTTAGTGCACAAAAATAAAAGGGTGGCATAATGGATCCTTCAAAAAGAAAGAAAAGATTGTGTAACATAATGTGTGCTTAATACGTCCTTTCTTTCTTTTTTTCGCTTGTGGACGTCTATTTGCTATGAAAGTAAAGCGTTGATAAAGGAGAACTCAGACTTTTTTATGTGAAAATAGTGGAGAGTTTATGATGTTCTTGGTATGCTTCAATTATGTAAACATAAGGGAAAAGAAAATCTATGGATGTCCAACAGAGTAAAGAACTTTGTGGAGTTTGTAGCGAATAACAATATGATTTTGTGATACTAAAATAAAGATATATTTCATGTTTCCTGCTTCAAAAGGAAGTAATATTTGTTTATTTATGAAGTTTGATTGAACATTGGAAGTTTTCTAACAATTGCAGGGCTTGAAGTTGTTTTGAAATGTTCACAATTATTTCAAGTTCTGGAACTTAAATTTCTATTCATGAAAACTTTCATTAGAAATTTCTGGCTAAGCTGGATTGACGTCAACATGGTAACAGGTTTAAAGTTTTTAACAGTTCTTGTGTTTTCTATTGTATGACTTGGCTTTTTATGAAGGAATTTGTGTTGAACATGCTTTCAAATTTATTCATATTCCTGAGGGAAAAGTTGAAATTTTTTTATTTGAACATTCTCTGGAGCGATTTCAACCCCACAAATAAGTTTCCTGCATTTCAAATGTGAATTTTTGTGTTGATTGGAACTTGAAGTGTAATTTAAATTATAAGAACACACAAACTTCGCTCCCTTCGCTTTCTTTTCACATCTCAAAACATGTCACATAAACGTTTCAAGCGTCAGAGACAATGAAAGTTCGTGAACAAACAGTTTGCGAAACACTTTCAAGTAGTTTTCAATTTCAATGTTGCCCGACTTTGGCTTTCAATGAAAGTTTTTCTTATTTCAAACGAAGTCGAATGGAAATGTAAGAAATAAAATGAAAATATTTACGAGCTAAACGTAATAATTTAAGAGCCACGAAATTGGGAAAGTTTGTTGTGTGCGACAAGGCGAAATGAGAGTAAAAAGATGGAAGAAACATTACATGTGCGAATGAAATCCGGAAGAAATTGCCACCGATGAAAATTGCAGATAAGAAGAAATAACTTTTGCTCCTTTTCTGTTGCAGTAATGTTTCGGTTCGTTTCGTGATATGGCAAGTCAACTAAGAGTTGTTGAGAAACTTTGTTTACACTTTACGGATTTTGTGCTTTCAAATGGAGCAGTTTTGTTGAGAGTTTAATGCTCTAGGGTTTTCCAACGAACTTAATGAAGAAATGGCGAAATAACTTTGTAAAGTTTGATGTCTTTAAGTCAGACAGAGATTTTAATGATCAGAGAAAAACTAAATAAGAAAATGCAATTTTAAACAAGATGATGTTATGTGACATTTCAACTGCACGCGTTAGTCTGAAAAGTAAAGTAGGATGAAAATGTTTTAACAAGTTTTAAAATCTAAATAAGCTGCTTACGGCTAACTTATAGTTGGACACTTTGCACTTTCAAAGAAATGAATTTATATAAAAGTTTAAATGAAACTCAATTACCAACAAAAAAGCGTCGTGCTAAAGTCTAAATTAGTTTTCAACTTAATAATAAACATTTTATTTTAATGTTTGCATTCTTTCTGTTGAAGCTTTTATATGAAATTAGGCGACAAAAAGAATATCTAAGGAAAAGCATTTTCAATCAATTTATTGTAAAAATAAACGCTATTCGATTATGTCCTCTTGCTAGATATCTAACAATTCTTTTGTTAAAATAAATGTTTGTTTTTATTATAAAAAGAAAAAGAAAGGAACGATTGAAAGAACAAAATTCACCATCAATTTTCCAATGGAATAGACAATGAATACATAAAAGAAGTTGTGAATCTCTGTTCTCTCCTGTGCTACTATTTTTCTTTCTTTTCTGTTTCCACTTTGAATTCTAAAGTGTCCCCAAGGAGCATTATTTTATGAAGATATCAGAAATGTTGCTTTCTCTCTACGCCAAACCTTTTTCTTCACTTTTGAATCGAGAAAAGAAAGAAAAAAATCAACTTCACATCTTTCTTGTTTTACAATGAAACTAAAAGGATCAAGGATAAAATAAACATAGCTGGTAAACTAGAAAACTTTTAGATTCTTCATTCCCATTTGTTTTGTTGTTTCTGTTTCTTGCATTCAAATTTCAAATTTCATATTCGCTTTTGAAAGAGACAAACAAAAAAATTTTTGGTCATCTTACACGAATTTCAAATTTTACACTTTTCAATCTTTAGTTACATATTCTTAATAAAGAAGAACAATGCAAGAGTTTGAGAAATGAAGCTATTGAGATGCAGCCAGAAACATTAAACAAATCGAAACAAAAGCAATTTCACATTTATCAAGTGGCATCTCGAAGTTTCTTACATTTCTCTGAACCTTGTGCTGCAAACACTGACTTGGGACAACAGAATAAATAGTGATTTCGAACAGAGAAAGTTTTGTTTTGACTGAGTAAGGCACAAGCTTCGTAAGCTCGTTGATTATTTTCGTTTTTCATTATATTGAGTTGGATCTTTTCATTGTCTGAATAGAAGCATTGTTTTTCAAGTTTATGACGTTCCAAGTTTGTTTAGAGATTTAAAACATTTCTTTACATCGACCGGAACGAATAAAAGTGGGAACTCTGATTATGACCATCCGTGTGAATGAAACAAGAGACTATAAAAGTTTTCGCAACACCAAAAGCTCCGTAGTGTAGCAGAGAAAAAAGTTTTCCATTCTCGCTTAGTTTTCTCTTAAAAGCTGAAGAAGTGAAAATAAAAAATGCTTCGTAATTTATGCAAACTGATGAAAATTTATCTATCTGCACATGAAAACCATCTGATGTTCTCCTGCTGCGAACATTTATTTGAAAATGAGCGAGAAACACCGAACAAAGATAAGAAAAGTTTCCTGCCCAAAAATTCATTAAAATTTTGCATTTCACATTCTCTTAGAAATCTTTCTCGCTGCACATACAAAGGGAAGAAGTTTCGAAGTTGAATATTTTTAATTGTTTTTCGAACGGATGGAGAATTTATGTACCCGCTGCTCTAAGAGTTTTCTTCGAAAATGGTTGTGCGGTTAGGTACAGTCTGAAAAGTTCTTTGTGATCAAAAGAGTCGGAGAGATCCTTAAACGAGCTGAATAGCATCTCAAAATTACTTTGAAAACAATCGACATACCTAATATCCAATATCCTATAACCGATAATTTCCCTTCCAAAAGCTTTTCAAAAGATGTTGTTGCGATATTAAGGTCGCCGTGAGCCCCCAGATCGAAATTGTGTTAGTCGTGCTGGGGAAACTTCAGCAATTTACATAAAAGGTAATAAAAAGAAATGTGGAAGTTGGAGAGAGGTAAAAAAAATCTGCGTCACCTTCTTTCTCTCCCTAAATCCACAAACATTGAACATAAGCCATATGAGCGGGGAAAATATATTGCGCCAAACTAGATTGTAATGTGCTGTTTACACCGTGTTACATTTAATGTAAATTTTACGCCTCTGAATTATCATCTCGACATTTTTCTTTTACCTCGAAGACATTTTCAGATTATATTTCCAAGCATTTGATAGCATAAATTAAGTAGGCTTGTTAAGATATATGTCGAGGGTCGAGGGTGAACGATCATCATGAAAGGATTTTTCAAATTATTTTCTATAAATTGCCTTCCGATATTCATTCGAGTGTCTATCGAGCAGTCTTTTGGGGCGTGGGTGTTGAAATCGTGTCTGCTGTTATATTCTATAAGTAGTGCAAAGTTTGATTTCTACTCCACAGGCTGTTTAATTTTCTTCAACTTTGGACAAATAAATTTCTAATAAATTACATATTGTTGTTATTAAATTGTTAACCCAGATATTTATTGGAATAAACTTTTTGTTTCGACTCGTTTTCTTTGTCCTGAGTTGTGCAAATAAGAGAGCATAAGAATACATACATACTTAACAAATATATTTACTTTTAATATAGCAAAGTAGAAAGAAAAACAATATCAAGAAATGTGGGAAAGGGAATTAAATAACTTGAAGAAAAAGAAAACAGAAAAGGGAAAAATAATGTTTCGCCTTTTATGCCTTTACAAAATATTTCTCTAGATATCTGTAAGTATATTCCATACTAATAATAAATTGAATAAGAAAAAAGAAAAATTCCTTGATTTCCATTTTTCTACTTTAATGAACACACGATGATCAAACAAAAGCCAAGGAAAAATATAAAAAGAAGAAGAAGCGAAAAGAAAAATGTTGATCAATAAAATTTATTAATCGTCTCTCTTTATACTTTACATCGGAAGAAAAAAGAAGTGGAACTTCCTTCGTATCGTTTCTTTTTCGTCCTCACTTTTTTACTTCACCGAGTTGATTTTATAGATACATAGCACCATAAATACAAATGTCGATAACCGAAAAAGAAGAGGCAGAAAATTGATGAGAAGTATTTAGCACAAGAAGTGCGCGCACGGCATTCAAACCGATCCACGATTGATGATGTTTAAGTAAATAATCATGAGGACGATGGAATTTTGTGGGGAATCGGAATGTGGGGGTGTGGAAAAAAACGAAATTGAGATGAAATTTAGAGTAAGAAAAATATAGCGGTTTAAGGTTTAATCTCAATTAATTTGAGTGTGCGGGAAATCATTGAATGCTGGCTGGCTGGCTGACTGTCTGATGAGGGATGCGGAGGCGAAAGATTTTTTTTATTATTGTGTGTTGAGTTTCCTTTTTCAGTTCTGTTTTTCCCACTCTAAACCCTTGCCAAATAAAAAATGCAAATAAAAAGGGTTGTTAAGAGAGAGTTTATCGAATGAACATTTAAAACCAATTTCTTCGCTCTAACCGAAAACGATTTGTATAATTTACATTTCATTCGGCGGTTCCAATTTTTCTTTTTGTGAAGAATGGAGAATCTTTATTTGATAATTGAAAGAAATAAATCAGCTCACTTGAAAAGTGGAAAAACCAAAAAAAAATTAACTTTGAAAGTAATTGAAATGTTGAGCAAATATTTCCAGTCGATTTAATTAAAAAGCGATGAATTGATGACACCTGGCGAGATAGAATTTTATTATATTTAACCTCGTTTTATTCGCCTATATTCCTTCATTATTCATGTTTTCATTCAGTATAAAGTTGTATCGCCTTCTCTATCGCATTTCTGATAAACATCTTTATGATAAATTAAATTTAATTAAATGATAGTTATATCTACCTAGTCAAATAGATATTTATGGAAGAAAGATTCAATTAATTGTTTAATAAATTTAACAATCATTTATTGAATCACTACATAATGCTTTGCAAACAGACAATTGAATTAATAGAAATCATTATAGCCAAGTAAATCTCTTTTATTGACCAAGTGATTAATTTCAATTCTACTCTCTATTGTTCTGAATTTGAAATAAAAATATTTGCATACAAGATTTCGTTAAAACTTTTAAGATATTTTCAATCAAATATATTAAACCATTCAAGTTCTCACGGTCGTATTATATTTGGCCTTTCTCTTTTATGAAAAATTAAATCATGACTATTTGCCACAAAAAGCTTCTGAAAGTGAAACTTTCCCATGTCTCGTTGTCAAAAAGTTATTCATATTCATACACATAAGTATGAGAAATGTAATCTAGGCGAGGCTATATTTGATAACCAGAGGGGAAAGTTTGATGTTATCTGTTGGCATTATTTTTCAGTTATTCACACCATAATTTTCATTAGAACATTTCACTTTTGGTGTCTTTTCTTTATGTCCCGGAAAATAAAATTATGAACGAAACTTTCATTTTTATGTATAAAAGTGCTGATTAATCTTTAACGACTTTTCTGATTTGAAATTTCTTTTCATTCACAGATGGCGCTGATCACGAAGGGATGTTTCCACTAGCTGCCCTACTGACTGGAGCTTTAATGACAATTGGGGTTGCTGTTCTTCTTATCGTTATTTTAGCTATAAAAAAGAATCGAGAACAACCGCAGCCACATGAAAATGGTATCAAGGAGAAGCATATTGGTTGGTTGAATATTTTGACGATTATCTTTCCTTCTTCTTTTTTAAGCAGAATATTTTTAGGCATGGACATTACCGTCACAACACCATTAGAAATGAACGTTGGTCAACAAAAGTATGTGGTTGCTTACACACTTAAAGGCAGTGAAAAACAGCCAGATATTCTCAATGCCCAAAAATCCACCGACGCTATAGATTCTGTTCAGAAAATGGGATCTCCAGCTGCTATTCGTCCTGATGCCCTCTTTAGTACATCATCATCATCATCGTCTAAGCACACAAAATCAAACGAACAACAGCAACATCAACAACATTCAACACCACCAAGTCATCAAAGCACATTAAAGTATAATGATAATGGTACTAAAAGCTACATGACACTTAATCATAATCATAGTATGACTGGGAATTACAATGTACAGCCGCCACCATACACTCATAGCCCAGCTATGATGAATGATTATGAAGCCCCTCTAAATTATACTGTCAACTATAATCCAGCATCTGGTGCATCGAATGCGGTTTCAACTTACCGAAAAATCTCACCCGAATATAATAATCTCAATAATCTTTTTAATAGCACGAACACGACAACGTCGGCGACCGTAAATAGTCATTTAAAGAATGAATTACTGGAGAGTTCCGACAATTTTTTAGAATTTGAAAGAGCCGTTCTTGACAACAGATTAAGTAGTGGTGTAAATAATAGTAACGAAGAATATGAATTTACCAATAATGCAAACGGTCCTAATGTCAACAATGAACGCTTTCAATCCACAAATGAATTTGTCAACGAAACAATGGATTATAAGAATTTGGCGAACCAAATCGCAAATACAATCTCAAATATCAATTCGACACTTAATAGAAGTCGTAACCGTAATCATATCCTTACTGAAAACCTGCCCGGACCTGAAAGTTGCGTCTAAGTTTCATCTTTCAAAAAATTTAATCTTTAACAAGACTTTCATACGTTGTGAGACTTGAGTTAAGAAAGTGACATTAATTAAGCGATTTGATATCATAACAGAAAGCTTTACGTCGTCGCTTGTTTAACTGAAGTGTTACTAATGTTTCAAATATGCTCATTCTCAACTTATTATCCATTCGAAACTCGAATGAAAAAAATTCAAAAGACTTTGTAATGTTTAAGACATAATCCTAGGTTTAACTGCTAGTTAATTTCCAAACTGAGAAATTAAATTTTCAACCCCTCCATAGCATATCCAAGAAGTAAAAAAATGATATCGATGACAAGTTAGATAAATTTTTTCATTCCATTGTCATATCGTTTAACTTTATATTCAAACCCTTAGCAATATTTTCTACGAGAAAATCTCCTTTTGTAAATAATATTTGTACAGTTAAAAAAGGAAAATAAATAGTTGTAATGAGTTTCAGAACGGCACTAGATGTAAATCAATTAAATTCATATAATATGTACGTAGACAATACAAGCAAACATTAAAACAAAAATTTATTTTCAATTTTCTTAATTTTCCATAATTAGTTTTAATTCATTTTCCTTCAACTTTCATTTTGATTTGATTCTTCATTTCATCTTCAATATCTAATAGCATTGAACTTCAAACTCGAAAAACTTTCATTCATACGTGTGAAATCAAATCATCTAAGTTACATCGAATCACTTGTTAATCGAACAACTTTAGGAAGATTTTCTAGAATTTAAGATGAAGACTTATTGTTTTTCTAAGATATTAAGAATAAAGTTAAGAAGCAGTTTAATGTTGTTAGAAAAAGAAAATCAAAAAGTTATGCTGAAAAAAATTCATATCGCCTAAAAATTTGTTCATTGATTTCTTCCAAAATTTTTAAACTTTTGTTTCTCTTATTCGCTGTAACTTAAATTTTAATTTATTGTCATGAAATGCTTTAATTTGGAGTCAAGAAAAATAGAAAATAAATGAATAATATTAAATGTATACCTATGCTTTTCAGCTCAATGTGATATGAATTAAAAAAGAAAATAAAAGGAATCGTGAATAAACTAAAACGAGAATTTTTTATTACTTATGATACATGCAAAGCTATTTTCAGAGAAGGTATTTCGAAATTAATATTTTGAGATAATCAATTTGATATCAGAAATTTAGAAAAACGAATTTAAAGATTTTCATTGAAAGCTTTTCAAAAGCTCGCTTCACTTGAAAGCTTTTTCCCTAGAATAGTTGAGAATTCTATGCCTGAACTTCATAATTTCATTTGACAGTTAGGAATATCTAAACAACTTTTATAATCAACTACTGGACAAGTATTCTGAGCCAGTGACTTTCAAACTTGTTGAGGTTCTAGTCTCTGGAGGAAAATTTCAAATTTTTGTGTCTCCGAATTAAAAAATACGTTTGCTTGTCTCATATTGTTGTTTAAGATGAATATCTGCTTTTAATGTCTTGGAAGACTAACAAAAGAATTGCAAGGGAGTGTCACATTAATTCAGTTTTAATGAAATTTTTACTTTTATACAAAATTTTTAGATATAAAATGAAAGTTTCTTGGAAAACTGCATAATTTAATTTCGATATATCAAAAGAATTAATTTAATAGTTCAAAGAAAACTAAACGAATTTCCTTCCAACACAGAATTTTGTGGATTTGAATTCTTGGAAATATTGAAATACCTTGAAAAGCACAATATCTAAGTTTTATGTTGAAAAATGTTCATTCCATTGTCTAAAGCGCATGATCAAATACTTTCCAGCATTAGCACACCACATGTATCTACATAAAAAAATTTCCATAGAAGTATTTTGATGTTTTAAGGCAGCAAGCATAATGAACTTCTGTATGTTGCAAAACTCCTTAACTATTTTTGTAAATGAAACTTCAGGAATTCCAGAAAGTTTAAAATGTCACGTTGCAAAATTCTTTTCATTTAATTTTTCCAAATATGATAAAATATGGAACCAAAAAATTATACAAACAAAAATTGTGGAACATGCCAAAGTTTAAGGAATGAAAAACATTTTCCTCCTTTTTTCCTGTGGTGGAAGTTTGGTTCATTGGAAACGAAAGAAAAAAAATAAATGCCTTAAAAATTTTCATCGTAGAGCTTTCCTCGGTTTGTCTTCAAGTGTCGAAGAATAACAAGCAATGCGTAAAATAAAAATTTTTAAAGCATTTTTCCTAGCAAAATAAATCATAAAATTGTGAAAAGAAAAAATTATCATAACAAGCACAGAGTTACAATCAATATAAATATAAATTAATACAAGTTAATGTCAGAATATAAAAATGTTGTGAACTTTTTATGTAAGCAAAAGAAGAAAAAAATCTTTTTTATCTCAATTCTAATGTGAATGAAATGAAAGAGTGAAAGCTTTGAAAGAGTGTTAAAAGTTCTACCGCAGACCCTGACCAAGCTTTCATAAGCTTTGATTTTATTGTTTATTTTTATATACGTAGTATACATATCTACATTAGGCTTAAGAAACATCAAGACAAATCTTGTTAAATGTGTTTTCTGGATATTAAGAAGTTTCTTCTTCAAAGAGCCAAAATGAGACGTTGTGATTCAGAAATTTAATTATCCTCACTTCAATAAGTAATGAGATTAAACTAATCTTCAAATATATTCTTACTACGTTACAGATATTCCGTTCGCTTTATCTCTTGCCTCTTTCAAACGTTCTGATGTCAAATAATAAACAGATTTGTTAAAGTCAAGAAAAGTAATTCATCATGAAAACATTTTCGTCTCAAAAAGTTCTGCTGAACCTTCTAGTTGTTCTGTCAACAACAGTTGAAGTATTGTACTCTCATGAAAGTTCCCTTAAAACTGAAGGCTTAACGTCAAATATTCCGACAAAGGACGAAACTTCTGAACATGTTAATGTCGCGACAGTGTCGTCATTAAATAAAATAAACAAGGAAGAAATATCTTCAACCACATTCAATGTTGTATCTACGACTACATTTCTAAAAGATCCACAGATTGAAGAAGCGAAGCCGCCTGAAGCGAAGACGATGACGATGGCAATGACGATGACAATGCAGAATGAAAGTTCTCTTTCTTCTGGCAATAGTTCCGAGATAACAACGGCAAAAGCAGAAACGGGTGAAACGAAAAATCTAAATTCAATGTCGCAGCATCAAATTGTGTTATCAACTTTTTCTACCCTCTTGGCAAGCAAGAGTGATGTGTTAGATTCGAACTCAAACGATAGTTATAAGAAAGATTACGATGATGAAAAGCAAGCAAACACGGAAATGAGCTCCAATCATCTAACAATGATGGAAGAAACGAGAACGAAGCCAATGAATTTCAATGAATTCAGTTCCATGAAAAATCGAATCTTCAACAGTCAACCCGTAGTTAACATCAATGATTTCTTTCCATCCCAAAGCGAAGACTTCAAATCTAATGATGATGTGAAAAGTGATGAGAAATTGAAAAGAAAAATCGTCTCAAAGGAAGATGTCAAATTTATTGATAAAAAGGGCAATGACGAATCGATCAAGGCTTCTATGAATGACAAGGAAATTGAAACAACAGACGACGATTTGATCCCAGATGTCTCAAAAGATGACAAACTTTCTCGAAACAAAGGAAAAACAGGACAAGATGCGACCGTCGACGAACATCGCCCGAAAACAAATATGAAAAACTTGTACGTCCCGCCACGTATAAAGAAATCCGACTCTTTACTCAGCCCATCCACATATAAATCATCAAATCTCCTCGATTTTGCCACAACGAAATTTAACTTGAACGAATCTCGTAAGTCTCCAACTAATTCTCAACCCGAATTTTCCACAACGAAATTCTACGTTACCCCAAATGCCGCCGCTTCTGCTACTGCTGTTGTTGATGGTGATATGAAGACAAGCGCAGTCAAAGAAGCAAAAAAGATACAAAATTCATTGAAGCAGATGAAACTTATTAGTAATCTTGAAAGAGACTCGCAAAGCTCTGAAAACAACCTTTCAACGTTTGAGAAAAACTTTTCTCTTTCGACAAGTCACCCACGTGTACTTTCACGATTTGAAGAGAAACTCAATTCATTAGATTGCGACATTCAAAACTTGTCAACAGAGTCTGCTGTTTGGCGTGGTAATGAAACGCACGAACTTTGTCTACCGAAGGTAAACCAATATATTCGATAGACATTTTCAATTAATTTTCTGCTCTTCTTTTTATTTTTCCATTTAATATTTCATTGTTTGACATTTTGCACAAATATTGATTATTTATTATATTCTATCTGGTTGGTTGGATGGATGGAAAAGCATCGTTAAGCATATTGTCACGTCATAATGTAAACACCTGAGCCAACTTTCCATGTTTTTTCGGTTGAAAAATAAAAAATCCTTTTAAGCACGAGGAAAAAAAACTTTTTTTTTAATTATGTTTTATGTTTATGATAATCTCTTGCATACACAAACAACTACACAGGTGTTGATTCAATACATTGACAAATACATTAATTTATTAATTAATAAAGTTTTAATTTATTTTGTTTTATCTTCCCGCCATGTTTGATGATGTCACAGAAAGTTGTCAATTGCTCATCCCGCAATGAATGTTTCACCACGAAATTGGAATGGGATGGTGTAGCGGAAATTCAATCAGGAGATATTCTCATTGTTGAAATTGATGATAACACCTTGATGTCGATGAACAAGAATAACATTTCCAATACGGAAAAGTAAGGGAAAATGTTTAGCAAGTTTTCCATATTTTCACATTTTTTCTCCTGTAACTTTCATAGCGATCATCATTCAAATGCACCAGCTGCTGTTTATCAAGTTACTCGTTTAGGACACGAGAATTGTGATATAACTGAAGGCGAACTATTGGTAGGGAAAGCTTTTAAATAACAATTTTCTTTGGAATAATTTTATAGTTGAAAACTTAATCTTCCTATCATTATCATAACATTAACTCACAGGACATTACGCCACTGACAGTTGATGGGAAGAAATTAGTCACCTTGTACGATAAGGATTTGTCCGAAGGAATGAATTTGTTAATTGGTAAGACAACTGAAGAAAGTTTTTTCTCTCTTCACATTCACTTTTGCTGTTGCTTTCTTCTCGATGTTACGAATCAATAATTTTCTAGCATTCAAGATATCGTTTTCTAGTTTTCAACATTAACTTAGTTCTGTACTTGAATTCTTATGGCGCCATATTATTATTGGAACATCTTCTTCGTTTCATTGAGAAGAAAACTTTTCAAATGTCATTGCCTTGACCGAAGATGAAATAAATTTGTGAAAGTATTTTAATTTTGTTTTTTCCTTCTTTTTTTCTCTTCATTTCCTCCAGTGGTCTCCGATTTATGGGGAAATCAATGCGTTCGTTTAAGTGTTAATGTGAAGTCTGATAATTGCGGTGAAAATGCTGACTGCTCTGGGAAAGGAGTTTGCTTTTCAAATAATTCAATGGTATGTATGTCATATGATTTATGAAATATGTTTTCCGTTCCATAACAAACTTTTCCCAAACGGCAATTATTTATTTACTTACATTTCGCTTCACGATTTAGGATGGTTACGAGTGTGAATGTTGTGTGGGATTTTCTGGTTCACATTGTGAAGAAATTGATGCTTGCACACCGTCACCATGCACAAACAACGGAATTTGCGTTGACTTATCGCAGGGACATCAAGGCAATTCTTATCAATGTTTGTGTCCGTACGGTAAGTGCTTTTGTATTGTTTGTTTGTCTTTCGACTTTGAAACTTTTCTCATTTATTTCATCCACCATGATTGTTGTTGAGACATTCAACACTTCGCTTTTATCGAAATACTTAATACATAAAAATCTTTCTCACTTGAAATAGGTTACACTGGGAAGAATTGTGAGTTTGAAGCAGATCCCTGCAACCCTTCTCAATGTCTACATGGCGGAACTTGCATCTCTAATAATACTACTCATTTCCGGTAAGATCTAAATGAGTAAAAGCAGACCAGAAACTCTTGCAACAACATCCATTTTTCTTTCCCTTATCTATCACTTATCACTAACCAGGCTTGCAAACACAACATTTCCTTTTAGATGTGAATGTCCGATCTCATACACGGGACCGCTTTGTCAACACAATTTGAATGAATGTGAATCATCGCCATGTGTTCATGGAATTTGTGTTGATCAGGAAGACGGCTTTCGATGTTTTTGTCAACCAGGTAATTCAATGACGAACAAAACTAAAAGGAAATTATACAAATCTATCTTAAAATGAAATTATAACAGGCTTTTCCGGAGATTTATGCAACATTGAGTTAAATGAATGTGATTCGAATCCATGTTTAAATCGAGCTCAATGCATCGACCACATTGGAAGGTTTTCATGTCAATGCACGAAAGGTTACCAAGGCAAAAACTGCGAAATTAAGGTATTCATTCATTCATTCAATCTTTCATTCATTCATTGAGTGCTGCTGTTCTTTCATTCATTTCATATTGATTTATTTTATTTTTTGTTGAACGAGAAAAAAAAGCATAAAACTTAAAGTTTACAAAAATCTTTTTGGAAAATTTCCAACAGATTGACTTTTGTGCAAATAACCCTTGCGAAGATGGATATCGTTGTGTAGACCATGGTAATGAATATTCCTGTGTATGTCCAGGCTCCAATGAAGGCAACGTTCCCGATTGCCATGAATGGCCAAGAACGGTATGCTCTCAATTATACATAAATTAATAAAAAAAAAGAAAATGTCGCAAGTTTTATGCCATAACTTGATACTACTCGTATGTACTCTGCAGCTGTGCACAATTAATCCTTGTGAGAATGGTGGAACATGTTGGACATCACACGAATCGTATTACTGTGCATGCCGTCCAGGATACACAGGAAAAATGTGTGAAGGTAAATTTAAAAAAATAAAATTCAACATTCAATTCACTTTCATTAATCATTTTGACTGTACAGAAAATTTTGTATTTGATTCTGTTGTGAGCTCAAGTGAGCTTTTGTCAGACTTGTCTGACACAAATGTTATTACATTTAATGAACCCCCTGACACTACTGGTGACGATGGTTCCTTTAGCAGCTACATTTGTGCCGGTGTCTTGAGCTTGATACTAATTACGCTTGTTGTTGTGGTGAGAATGAGAGAATGTCAGAAGTTAAATTTAATTAATGACTAATACAAATTTTGTGTATTCACATAGGTCAACTGGAAAATAAGCGGAATCTTCAGAAGAGCTTTCATTACTCGTCGTCAACTGATTCAATGTTTCAAGAGAAAACGAAGCAGCGAACGCAGTAAGCATTGGCTAAGTGGGAAGAATGCTTCTTTCTTCGAAGAGAATCACATAACGTTGAAAAACAACCAACTGCCTTCATTAGGCCACTGCACTAGTAGCAGTAATTTCTTCAACCGATCCCTCCAGACGAATCTTGAAAGTGACATGTATTGTGCAGTCGACCTTCCCGACGAGCCTTTAATTCACTAATCAGATTCACAATATTTTAACTCTTGCTCGTAATTATTATAAATTGCTTCAAATTTTACGATTTCTCTCCAACGTCTTCGACATAGAGAAAATTCGAGCTTAGGAAGAAAGCTTAGATTCTCGGAAAGTGTTGTTTAGTAAAGGAAAAGTGATAAGAATTGATAAGCAACCAACAAAATATAGTTTCGATGGAAAATCCCTTGAGTGACCGAGTTGTTTCATAGTTACCACAATCATCTCGTTACACAAATAACTAGTAAAAGGGGGAAATTCCATAGATTCATACCTTGTTACTTAAATCCCAGGTTTCTAGTTATTCAAGAGAAGAATGGGAATAGCAAGAATATTTGTTTTCGTGAAATTGGAAAAGTTGAATGTAAAGGAAAATGTCTAGCGGCTAACATGTTGGGGAGGTTGGAGAGAATTTGTACAATTTTGCTTCGTTATGAGAGTGAAATAATATTTAAGTTGTCTAGCAAAAGCATTTTTAAGTCGATCAATTTTAATAAATGCAAATATGTTGTTTAAGTTTTCATTAACAAATGAAATTTTCGTGTCTAAAGTCACTTGAGAAGTTTCATAATTTATGTAACAAACTTTGCGCTGTTTCTTATTGTTGTACATTCAAACAAGGTGCCAACTCTTCGTCCTTTTTGTTGAAAACAAATATCTAAGAATAATTTTTGTGACAAACTACAAAAGAATAAGAAAAGAAAGAAAAAAAAACAAGAAATAATTTTAAGGAATTTTAATCGTTACCATTAGTAATTATCGTCTTATTGGAAACCAAAAAAAAGGAAGTAATTAGAGTATTTTTAGCTATAAAATATCGTCGCTTACAAGAACGCTCGCTCAAAAGAAAATAAAATGAATTAATTGCATCCCAGAAATTGTCCAAAAGCATTACTACTTCGTCTATGAAGAAAATCTCACAGAGATCTTTCAAATATTTGCTTCTTCAATAATCATTGTCCAAAAAGAAAGAGAAACACGCTAATTACTACTTATTACAGTAAACTTTACTTAGCATTTTGTCCGATTAAAATGAAAAAAAAAAACATAACAAAATTTGTGCAATTTGTCTTTAAATGAAAAGCTCAAAAGAGAAACGATTAATTAATGTGTTTTTGAAGGTCAGTTTTAAGGTGCAACTGTAATAATATTTGATTGAATAAATAGAAAAAATTTCCTTTTTTGAGTTTAATCATTTTACTTAATTTAAGATACTCGTCGATAGTTAAATCTTATTCAACAATTTGTTGTTTGTTTTCGTTCTCTTTTTTCTTTTGTCCGCTTTCTTCTAAATTAAAAAGCGTCCTTAGAGAACTACTTAAAGAAAAGCGAACTGCTTTTCAGTTGTTATCGTTATTTAATCTTTAAAGCTATTTATCTCTTAATGTCTCCACGGCTTCTGCTTGATGGCTCTCATTAAAGCTGTCATCTTGTTGATTATCAACAATATTAGATTGACTACGACTCTCCAAGATTGGCTTCATAAATTCCTCTGGCTTGTGATGATGTTGTTCATGGTCTTCTTCTGGAATTGAGTCACGTCTTTCAGTTTCCTTTAAAAGATTTTAAAAGTCGTTAAGGAGAAGGAAATTATTTTATCACATGAAAATTGTTTTCCAACCTTGAGATAGTTACGCAGAGCATCTAATTCAACGTCGCCGGTGTTCTTCAAAGAATAAAGTAATCCACTCTGGTGATGTCTCTTCTTCTGCTTTGTCAGCAAAGATGGTTCAATGTCCTATCATAAAAAAACGAATAAAACGACGTGAAAATATTTCCAACAACAATTAAAATTCCACAACACTCACCTCGTTAAGAACTTCAATGAAGCATGGCTGGGAAATATTTCTGCCAGAGAGTTGATTAAACAATTTGGGTCCGGTAATCTCAGCTTGTGATCTCAACAATTGTTCAGCACTTTTCTCATCCTTTCGTAACATAGGATTGGAAATCTTTCCATTGTTAATCTCCAAAGCCGATTTTATCAAGTCAACCTTTTTTAACACATTAGAAGGATTGTGAAGGAAAACGAAAGAAATTAAAATAAATACCTTTGATGCGCTTCCACCTTTCGTGCTGATAGAGTAACTACTTCTTCGACGAATGAGAGAATCGATATCCGCCTGAAAATGATATCAATGAAAGACATTCCATTTGGGAACTAACAAATGTCTCTACCTTTGATCTTGACAAGGATGTCAAACTTCCGACTTGATTGTACTTTGACACCATAAGTGACAAACGTTCTTGTGACATTGAAGTTGAAGCATCACGAAATTTAGGTTCCGATTCTCCACAGACTTCATTGTCATCATCATCGTCAATCTACAAAAGAGAAAATAACAAAAAATTGAATATTTTATTTATTTCTTCACTTACCGCATCAAACTTCTTCAACCACAGATGATGAATAATTTTGTAGGCAATTCCACCAGCAACTGCTACCAGTCCCATGTATCTGAAAGCGTCCCTCGTTCCCACTTCTCCAATGAGAAAGCCCCCCATAAACGATCCACTTCCCCTTCCCAATGAAAAATGTGCCATCCCTTAAAAAGAAGGTATGAAAGTAATAAATAAACCTAATTAAGATTAATCATCTTCATGATAAAGTCAGCTTTGATAATGATGACGCACCCAAAACACCAATCAATGTGGCAAGCAAATTTTTGGGCGCTAAGAGAGAACAATATGTGGCAGCTGCCACCCACATAAGATGGCATGAAAGTGCTTCCATCGCTTCAAAGGGGAAACACCACCATGCATTCTCAATGAACGAGTAACCAACGAGACGACCAGCATGCGAAATAAATGCGATAACAATAAGATTGACGTGACCAAATATTCTCGTAATCTTCTCAGCTGAAAGAAATGAAAAGAATGTCAACTTGTTACTAATGCGAGTACTTATCAACTTACCTGTATAAAGAAACGGAATTGAACTTATTGTCCCTACAGTTATCGTTATTCCAAGAAGATAATTCGGGGCTCCAAGCTCTTTCAGATACAAAAACAAAAAGCTTTCAATGAAACCCCAGAAATTTCCCAACAAAAACAAGAACACAATGAAGCACATGACATGTGGCATCTTCAATAAATTCCATAAATCCCTAAAAACATTGTCAGCTGGCATTTTGTCACCGAGTGGCATTAGAAATACGGTGATAGCAGTGATGATGAGAAGAATGTCGTAAGTGTAGAAGGCAGCTGAATAATCTGTGTAACCCAACTTTCTCGAGTAGTAGTCGATAAGAATTCCAGTGATTGGTGAAAATATTGCCATGCCAAACATTGAGAAGAGACGTTCTCTGCCAAAGTCACCGCCATACTTCTCAATCATTGTCAATGCTATTGGGTCCATCATTGTTACACCACCTGACAACATTGTCGTCCCAAGGAATCTCAGCAGAAAATAAACCCAGAAAGTATTGTCATCACTTTCTCTGTAATCTGGTGGACAAATTTCCGGCCCACCTCGTAAAAATTCACATTTTTGAACCATGCAATCGCCAGCAAGTTCACGAAGTCTCTCTTCTGTTATTGTTATGTTGTGACGCATTACTAAACCTCCACAACGAAGATCGCTTTCATCAAGTTCAGTGACATTGACGCCTTTTGTCCAAAGCAACTTTTCTCCAAACCGTTGAATGAAATCCGTCACATTGTCTTCATTGTCGTCTTCAATTTCAATCCCTAATTGTTCAATTGGATCCCCTAAATCCGGATGCATATCGAGATGAAATAAAACTGCTTCACCACTACCAGCAACCCAACTTTCTTCTTCACTTTCATCTAACGTTTCAGATTTTGTTTCGGAAAAGTTTCCTTCACTTTTTAAAACTGTTTTCATCGATGGTTCTGAGGTTGAACGAATTAAAAAATCTGTCGTGACATCCATGCTGGTAGTAGTTGTAGTCATAAGTACAAAACTCTTTTCTCTTGTCAGATTACCTGGCTTCTTCTTGCTTACTTTAAAGTTCAGGTCATCAAAATCGTCAAGTTTTCGTATCGATGGTGATTTTGTGGGTTGTTGAAGAATTATCTCAATTTTAGGATTTTGTTCAAACAACAAACAATGGTCGATGCATGAGTCTACAACAATGTTTAATTCTTCTTCTTCTGGACATTCTCTAGAGGGACAAGGACTCCACCACACCTGAATATCATAATTTATTATTAAAATGTCATGAAAAAAGTTTTTTTTTCTCACTTCAACATTTCCTGTTGTTGGGTGGCGCATGACATAAGCATGAGGCATAACACCTGGAATCTCTTGTTGCGGAATAATGAAAAGTGCATGATGAAACAGAGCATTAAGAAGAAGTGTAAGTATCACAACAGGCTTATACTTTCCGAATTTGTCGACCAGAAAACCTTGTTTCATGTTATGAAAGTTTGAAATGAGAGACGAGAAATAAAAGCATCTAAATTAATTTAATTATTTCATCCTGCTTGTTTGTACTTATTTATTTATAGCGTAACTAAAGGGAAAAAATGTAATGCCAAACAGATATCAACATTTCATGGCTTTTTATATAAAAAATGGGAAAAGTTGGAAAGTTTTTTTATTTTTTATTTTCCTATCTTTCTTTACCTGTAATCGGTGGTGCCAAGAAAGTTGTGAACGGCAATGCGAGATAAATTATTGCAATTTCTTCCACCGTTATCCCAATGCTTTGCATATGAATTGTAAGATAAGGTAAAAGTGACGACGTCGCTGAGAAAAATAAAACTTACATCAATAAATCATTCGAGAAAAGTGCTTGCTCGTGTTTTTATAAAATATTTAAATAAATGAACAATTAAGTAAGTTATCCAACTTCATGATGTGTCGTGACAATGATTTAACTTGAAGGGTGCATTCGCTTTTATATTTCATTGGAAAGGAAAAAGATTTTCCATCAAAAGCTCAAGGTTTCTGATGATAAATATGTAAAAAATATTCAAGCTTGTTAGGCTTCTAAAGATTCATTTTCAAGGTTCGACGAGTATTTCAATGCATTGAATCGGACTCATCGTTTTATTTCAAAGTATTTCGCTTTATAAATCTTATCATTTAAACTGCAGCAAAGTTTCCGTGGAAAAATTGTTCATGAGTTTATTTTTATATGATCGTAAGGCGTCTAATTTTTCAATTGAAATTCTCTCCATGCCTTCAAAATGCTCTGTAATGTACTCTTCGAATCGAAATAAAATTTCTTTCCCTCACCTCCATGCATGACAAAAAGAGTCATTTTGAGCATGAGAAGATTTGAATTGATGCCATGGTTGAGACAAAATTTCGCCCACGATGATTTTCTTTTTTCATTTTCATCCGTTGCGGTCTGCGTTTCATTCGTGGAAGCTTTCATGACCTATGCTTTTGAACTTTTCACAAAATATTGTCGTCTCTCACTTTATTCAAGTTTAAAACTCTTTTTAAGCAATACACGAGACAAATAAACTGACAAAGCAAATTATGATAAATTAACTCTCAACTTCCGTTTTAATTTTTACACAATTTTTTTTCTTTCTTTCTTGTTTTTTTTGGATGGAAACTTATAAGGAGTTATAACTAAATATTTTTGACGTTTTCGTGTCAATATTTTATTTCTATATTTTTATCACTCGACTATCGTGACGATTCTGACTTATTTACAGCCGTAAAGAAATTTTCTTTATAAAGCTGACCGTTGCGATTATAGAAGTATAAAAATTAGCTCAAGTTCAGAGCTCCCGACAAGTATTTATACGATCATACCTTAATCAGACTGAGAGCTTTATCAGATGCTACACTGCTAATATACCCGAAGCTGCCTTTCACTCACACAAACAATAAATTTTTGATTTTTATCACGCTAGATCTTCTCATTCGCCTTATTGTAAGTAAGAATAAAATGTAGAATATCTACCTAACTGAAATAAAGTTGTGTTCATCATGTTTGTACATTTTTCTCCATTCAATTATGCAGTGAGTCTCTCATATTTTTCTCATTCTTATTATAGGTAAATCTACTTACATTTTTCACTCCATTCCTTATGACTTTTTTATGTTTAAGAGCATGAAAGTTTGTTGAAACAATCTCCAAATTATTTTAGTATTTTCATTAATAAATTAGAATAGATAATTTCGGGCTAGTTGAACAAGAAGAGAACTGTAGAATATTTTATTGGTCTTACTTAAAGTCTGTTTGCAAATGACAGAGAGTAAAACGCTTGTCCAATACCATGTGAAATATTTAAATCTATAACCGCTGCCCAAATAAACCACCTGAAAGAGACCTGCAACTGAGAATTTATGCATAAATAAATTATTTTGCTTGGACATTCTTAATTCATCATTGATAAATTTTATTCTATCAAGAAAAATAAATTATTGGAATTTTCCTTTCAGTAATACCTAGTTCTAAGGAATCGCTTAACATAAACAATATTTGAATGTAATCCAAAGATTATGTTGTCTCATCATGTGTTTCCTTTCTTTCGTTTTCGAATTTTGACAGATATGTGGGAGATTATAATGATATAGAAAACTATTTGTAAAACATCATAATTTTGTTTTCAATTGAGAAAAAGAGAAGAAAACTGCTGGAAAACATAAAACATGTTTCTGCGACTGAATGTTTATTTATTCTATGTATCATTTAAGTCATCCTCAATTAATCTTCACTCAATTTTGTGAATAAAGCTATCAAACCAACTTTATTAAAATTACCAGCTCGAAAACGTTAAAGATTCAAAACTTTAGTATTGGAATTAATCACAGAGGTCGCGCTTGTCGACTGTATCAAAGAAAAAGACCCTTAAAAGGAATTTTAATACAAAAATAATAACAATGTTGCAATTAATTTGTAAAAACAGATACATCATCTCGAGATTCTCCTCTACAACCTCGTTTTTAAATTCTGAAGTCGCAAATGTTGCTGATCAAAGATTACAAGCGACTAAAGATATTCCTGCATTTAAACGACCTCTACTCATTCCGAATAGTCAGAATGTCACAGCATTTAAAGACAGAAACGGTGACTTCTCGTACTACGATCTAATGGCTGGATCAAACACGCTTTCATCACAAATTTTGCACTATTGTGGTGAGTATAATGAGTGGAGTAAATAATGAAAAATTTATGAAATGAAAATGTAAACATTTCAATTCAGGAAAGGGAAGCAACTCAAGAATTACTTATCTTTGTCCCAATGATATCACAAATCCAATGGCACTACTAGCAGCATGGATGTCTGGAAATGTCGGTAAGTAATTTCAGATAATTCCAAAAAATGTTTCGCTTAATTTCTTATTTTCAGCGGTGCCATTAAGTGCAGCACATCCAGCAGAAGTTCTGGAATATTATATCAACGACTCTCAGTCAAATCTCATTATTACTACACCTGAATATGAAGCAAAATTGAAGCCAATTGCAGAAAAATTAAAAAAACCTTTGCTTGCATTTGAACATCAAAATTTCATAAATGAAGAAACAAAAAATGTCGATGAAAATTCGCTCGTTCTAAATTCGTTGGATAAAAAATTCTACGAAAACTCACCAGCATTTATTGTGTACACAAGTGGAACAACAAGCAAGCCAAAAGGTGTCGTAATTTCTCATTCGATTCTTGAAGCTCAAATCGAGTCTTTACAAAATGCTTGGAGATTCGGAAGCCACGACACTTTCCTTCATTCACTTCCACTTCATCATGTTCATGGCTTAGTCAATGCTATGCTGTTGCCATTATTTTCAGGAGGGAAAATAGTGATGCTTCATAAATTTGAAACCGAAAGAGTGTGGAAATATTTGTTAAACATCAATAAGTTAGCAAAGGATAAAATTACAGTTTTCATGGGCGTCCCAACAATTTATAGCTACCTCATTGATGAATATGAAAAGCTTTTCAGTAAAGATGAAAATATGAAAGAGTTCATTAAGAAACATTGTCAGAATAAAGTGCGCACATTTATATCTGGTTCTGCTCCACTTCCAACGACAGTTTTTCAAAAATGGAAGGAAATTACTGGTCACAACCTTCTTGAGCGTTATGGAATGACTGAAGTTGGAATGGCATTGAGTAATCCACTGCAACAAGATGATGTAAGAAAGAGAATTCCAGGATTTGTTGGACAACCACTGCCTCATGTTCAAGTTCGTTTAACAAATCCTGACAACAATAAAGAAGTTTTGGTTGAAGCTCACGGTTTATTAGACGAAGGTTTGTGGAGTCCCGAAGAAAATTCTGGCACATCAAATCGATCGATTGTTAAAATCAAACCAGAAGCTTCCAATGATCTGGAAATTGTTGGAGGCTTGCAAATCAAAGGAAAAACTGTGTTTAAAGAATATTGGAATAAACCGGAGGAAACCAAGAAGGAATTCACACAAGATGGTTGGTTTGTCACTGGCGACATGGCATGTTATGATCAAACGTTGAACAGCTTTAAGATTCTTGGGCGAGATTCATGTGACATCATAAAATCGAAAGGATATCGAATTTCAGCACTTGAAATGGAAACAAAATTGTTGGAACATAAAAATATTGAAGATTGTGCTGTGATTGGGATTCCCGATAAGGTTTATGGACAAAGTTTAGTCGCTTTGATTAAATGTCGCAATCCAGAAATTCCAAATGCGGCTCAAGAATTAGAGAAATGGTGTGTTGATAAATTTGCTACTTACAGCATTCCAACAATTAAAATTCTTGAGAATATCCCTCGAAATCAAATGGGAAAAGTAAACAAAGCAGATTTGGTCAAAAATTACTCTACAACTACATCAAGTCAATAACAACATTTATCATTTAAAGTGTTCAATTTTTAATTTATAAAGATTTCATTACAATGTGAAAAAATAAAAGAAAGTTATATCATTCATTTCTTTTGATAAGTTTAATTAACATCTTTCTAAGGTCACAGAAGGGTTATTTTCAACTGAAATATTTAAACCTTTTAATAATAGAAAAACCACAGATATTCAAACTTTTTGGTTTGAGTCTTGGATAAAAAGCTTTTAAAAAGCTCCTCTAACGTTCAAAATTTATCAGATTCGACCAATCTTCTGTTTTCATATTTTATCAATTGATTGCAAATATTTTCGCTATCCTTTATTAATAAAAGTTGTTCAAAGTGATTGACAGAAGTATTTCATTAATCCTTAATGTTTTTCGTATTTTTAGAAAGTATTTTAAAGCTTCTTAGCACAGTTGGCAAAAACAAAATTTTTGACATCAAACAATTCCAAATAATTACATCCTACAAAACTCTTAAAAGCAATCGGAAACATTGATTCAATTAGAGTCTCTTCATTGGAAATCAATCATCCCTTCTGTTTTTGTGAATGTTTATTTAGGCTTTACATATAATTACTTTGAAGAATTCTTCCAACTACTACATATAAATTAAAATAATTATATTTTCCTGATGCTTTCTCCCTTCCTTTCTTCTCTGATTTCCTTCTTTCCACAACCAATAATTCAGAAAAATTAGTTTGGGAAATATATGTTTCAGAATTGATTCAGGCTTGAATGAATAAACTTTGCCAATCAAAAAAAAGAGCTATTAATTGACTTTTTAATTGGATCAAATTAGAATAGAAAGTTATCAAGGATCCTCGAGAAGATGTTTAAAACTGATTAAGAATAGGTAAACAGGACTTTCTGAAATCTGAGGCTCCACTTACCTCTCAACCCTCATCAAAGTTTTGTTTTATAAAATAAATTGGAAATTTCCCTTTTACGTAGGATGTGAAATTTCTTCCGAAACTTTTCAGATATTTCTTCAAGGCAAACTATTTTGTAGCTTAATGATGTTAGTCAATAAGCTCTAGCATATCAATTAAATACAAAGATAATTTTGTGTCAAAAGTTTGCGATTATCCCAAATATAGAATAAAAGAAACGAAAATTTTCTTTGTTCACCTTTTAGTTGGGCTTCTGATTACGTCTAACCAAAAGGTAAACTCAATTGAAAGTCGAAAGAGAAAACTATAAGAAAAGATTTATGAGACTCTCTGTTGTGGGACTTTCCTGATTATTTCTTCTACAATAAACATTATTACATTATCGTATACAATAGTTAATTAGTTCGTAGTAAATCTTTCTAGGGTCTTTTTGTGGATGAAGAAAATTTTTGTCCCGTCGCTTGCCTTTAGGCTCATCTTCTTCTATTGAATTAAGAATGAGAAAGTTTTTCTCGTTTTATTTCCCCCGCCTATTCGTTAGCCAAATTACTGTGCTCCTTTCCACCATAAGACTTCATTTTCATTTGCATCAGGGAATTGTTTTCTGGAGTTCATTTCTACTCAAAGCTTTCTCTGCCAAGTTACAAGGATCTTAGCTGAGGTTGAATAATCAATGAGCATTATTTTAATTAGCTAATCATAGTTAATCAAGAGAGGTAACTCAGTATTCAGAAACAAAGTAGAATAATTCATGAATCAAATGTTCCAAGATGATTAAGTTAAAGTTTGGAAAATTATTCAGAATTAACTTTTGATTGATTCTATTCAATTAAAAATGTTTTCTCTCAACTTAACTCTGTCAGATGTCTTTGTCAGACTTAAATCTTGTGAAAAAGGAGAATAAAAAGTTTTAAATGTTTGCAAAATGATATATTTGTACGGTAGTAAAAGCAGCAAGTCGTAGAATGAATGTTCAGAAATTAATTCTCAAACATTTGTCGCATATGTGGAACAGTAAAATATTTCATGGCGTGTATTTATGTTGTGCAAATATTTAGAAAAAGCTTTTTACTTCTTTCTGGAATATTTTGTGAAGTTTGAAATGATCTGCATTTAGCTTTTTCTGCCTTGCTTCTCTTGTTAAAAGTTGTATCCAACTTTCAGATTACAGTAACCCATAACATTTTACCCGAATTGTGAATATTTATTCTGAGTAAAATCGTGATGCATATCAAAAATTAAAAATTCTTCTTTTGATATTTTCGCATGCCTTTCTCCGAACAAAGTTTTTAATGATCGCAATATAAAGGCAACGACATAGTGAAGCTGAAATTCAGTTTTTTTATGAGATTCTCAAAACTCTTAATAGAACTAACATAACAAATTCATGAATTTTAAATCGAAAGATAAATAAAAAGTTGGAATTTTCTCCATGTTATCCTTAAGCCATTTGTATTCATTCGACTGTACTGTTCATCGGACATAGACTTGGTATTTTAATGCGGAACTGTGTATATATTCCAAATACATAAGTTAACATGTACAATAAGTTTACATAAAATTTGGCCTTTCGCAGATGAGAAGGAAAATTTACCGATTTATGAATAATTTTCCATTTTCTTCTTTTGGGACATAAATTAGTATTTTCTGTGATAAAAATGATAAACGATGTTAAGCTCTGACATAACATGAAAGCCACAAAATTCCCTTCACTTTCACACTTTATTTTTTCCCTCTCTAAAGGGTTGATTGGAGAAACTTTTTATTTCACTTGTTTTCTGTAGACAAACCAAAAAAATGTTTAAAATCTTTTCTATCAAGAGAATTGAAAGCTTCCTTAAAGTTTTCTTTAAATTTATTAAACTGATATGAAAATAAATTGCTTTAATTATAAACGTGCTGTGACATATTTATTTACATACATCAAACCAAAATGAGTTTCAACTTTAAACTCTAATGAAGCTTACATCTTTGAAAAATTGTGGGATCCAAAAAGTTTTCCGCCTGTTGACTCAAACGACTTTGAATCAACATAATTTAAATTACCACAAATATTTACTTTCACAAATGTAAATAAAGCTTTTTTGAGTCTATGAATGAAAAGAAACTGTTAACATAGAAGTCTAAGTTTAAAATGTTTAAATGCAAATGAAATATTGATTTCGTTGCCTAGTCTTCAACTTAGTTTCCTAGAATGTTCCTGAATATTTTAAAATTAAAAAGAAATGTTAAATTCTGCCTTGTTATTGTTGTTCTTTTTTCTCCTTAAGATTTCTCGTGAATTATTTAATTTTTAGTCTGTTCACAAGAAAATCTTTCATTTATGATTCCAAGAACGTTTCTTAGCTTCACAATGCCTTTGGCTTGAAATAAAATTTTTATATCTCTTTCTCTAAAGAGTTCAAGTTTCATTTCAACAAAATCAACTTGTTCATTATGTTTCTCATTACGAATTTAATTTAGTTTCTGCAATGCAACTGCGAGTATGGCAACTTTTCTATTTTCCTCTTCATGAATATATTTCCCAGTCACGTAAAAATGTCAGAAAATTTACAATGCGAAAATTATATTCGTTGCGATCTTCAGGGAAGTGGAAATTTCCATTAATATAACTTGATAACATTGGAGGCTTCGTCTAAGAGGAGAAAGCTGATGCATTCCTTCCACATGACCAACAACAAGTCTTTGCTTTATCAAACTGTTTATGCTTGTTAAAGAAAAAGAAAACATTTATGCAGATAATTAAAGAAATGTTTCTATTAGTTCATTATGTGAATATTTCAATCCTTTGTCATTGTTAAGCTCCAATTATTATAATTGATTATAGTGTTTCATATCTTTAGGGGGGAATAAAACTAAATGCTTAATAACAGGTCGTTAAAATATATTGTTGAACCATAAGGGCCTTTAGTTTTGTTGTCATTAATGACTCGAATTATTAAGCATTAAAAACATTTCCATTCAAAGCTCTAATAAGCCCTTCATTTGAGTTCGATAGCTGAAATCATTTTATTGAAATATTTATTCAAATAACATTCCACAAAGTACGTTTGAATATTTGTTCTGACATATTTTCACAAACAAAAAAAGAAGCTTTCCGATAACAAGGCAATAATGCTTATTGAAGGGACATTGTGTAACAAATCTTCAAGTTGAAAGTGGTTGAAAGGTTCACCAAATTGCAGTAGAAAATGGGAAGATTCAAATAAGTCTTAGTTGGTGGTGAAATTCTTACTATGAGTGCTTCTCTGTTCCGGAATTTATTCTGCTCCCTTCCAACAATGGTTTTAAACCCAATTTCTTTCATGACAATAAGTTCGATAAGCTTTCTGCGGAAAGGAAATGGGGAAAAAGTTGGAAATCCGATTAAGTTAATTTCCTTAATGCTGTTGCTGTTCAAGTCGATTGACAAGTTTTGGTTCGTTTCTTTTTATTCATTCCTTGTCAGTTTCTTATGATTTGCAATTTAAATATTCGCTCTTTTTTCAATATCTTCACCCTTATCAACCTCACATTCCTGAGCAGATTTCATCCCTCGGCTGAATGTTGCTCTCTATAAATTATTCTCGAATTCATTATCATTTCTTTTCCAGCTTCTTTTTGCGCCCCTACATCAGAATAATATTGATAAATATTTTTTCAATCGATGTTTTCCCTCCTTCCCTGCCACTTTTTGATCTTTTTTTTATATTTTTTGTTCCCACAGAAAAACATCAATATTTTTGCAACATTAAAAATGCGTAAGAAAATAATCATTTCCATTTTATCGAAACCCAACCGCAAATCAGCCTTCCAATAAATCATGATTTCAGAGCGCTTATGTAACAAAGAATTTAGTAATGTGGCGTTATACGAATCTAGAAATCTTTTCTCGAATATTCCGGTGTAGCCAACGGGAATGTTACGGGTGGGAAGTTCGCAACTTTTCCAGCAACTTTCAATATGATTTCTTTTCTATTTATCTGAAACTTCTTCCGTTAATAATGGCCAAGTTTTTCTTCTTCTTTTCTGCTCGTGCTTCATTCATTATCATAGAATAACACACAGAGATAAATTTATATTCCTTTTTAAAACCTTTGTTGTTAAAGTAACTTTCCTTTTCCTATCTTGAAATTGAAAATTTTGTCAGGCAGAATTTCAATGGCCTTTTTTTTATCTGGAAACAATTTTAATTTTCTTTTACAACTTCTCCTTTTGCAAGACATAAAAAAAGTTTGTTTTGACGCACGGACCGTAAAAATTTTTACTGCCGAAAAGGCCTTTTATGAGGCGAGATGTTTTGAATTGAAATCAATTATCATCATTGCCTTTCAATTTACTTCATGATCTCTTTTCATTCTCATTCATTCGCTCGTCTGTTGGCATGGTGTGAGGAGAATAAAATTTAATTCTTGGTCCGATGAAATAAAGTTGTTCCATTGAAATTACACACAATAAACATGATTGGAAAAAAAGCGAATAAAAAGTTTTTATGTCGATTTCAATGAGAGAACAAAGTTTCAATGTTCAAAATTCTTTGTTGTTGTTTTTCTTTGACGAGTGTCGTTCTTTCTTTCTTTTTCTTTCTTTATTGAGAAATTGAATTCAATCGGGAATAAAACTCGAAAACTTTCATGTTTGCACAATATTTTTGACATTTCTATTTGATTAATAGCAAATGTTTACTGCTTTTCCTTTTAATTATTCTGATTTGTGGAAGAACATCTGCGGATGATTAATTCCTATCATTCAGATGTGCCTTCTTTTCCATTTGGCATGAGAAATCTGGAATCTTGATTTATTGCGATTGTAATCGAGAAATATTAATTTGATTACGTATCTAACATTCTCCATATTTGTCTCAAGGCATTGAGAAGTGATTAACGTCGAACAAAATTTTTTTTTATTCGACAAAAGCTTCTAGAAGGTTAAAAGAAAATCTCATTTTATAATCGCAGTGGGCATTGAAGATTCACAATAAAAAATTTATTTTCCACACCAAGTTCAAGTTGGATTATCTAACAAGAAAAAGTTTTAAAAATGTATTTTCTTCAATTAATTGATTCATATTGCGGTCCATTAATGTGTTTCCTTTCTGCAACTTGTAATCGCAAAAAAGGAATGAAAGATGTTAACGTCTGGCAAATTCCTTTCAAAACTCAATTTTACAATTTTCTTCTGACGTTACATGACAAGATGATGTGTCCAGATTGCATTGTGTTCTGCTATTGGTTCTGTATGGCTCTAGCAATTTATGGCCTAACTGAAGCTGTCAATGAATTTTTCTGGACTTATCGAAGAAACTTAAAATTTTGTGGTGCATTATCACATATTTTTACTTCAACATTCTTTGTACTTGGACTCCTGGGCTTACAAGATGAACTCATGTTTCCCTGGGTTATCTTGGTTGGCTCGATTATCTTAGAAGTCTTTTTTTCCTGGACGTTTATCGCAGCTGGCGAACCGAACACACAAAAACCGATGCTGTCATTGATTTTTCTCTTGTATCGATTGGCCATATCATTGCACATGATAATGACGATACGCAATTGGAATCATCACAAGAAGAATCCTCCAGCCGTCCAAACTGCTATCAAGAATTTAACTTCTCAAAAATTCTTTGTTATTTCATACTGGTTGAATATTGTCTTCGCTGTAATTGGAATTGGAGAAGCATTGAAAGAGCTTTACAGAATTTTAAGCACACCTAATTATCAGTCAAAAATATTTGGAAGCCGAGAAATTAATTGCGTTTCATTGAAGAATCAAAGACTCTTAAGAATCGTTGGATTGCTTTCAAACATTGCTTTGCTTCTGATGTTCATCTATGGTGTCATTACATTCCGTCCACAATTCATCTCTCTCTGGATCTTCTCACAAAAAATTCTCGTAATGTTGGAAATAATCATAACAATCTTAACTGCAATCATATCGAGAAGCTTCAAGCCAGAAAATTTCTTTTTCTTGATATTCATGATACTTCGAATCAAAATTGCAAGTTATACAAAGACCGAAATGATTGAAGCACTCACGCTTATAATGAAAAATTTGCAGGTGTCGGATGAAATGTCACAAAGGACATTAAAATTCCTTACAATTTATTGCGCAATAACAATACTCGATTCTCTACGCTTCTGATTCATTTATCTCGAGCGAATGGATTCAATAATGAATTATTTGTAGGATTGAAAGCATTAGATAAAAGATGATTACAAAGGCTAAACGGTGCACATAAATAAATTCCCCAAACTCACAACTCACGACTTGATGCAACTCATCCGCATGAACTGTTCTGCTTTCTATCTTCACCACTATTTACCCACAGCGTGTGTGCATTTATTGCTTAACCAAACAAATTAAACAATAAATTTTCCGAAATGAAAAACGTTTTCCGCATTTTTTCCGCACTGAGAATTTACAGAGGAAATTCCTCTCTCAAATATTTATTCTTCAAACGAGGGAAGTTAAAAATTCGAGCTTAAAAGTCTTTCAACATCCATGAAGTCCTTTATTCCCTTTTTATATGAAACACTCAGTGAAATTAAAAACATTTGTGGTTTATATACTTTTTTTTTAATTTCCCATTTTCCACAATGCTTTTCATTTTGCTGGTTGTAAAGAAGGAAAGAAAGAAAGAAGCTGAAAATAGCAACTAAATGGAATGATGACAAGATGACCATGAGATTCTATCACGTTTTTATGATCGAAAATTGTGCTGTCGGGCACGTGTTTCATCTAAAATATTTTCACCTTTTTATATTTCCAATGTTTAACAAACTTAATTAAAGATTAATCATGCGTCTTGAAATATTCAGATTAAACCATAAACAAGATGATTTCAGAAAGGTTCGAAATACGACATAAAGGATGGATAATGAAGAGCAAACTCACCCACGTTAATGAGTAAGAAGAAGATAAACTAGAGGAAATCTTCCTTTTCTTAATTTTCCTCTTTTTCCTTCAAGAAAAATTTGTTTTTCCTTTAGCAAGGAGAAGAAATTACTGCTTATGAGATGCTCTGACTATGTCAGAAAATATTTACACCTGAAACAGTTTGTCTAACGATCTTCTTGCTGAAAAATCAGCTTACCGTAGAAGACGCATCAAAATTAACCGAGCATGGAAAAAGCTTACGAGGAAGGTTCAAAAATGTTTTTTTCTTTCTTCTACCTTCATAAAATTTTTAATGACGTAACAAGAAAAGTTTTATGTCTACGATATCTGCAGTCATTATGATCAAATTACATTTGAAAAGTTTTTACACTTTGGATCAGAGCCTCAGTCGTTTTAACTGTATCTTTAGCTTAATTATGGCACTGATTAATAATAAATGAGGCGAGAGTGGAAATTGATGGGAACGTTTTCTCTCACGATCAAAACGGAAAAACTTTACAATTTTCCTTTTCTGCAATTTAGAATCCTTTTTAACGTTTCACTTTTTTCTTTCTTCCTCCGCAATGATCTCATAAATTATTCCGTTGATATTAATGATTTCGCAACATAAAATAAAAAGACAAAAGAGAGGTAAAGATAAAACAAATAAAAATTGTGAAATAAAACAAATTAAGAGAAAAGCGAATTAATATTTTCAGTGTTTTCCTCCATTAAATTACATTTTATTATAGTTTTTCTCTACTTTTACTATCATTCTACATTAGATGTGGAAATAATTTATGGAAAATTTATCCATTTCCACACTAAGGTTAATGACTAAAACTTTTTTTCACTCTTCAATTTACATAAAACTTTATTCAGACATTATAAGACTTATAGTTGAGCCATCGTGAGAGTTTTCTCACCGTTCATTTGCTTCACTTACAAGTTCCAACAACCCCATCCCTCAAAATTCAATTGAAAGAGAAAAAAGATAAGAAGCGAGGAAATACGAAAGACGCTGTCGAAGCGAATTTATCGACGGTTTTACAGTCGATTTCACAATTCCCATTTTTATCTCAGAAAAAGTTCCATTTAAGCTGCCGATTTATTTATCGATATCCCAATTTTCATACGCATTAGTGATTTATTGCACAAAAATTCCATAATAAAAATGGTTAAAAAAGGCTGAGGGGGGTAAAAAAAAATGCGCAAAAAGAATTTGCATGAATGATTTATGGATTTCTTAGAAGCGCAATTTTTTAAAAGATGCCAAGCTGTCATAATTCGGCGTCAAATAATTTCATTATTCTTCAAAAATAACTTCTTAATGAGTTGAATCGTTTCATTGGAAACGTTTTTATTTTCACCTCAACCACCAGCAAATTAACAACCGAAGTCAGTTGCAGTTTTCCGAAAAGGACGTGAGGTAAATTCTAGAAACATTTACATTCGCTCTGCTTTGAAACACAAAATCTGGCTGAAGTTTGTATGTAAAGAAAGAAAACCAAACCGACATTGAAATTAAACTAGAAATAGCAAATGCAAATGCAAATGCGCCACGTTAAAACTTCTTTTTGAAATATTCAAATTATTCTTCTTCAATTATGTAGAAATATTCAATTTCATGCATTTTCTTCAATTTTCTTTATGCATTTTAATGAAGAACTGTAATACTGGCTGTATCATGTATCGCATATTTTAATGATAAAGCTTTTACTGTTTTCAGCGAACAAATGAAGACTTTAAGCAATAATTCAATTTAGACAATCGTCAGTATCATTTCTCCCATTCATATAATGAAATCATTTATTTCGAAAGAGAATTAGAAGCGTATACGAATCGAGAGTAAGTTGAAATGTTCAAATTCTGTATCATTTTACTTCTGTCAGAAAGTTTTCATTTTTTAGCAGAATGCAAGAAGTTTCAGAAACAATTCATAACTGAAATTGTTGTTGAACTAAAAATAAATTCAAGAGGGAAAGCTTAAATATGAAATGAATATTCCATAGAATTGCAATTAAAACTTTTGTAATCGGATAATTGCACTTGTCATATACATCTCACAAAAAATTCCTTCTACAGTTCCAACGATTTGATATCCAACCACTAGCAAATAATAAAAAAGCTTCATTAGTTTTTCTGAAAGAAGTAAGGAAAATAGTTGGAAGTTTGTTATAAAAAAATAATTGCAAGCAAACATTTAGAAACTCGAATTTTTTCTCCATCTATCCCATTAAACTTTCATATCCATTTCATTCATATAAATTATTTAGACTTTAAATGATGTATGGACTTGAAAAACTGTGCCATACTTAAATCTGATGAAGTCATTAAATTTCATAACTTATCTCATGCTTCCCATCATTTATCTAAAATTTTCAGCATTTCACTACACAATTCTGTCAGTTTCAATTATATTGATTAAGTTATAAATTGAGTGGAAGTGTCGACAAATTTTATTATGCCATCGGTTTTTCATTTCCTAAATTTTGCTGAATTACCAAAAAAGAAAAGTCTACTAAAGTATTTGGAAGTTTCCAAAGATTCTGATGCTCATAACGATAAAACACGATTGCTAAAGAGATGACTTCATGCAGCAAAAAAGATAAAACACGTTTAAAAAAACTTAATTTGCAGTTTCTACTGAACATTTCTCTTCATCAATTTCTTCCGTTCGACATTCTTTTATCTTTCAAAATGAGCAAGCAACGCCAATGGTTATGTTTAAATTACAGTCCGGTGTATATAAAAATCGATTTATTATATATTGAGAGAAAAAAATTCTGCATACTTAAAGTCTTGCAACCTGTTGTTATTTCTCATTATCTTCTTCTGTTGCTCCGTCAAAGGTGTTAACAAATTTCCAAAGACGTGACAGAAATAATTCAAAGTATTTTAATATTTTATAATCGATGCAACGTACAATCTGTTAATGTGCGAAAGATTCTGCAAGAATGTTAAAAAGGAACTTTTAAAGAATAAAATATTCCACTTTTTTTTTGTTTAATTTTGATTCAATGATATGAAATCTTTTGTTGCCAAATATCTTCGTAAAAGAGACAAGAGAATTGTTTTGTTTTGCTCGTTTTGTTTTTAAAATTCTCATTTTATTTTCCTACGTAACTCAAGGATGCACGTGACGTAAGACTGCATTAAGCTTTAACGTGACGTCTCTCTTACGTAAGAGTCTACGTTGAGTTTAATCAGATATTTTTATTAAAAATAATATCTTCAAAGATTATATCTTGTAGCTATAATCTCACGAGTAAACATAAATGTTTATGAACATTTTTAAATTTTTTAAATTACCTGCCTTTTTCTTTCACGTTCAGTCACTTGTTTTATACAAGAATTTCCTACTTCAAATGTTACTGATTCAACTACGAGCATGGAAGGCAATAAAATGTTGAATACACACCGAAAATTTGCGGAAACTGACAGAAATATATATAAAAGAATGGAAGTGGAATATCAGCATTCTAGAAATGTGATCTGATTGCAGACAATAGAAAAAAAAGAGCAAAAAGAATATTATACGGGAACGTGAGACTGAACAGCGTATTCATATCACTGTCTACAGTCACCAACAATCACACGACCTACTTTTTTCTGAATGAACTTTGGTGAATAATTCACGAGCTTTATGTGACAGTCTTCGATGCGCTGTTCCATTTTAGTGATTGGATTCATGTTGAAGTTTACGTGAGACTCACTGCGTAATATTTTCCAAAGATTTTCCACTAGATTATTGGATTACGTGGAGTTGTATAATAAATAACAAAAACAGAAAAGTTGATAATTCCTAACTGTTCAGAGACATAAATTCCTTTAACAGCCTATAACAGCCTTCGGCGACATTTTTGTCGCTTTATTAGCTCGTAAAGGCTGTTAATAAATCAAATCAAATCACTTTCCTCTCCCTTTCTCTTCTCTAGCGTCGTTCATAATTGCAAAACTCTTCAAAACTTTTGTCAGAGAGCTTTCATTTAATTATCTGATAGGCAATGGTAAGGGAAATCAAGTAAGTGAGGTTATCTCCCCTAATTGAAAGAAGGGTGATAAGTAGAATAAAGAACATCAGAAAGTGTTAAAGTCATTAAACTTAATTAAATAACACAAAGATTACAATTTTTATGTAATAAACATTTTCAAACATCCAATTTGAAAGTTTCTTTTTTTTTTGGCAGGATAACAGAAAAAATTTTGAGCTTTTTCACGATGTCTATCGTTGGAGAAGTTGTTGTCTGTTCGAAACTTTGAAGTTCACAAAAGTTTTTCTGTTATCCGCAATATCCGCCCCACTTGTTTATGACTAAAGTTAGGAAACTTTACTTTTATTGAATGCTTATGAAAAGTCATAAATTTGGAAACAGTTCAAACTATGTATGTCAATTTGTGGCAGTGTAAGAGTGAAAGTTCCTGGTTGAGTTTAAATGCTTTTTGAACGAAGGGGATTCTTATATATTTCTTTTTTCTCCGAAAATGTTTAAAAAGAGAAAAATGATTTTGACCTGATTTTTCTTCGTTTAAGCTGATGATCAGGTTTATCTTCTCCACAACACAAACGTTAATGTCCATGGAGAAAAGAAAGTTATCTTACCGTGAAATGTAAAGCGACATACCATACGATTTGTGTGAGTTCAGACCGAACCATTTTCTTGCCTTCCCACAAAGATTCTTTTCCTTTGACACTGAATATTGTTTTGTCTTCTTGTGAACGCTTTTTATTGAATTATGTTTCTTCCACGTCTGCTTCACTCTCGTCTCTTTTTTTACGTCTTTTCCCATCTTTATAATTCAATTACTTATCGTCGCATCAAGTCGTGGAAGAAAATTAATTTATGCTCGTTTATCTTTCATCTCTTCGTGTTTGGGTTCTCATTGACTTGAAGTTGTGTTGCGTTGCTTGAAAGTACGTTCCATTGTTTTCGCGCAAATTAATTAAATTAATTAAAAGCAACGCGTTTTAAAAGAGAAATGCGAGAAAATGTATGTACAACATTTATTGAAGATTGTCTGGAAAGTTTCATATGTTTAAAATATCATGAGACGCGTTTGTAGATGTTTTTCGTCATGTTAGTTGAAAAAGTGATAAAACTTTATAATAATGTTGTTGTATGTAACAAAGAACATCGCGAGGAATGTGGTTGTTGATGATATTAATAGAGTTGTTAATACTATTTGACTTCCTAAGTCTGAACTAAATAAATGTAGAGCTGTTGTAGTTGCTAATTATGTTCTTTTCATCTTTCAAACTTTAATTTAATCTTCTTCAAAGCACGGATTACATTTGGTTACCAAAACACACAAAGCATTTAATGCTTTAAATAACAGCTGTGCTGCTAAATAATTCAAATCCGAAGAGCTTTGATGCTTGTTAGTAGTACTTAAACAATTACTGAAGTTGGTGATGTTGAGAGAACTTTTTTTTATATCGAGTGCTTTATTTAAATAAAAATTTAAATTCCCTTTCGTTTCCATTGACAAGGGATATTGAAATTTAAGTATCATCTCCAATTTCTTGAGTGATCGTCTTTAAAGATGGGATGGAAAAATAATTTCCTTCGTTTTCATCAAAAATCAGAATGGAACTGAAAGTTTAGCTTTAGCAAAAAATAAATGTTTTACGACTTACAATCTTTCGCCCAAATGCATTTTAGTGATGATAAAATATTTGCGGAAACGTGTAAAATTTTTATGGTGCATTAGCTTTTACTGCCATTGAAACAGCTTTACAGCAAATTGCTGTTCATACAGAAATGATTTCCATAAAAAATTTCTTTTCTTCACTTTCCCCATGCGACAAATCTCGGGTAAGTTTTGGACAGAGGAAAATTTGAATGCTTCTTATATAACATCAGATGAGTGATTCGAATAACTGAACAGGAAAAAAATATGTCATGAAACTTAATCCCTACTCAAAAATCTTCAACCTCGGATCGAGTAGTATTGAGAAGGTTAAATGGCTTCATATTTCTTCCACATCGGGATCATTACGGAAACGCTTGAAGCCTACTCAACTGTGAAATTGAGCAAATCCTTCGAATAAATGCTGAAAATATAATGATTATGTCATATATCGTACACTTATTGATAAATGATGCTTTTTCAATCTATAAAAAAGGAAATATTTTCTACTTTTTATAAATGTGAAAAGAAAATTTGGGTGCCTATTTTTAAATGACTCTCATTACTTAAATATTTTGGTAATGATGTGAAACATAATAAATATCAGAACATGTTATGTTGTTACGTGATATTCAATCTTGAATGTAAGGGAAATGTTATTTATAAGTTTATAGATGGACCCCATTATATTAGTCAATTCACTACGTTTTCCTATTCCAATTAAAGTAATAAAGTTTAACTTTACTACATGCCTAGATTGCATGGTCAATATTATTCAAAGATATCTAAAATTTCATTTTATAAATCAAAGCAAAAATCTCAATGAACTCTGATGGTTTTCTGGAAACTTTCATTTCATTATAACCATTGGATCAAATGCTGAAGTTGAGAACCTCAAAGCACTGCCCGAAAATGAACAAAATATCAACTGTAGACTTACAACAGTTAATATTCAATTTAGCTTTGTGACAAGAGACTTTGATTGCAAATAATATACTGCAAAATTGCAAAATTAAAATAACTGAAACCAAAGCATAATCAACTTCAACATGTTTGGGTAAATTAAACATGAGCTTTGTCGGGACTTGTTTAATTAATTTTGTAGTGAAGCTATTTAATCAAGAAAAGTATGAAAATATGGGAGAAACTTTCTATGGAGAAATAAATTAATGTTGTAATTTCAGGATAGCAAATAATGAGTTCATTTTCTAGAACTTTCGGTTTGCAACGTACGAAGCATTTCGGTTACCAAACTCACATATTTGTGCGACTTTCGTATGAGTTATATGATTACACATAACAAATTGTTTGTAATTGAAAGTTCTTTTTATTTCTCTTTTTCCCGTCTTGTCCCTAAAGAGAACGAAATTCACTGTTAGTGAAACTAAATTATTTCTTATGGAAGGATGTTTTGTTGCATTCATTAATTAAACATTTTCAATCAGCTTTTCTATTTTTCTGTTTTCTTCTTTTCAGTCTGTGTTGAAAAGATTAGAATTAGCTGAAAAACAAAGCAGATTAGTTCAAAAGCTTTATTGTTCGCCGTGAATATTTTTATTCAAATCAAAATCATACTAATATGACTTCATTTGCATAAATTATCATGAAGAAAGGTAATAAAATAACTCTCGAGTTTGTTGAACAAGAATGTTTCAACCAAAAACATTATTATCGCGGTTAGACTTTATCTGCCCTGAAGACATTGAGTGTCAAGTTGAAATACATAAACTTTTAGATATAACTTATTTAAAACCCATGTCTAGGTTCGAAATAACCTTTCTAACTTCAACCCAACTATCACATTCTACTTCAGTTTACATAAATATGTATGTAGATACATTAATTTTTAATACTGATGAGTTGAAAATGTGAGAAAACCCTTTCAAATTACCTGATCATTTAAATCTATCCATAGAAATTTTAACCGCTTCCTTTTTATAAGAGAATTCTGCATGTTCAACTTCTACTTAGTTTAATTACTTTCTAGGGCGAGAACTAAATGGAACAATACATAGAAAAGTTTTGCAGGGATGAATTAAACTTACATGCTATTGATTTATTGCAGTTTAGATTCCTTTATGTTCACATTCACAATTCGCAATCTACCAACTCAAATCCATATATAATGGAACTCATTCTTTTGTTAATTTCTTAAGAGGAAACTTTTCTCATTATTTATATCCACGTAATACGTAATTTCTGGTCGTACAAAAATGATTTTCCCCTTAATGATTTATTATCCGGCTTTATACACACTTGAAGAGAACTTTAAAGGTATCTTGAATCACTTATTATGAATAAATTTGAGCATATTGACTCATTCTGACAATTTAATCTTATTAAATGATAAAGTAAGATCTGATAATTGGAGGGTTTATTCTTAAATTAAGTAACAAATATACTCCCGCAATTACAGCTTTTACCTTAAAGCTTTTCGTCAGAACCTGAACATAAAAATGTTTTCGAGTAAGCATCCTAATTTTGTTCACCATCTCATCTGTAAAAACATGTCATAGTTAGATATAGAAATGCCTCAAACGTATCTTGCCTTTCAGCTCTTCAGGGTTGAAGCATTCTCGTCTTCTTATGTGGAATGTTCATCTTAATCTTATTACGTTTTCGTAATGTTTCAACATGACCTAATAATGCGAGAAGCATAAACGAAGCTTTCGGGGGAAGATGTGCAAAATTAGTTAGTAAAAGAGTTTGAATGAAACTCATTGAGGAAATTCATACATATGCTTGAAGAGTAGTACGAAGAATGTGAATAATTTTATATAGTTTAGTTTCCATGTTTGCAACTCTTCTCTTCTCGTCTTCTCATCTGTAAGGCGTCAGATTAGAAGTAAGTATGAAGTATCCAGTCATGGATAAAATCATATTACTGTTGTGCTTGTGCTTTCGAACCACGTGTGGCTTCAACAAAGATTAGCATTAAGGAAATATTTCCTTTTGATGTCAGCTTAAGCTTCACAATGTTGACAAATATTGTCACATAAATAATACAATGGAAGCAGACAATTGTTAATCTTGACAAGAATCATGTGATTGTGATGTAATTCCTTGACCACTCCCACACAACAACGCAAGTTTCAGTGATTGAAAAGCAGTTAAATGAATGGATGGATTTCATTTCCATTTTTCTCTTCCTATTCACTTTTTTCTTCTCTTGTATATATTCTACAAACATACAAAGAGTGAAAATATAAAAAACTTCTCCCATTGACATTTGAAAAAGGTTCTCAAAGAATTAACTCAACCTCTGTTAACTTCACAAAGAACCAGAAAATAAAAAAACGTAAGGAAAAGAATGAAAATCCTCAATCATTCAATAATAAAGGTTTAGACATGTTGATAAGAACAATTTTTTTCTGTTCACAAACGAGGGAACCTAATCAATTTGGATTATTTTCGCATTTTTTTATTGCTAAAATGAGCTTAGGAATGGTATTAAGTTTAATAGCAATACGACTTATAAGAGCTTCTTGTTCCATTGAGATGTCGTTTGCAGGAAATTGAGAGCATTTGTGAAGGAAATTGCGTTATCATGCTTGGGGAAATCTTTATGGATGCGTTAAAATTTAAATTGCTCACTCTACAAATGAATATGAAGATTGCAAAGTTTTATGTCAGAACTTGAAGATCTAACTAGAGAAATGAGATGGAAAATGAATCTTCTACATACATGTAGGTGGAAGAATATGAATAAAGGAAGAAATGTGGGTGGAAAAAAACTTTGAAATTCAACTCAAGCACTTCAAGAACAAACTTTCTCGTTTTTGTGAAATTTTTCATTTGTTAGACGTTTAACTTTTGAGGAATGTTATTTGATTGAAATCATCGAACATTGACAATGACATGAACCATTAAAATTAATGTTGATAAAAGAAAAAAAGAAGAAACAAAAAATAAATAAAACATAAAAAATCAAAAATTTTATTGACATTCGTATTAAAGTCAGCAGAATGTTTAGGAGAAGCGAAAAAGCAGGAAAATTTTCATAGACTTTTCTATGATGGAAAACGAACCAAACCTTTATTACATTTCACATCATTTTCACATTTTCAAAGCACTCTCTAATCTCGTTTTAATTTTCACGCTTCATTTTTATTTTCCAAAGCACGCAATAGCCTCAGTTATTAACTTATCGAAAAAAGATTAGACGTTGATAGAACACATATTCGAAGTTCACACCATTGAACACGCAAGGATTTGTACCGAATTCCTTCTCTTCAGAAAAAAGAAGAAAAATTATGTGAAATATGTTCGACATGAAAGAGGGCTGAAACAGCAATCTCGATTACAAAAGCTTTTATGTGTGTCTGTTGCCTTTGAAGTGTTCGCCCTTCACTGAAACATCCTCCAAACAATATTGAAACCTGCTTAGTATTCAGAAGGGAAAGTTATTTCTCCATTAAAAGGAATCTCTTCGAGAATTGGATCAATAATTTAATCAAATTCAAGTATTTATTTAATGCTTTCGATTATCACAAAATTAAAAGTAAATTTGCGATTGAATTAAAAGTTTCGATTTTCATTCTTCGACAGACTGGCAAGTGGAGACTTGGAAAGAAAGAAAAGAAAATAAAAGAAATTATCTCGCAAATTCTCGTATGCCTAAAGGTCATTTTCTCGTTTTCTAATTTTGTATTCATTTCATGTTCCGTAAAACGTGACAAGCGAATTTACGCCTTGATGTCCTCGAACCAAGAATGGGAGGGGAGAAGCTTGGACATTGTTAGTAGTGTAAATTTATTCATCCTCCGGCTTGTTTCAGAACGAGAAGGAAAGAAAAAATGATAACGACCGTAAAAGTTTCCAAAGTTTAGTTTTCAGATTTCACTTCAACGAGTCAAATTTTAGAATTTAATTTCATGACAATATTGAAGCTTTAAATATTTTCAATGTAAACATGAAAGTTTCTCTTTTTCTTGTTGGAATTTTAAAATATTCATTGCAACCTACGAGAGTCTTTTCCTTAATTTACTTGGACCAAACGAAAATTTATTTTTCCAATCGACACCCAAGTTTCGGTATTAAATTAACAACTTCTATCCCTAAAAAAGAAGTAATATCAACTTTCTTATTTTTTTCTTATATGCGTTGCTTTTGAAATTAGTATTCAGTCCTTGAGTTTTAAACGTGACGTAAATTTACGCCTCTTTTTTGTTCGCAACCGTGGACATTCTTATAATTCAATTTCACTCATCCGGAGGCAAAGCTTGAATCTTGAATGTTTTTCTTATTGTTGCTTTGTTCTATTCTAAGTACTGAAATTATTTCCTTTCCTTTTTCTAGCTGTTGAATTCTTGCTAATCACATGACTTGATATCGAGTCGAAGAAAAATGGAAATGTTTTTCATCTTTAATTTTTTTATAAGGAAACAGAACCCAAACTCAGTTGTCCTAGGGATTTCTAGAGAAATTCTTCTATTAACAAAATGTTATCTAATTGGAAGATTCTTTTTTTGGAAATAAGAACAAATAAGAACATTGATGAAAACATCTAAAAATGTTGAAAACTCATTAAGGTTTTTACAACGTCAGTTTAGAGGCCGCTTCGTATTTAACAACATGTTTTCCAAATAGCTTTCAAAATCGCGAAAAAAAAGAGAATGAGTTTCATTAATTTTAATTGATTACAGTGAAATAAAACTTGAACGATTTAGAAGACATTTCAAGTTGTAGAAATTGTAGAATTTGTAGATGAGAATTGAACGTTAAAATTTATGTTAATTGTAGTTTAAATGGAATAAATTTTTTGAATTGATTTTCCTCAACAGATTAATGTTGGAAAAGCTGATTAAATGTTTTCAATTTAAGCTTCAGGATTAAGCTTAAACATCTCCTAATCAGATATTTAAAACTTTCAGACTATGGTAAACCAAACCCACAAAAAAGCTCAAAAATCTCATAAATTTTAAATTTCTCCACTGAAAGGTGTAATTGATTGTTTCAATTTCATGAAATAACTAACAAATTAGTTTTCACATAATGTCATAAATAATGCATAATTCAATTAAGATTATTTGTTGAAAGCTTTCAAAACACGAAATATTCGTAAATACATCCGCTAGATGTCTAAGTCTGGAAAATATGAATTTCACATAATGAAGGAAGATGTTTCCAATAAAAGCTACGATGAACCAAAACATTTGCTTCCTTCTTAATTTAATAAAAAGAAAAATGTTCAAGCCGATTAACCTTAAGAAGGATTTCACTTTTTTATGTTTTTACGGAAAACTCAATTACGCAAGAGAAAAGATAATTATCTTAGAAAGCATCTCGCGGAGAAAAGGGTTCCTTCCCTCTCTTTGCTTGCTTGTAAGGATTCGTAAAGCAGAAGGATGTCGCATGAATAATTTATTTGCGTCATTTATCACGTAATGAGAACGTTCGAGCGCAAAGGAATTTCCTTTTTCCTCAAGCACGTCTTCAACTAAATTTCATCTTCTAACTTAATTAAAGATTAATCATAGTCTTGTGAAATGTTCAGGTTTTTCAGCCATAAACAAGACATTTGCAAAAGGTAAAAAGAAAGAGAAAAAATATTATAAAGAGTGAAAAGAAACATAAAAAGATAATGAAGGGTAAATTTACCCACGGAAACATTTCTTGCATTTTTTAAGGCTTGATTGCTTGTAAGATTGAGTAATAAATAAAATTATGGAAATGTTGAAAGATGAACCTTTCGTCTACCTCCCATAGAGAGAATTAAACTTCTGAAACTTTTCCTTTTTAAGCGCCTGAGAATATTGAGAATAGTTATCACTCAATCCCTGGTTCATCGTTAGACAGGCAATTTGGAATAATTTATCAAGACAGCAGATTATAGCCATCAACAGGATTTTTACAACTTCCCCAACTACGATAAAAAAAGTGTTGAGATTCAGGTGATGTTTAGGTATTGATTGATAATGTTATTGCCTTACGATTACCATGTAGGCAGAGCAGAAAGAAAGGGAATCATGAATAATTCAAGAGTGCTAAGCGAGTTAAAATTGCTTTAATAAATTTCTTCCTTCTTACAAGAACAAATTTGAAATTGTAGGAAATAAAAAATCATGAAACGTAAGTCAGAAGGGAAATGATGCTATTAATTATCATTTTAAAGGCTTACCACAATTTTTCACAACAAAACAAGTTACTTAATTTGCAGGTGACAGATGAAAAATTCAGCTATTCAAGGTAACTTAGAAATGTTTTGCTTTCTAGATACCAGAGAAAAGGGTGAAAAGGAAATTTTTCATTTTTAGTGACTGAATATGTATGGCATAGTAGAAAGATAATCTTGGAAAAAGTGTGGCTTTTATGAGATATCAAATAAGGTTTAAAGATAAAAGGCTTTCGAGTCAGTACGGGGAATATGAACACGAGTCTCACGCCACCCCGCACCCATAACATAACATGGGAGAAAAATGAGTTTGGTAATCCTTCCGCAAATAATAAATGGGCCAATTATTTTATTTATACAGCAGAACACAAACTTTTTTTATTTTTGTTTTTTCGGGGCTTTCTTTTCTCCACATTTTTCCTACGTCGACTAAAGTGTAATGGACGAGAAGAATAAATTCATGAATATTTAAATCGGTGACCAGATAAAATTAATCCCCAAAGTGGAAATGTTTTGCAATGTTTTATCGCTAGAGCCATTTATAGTTTTTCCTTCGCATTTGTAAAGGTTTTATCGAACAGAAAAGAAGAAGAATGGAAAATAGATTTGAATAATTTTTCGTGTGGACTTAAGCGTTTTTTTATTTGTTATTTATTTTGATTATACATCGTGAAGGTGATAGTAGGAAAGTTGAAGTTTCTTTCACTTCCATTTAATTATGAGAACAGAAGATAAAGAGAATTAAAATTTAATTACAAGAGTCGCTCACTTTTCGACATTAAACTTTGGGTTGTGAAAACTTTCATGACTTCTCTTCTTCTTATCACTCATGACAATCGCATCTAAAAATAATTAAAAAACATTTCCATGGTTTTTATTTCCTACAGTCTGGCTGCTTCCTAGTGTTTGCCAATGTCAATTCAAATTAAGTTCTCCATTAATTGAATAAGAGATTTTTTTGTCGAAAGATTGCTGCAAAAACAGAAAATGTCAATCAATTCACAACACTAATGGCAAAGTTCAGGAACGTTGAAGTAATTTGATGTATGAATAAAAGAAGCTTTTGATGGCTTTTTTGAGTGAAATCATTATTAGATAATTTTGTGCATTTTTAGCATTCTCAAATAAATTTGATCACATAATTCTCATCTTTTTATATCTTCAACATATTCAATTTAAATCTTTCAACATCAAATAACATTAAAGCGACTTTTACAAAGCTTTATCTAACTGATGTTTTGAAAGAGCAATCTGACTAACAGAAATCATACAATTAAGTACAATCAACGTCGTTTAAATGGATGTGAAAAGAGCTTAAGAAACTGCAAACCTAATAGAATTGTCCGGATATTGTGGGACACCAAAATGTGCTTAGACAATGAAATGCCAGCAAATCCCTATTGAATAAGAAGCAACAACGCTCCCAGAGATGAAAGATTAAAACTTCTTAGGTTTTCCTCTTCTGCAGCTTCGGAAAAGTCGAAATGACAACGGAACAGTAAAACTGTATAATTTTGTAAAACGATGATAACAAATCGGTGAGCTTTGGGAAATTACATATTCAATTCCATTCTCTCCTTTTTCCAAACTGAAAGTTTTTTAAAAAAATACCGATTTTGCTGAAAAAGAAACTTTTCCTCTTTTTTTCTCTTTTTTTTTTAAGGAATAAGCTTAGAAACAATAGCAATATTTTATTCTGAAGTAATCAAACGTTATCTTTTACATTTAAAGAGTGAATAGGAGAATGAAGATGTTACGGGGGTGGAGAAGAGAAGTGAATGCGGAGAATATTTTCGCCGTTCTTGCTTAGATTTTTCACAAGATCAGCAGTTTTAAATTGTTGGGGAAAAGTTTTCTTCGGTTTTACTTTCCTTTTTGTATTTTTGTAACTCGAAGCTGTTTTTCTTCAACACAATGTAGTGTAAAGCGACTTGAGACGTTAAATCCTTCTTTTTTTGTGGAGTTGAAGTCGACGTGGAAAGGAGATAAAAACACGAAGGTGAAACTGAATTACATTCAATCTCAGGATAACTCAGACATGAAATATTACGACGGAGAAATGAGTTTATCTTTCAATTTCTTCGACGATAGATGGAAAATTGTTTTGTGAGTGATTTTTGACTATTTATTAGAAGACGCATTGAAGTGAGACGTGGAGACGTGATAAAGTCGAATAAGTTACTTGAGTGAGTGCTTGCGATGTAAACGTTACGTGTGTGTATGTAGCTAATCCTTAACGAGCTTCTGTGTCATGTTGACGTCACGTTAACGTTAACACAAATAAGTTATTCGTTAACTGACTGATCAAGCGTAAAGTTTTTAAATAAATTTTAATACACGAACATTCGCATAAAATTTTGAAATTTATTCGAACTTCATGAGGCGACTCGATGACATAACAAAATTTGCGATATTGAAAGCATTGCATCGTTAAAACCTTTTACATATAATTTTCTAACGAGTGAGAAATATTTTTATGGAAAATATGAAAGCTCAAGTTATTATCAAACATCAAATAATTTTCATTTCATGTTTAATAAAGTGTGACAGTATTATAGTTTTCACAAGCACACGTTACATAACAACATTGCATAATAAATAGTAGAACAGGAAAATAAGTTTGTATAGTGCAATTAGCAAATAACATGATATTCGTTTATTATTCAAAAGAACGTGAAAAATACATTTGTCACTACTTGAATCTAAATCGATACTCATTTCCAACAATTTACGATAAGCCATTCATTTTAAGAGGAAAAAAAAATAAAATGTTCTTTTGTGTGAAGCTAAGAACCCTTTCGACGGAAGTTTATTGTGACAATGAACAATTTCCGTGCCTAAAAAGTAGATTGAAGAAGAATTGAATGCTTAAATTGGAAGTGTATTTAGAATCACAATTTTGCAAGGAAAACTTGGAAGATTCTTAAAGTTTTAAAGCTGTTAAATAATTAAAACGATAAAGTTAGATATGGAATAGTTTTCCATTTCATTGCATCTTGTTCATATGCTTGTTGCAGAATTTATTTTCTTTGTCCACCGATAAATAAAAATAAACAAGAAATAATTCTAGTATATTGAATGCGCTTTCACGTCTGGATGTTGTATATGAAGACAAATGATTTTGTATATCTCAACGTATCCCGCAAAACATTAGAATTTATAGCTTATGATGATTGAATCTGATGCGGGTTGCAGCTGGAATGGCGAACGACTCCAATAAGTTGTTATTTGCTAAAGAATAATTTCAACATGAAAACTGAAATTATTATTAATCTGATCTTTTCCACCGTTATTGAAAGCTTGTAATTTTGATGGTATAATAATAATAGTGCTTGCACTGACATCAATTTTTGACTTGCTAAGGAGTTTTCAGCAGTCTACGAAAAGCTCAAGAAAAATGTTTTCAATTAGATTAAATTGTTTCTCTCTGCTGATATGAAAAAGTTGAAAATTCAATTAGAAAAAGTTCCAGTTCACATGCGATGTTTTGATGTTTTTCCGTGTCTAGAATACGTCATGAATATTTAGAAGATTTCAACTCAACAGAGAAGACTTTAAAGAAAAAAATTCTGAGTTGAACAAGATCAAATTTTTCTGGAATGAAGATTTAGTGTAAGGTTGAAGCAGCGAATTAAAAATGTACATGATGTATTGGCATTCACAATGAACGATCTACGTGACGATCTGTTTTAAAATAATGAACTTAATTTATGTTGAAGAAGAAAAGTGAAAATCAGCAAAAGAAGTACAAGAAAAGTTCATTTGAACGTAAAACGAGCTTATCATTTTTCATTCTTTTAATGAAGGTTTTCTTAGAACGAAGAACAAGAACAGCGAGAAATTTGGGAAATGCTTTACATGAAAATATCGGATCAATAGCTTTTTTCCTTCTTTTTTTCAATTCACAATTCACTCGTGTAATCTTCTTGTTGTTTGAACCCTTTCATGAGAAGCAAAAAAGAAAAGTTGAATGATGCCGAAAGCAGCAGGCAATCGAAGGGTGCTCGCCTTAAGTATTAACACATTTCAATTCAATTTGAGTTCCGCGACTATGGAAGATGTCAATTGATAAAAGGATAAAGGAGGCAAAGGAGGAAGGAAGGAAAAAGCATGAAAGATGAATAAACGAAATGAAATGGAAGAAAATACTCACATCGAACACGCAACGTAACCGGATTGCTTGTGCCGCGACCCTCATTGTTTACAGCTAAACAAGTATAATCGCCTGCTAAACTCTTTGTTACGCTCTGTAATACCAATGATTGATCTGATAAAATAATCCCTGCTGTGACATTGTGATGAAGCTCAACTCCCTACGGGAATTTATTTCGTTGGAGGCGTGAAGATGATACAAAGAAAGGAAAACGAAACGAGAAGAAATTAAAATAAATTACATTTTGAATAATTTAACACACAAAATACCATTTGTGAACGAAAAGAGCTTTTGAATATATTAAATTTATAATTTATTAAATTCTCGCGTCTCATTCTGAAAAGTGAAAAGAAAAACTTTTTCTCGTCGTGCACATTTACAAACTTAAACTGAGTCAAATTAAATTTGCAATGTAAAGAAGAATCAAATTGTGTTTTCCTTTGAGAGTTTGCGAATTATCACGAGAAATTCGCCAAGGGCCACATCGGGCTCAACCTTTATGCGTCACAAAAGCTCTGTCAATGTCAACAAATTCCCCGAATAACTTACATTATGATACCACGACATCTTGTATGGTTTCGGATTGGATTGAATCAAACATTCGAAATATACATCAGCACCTTCCTTAATATCATCGGGATTAAGTGATGAGCCCATTTTCAGAGTGACAACTGGCATGTCTGTTGATAACACAAAAGGAAGGAAAGAAAAACATTCATGAGATGTGACTTTGTATCTAAATCGAGAATTGCTGTTGCGTTTAAGTCGCCTCTTCTTGTTTACATATTTGAATAAAGCTGAATATGATCTTTGCCATTGAAAACATTAAAATAAACTCAAAAGAACAAAAAAATTGTTGAGAAGTGAAAAAAAAGGAAAAATGAAATATTTTTAACAGAGAAATATTTTTATGTTCTCAATGGCTTCATTATGGAAAGTCGTCAGTCAAATGAAACGACTTTTTTATGCTTCACATTCTACTGTGATTTTATGCAAGAGCAAGAGAAAGAAATAAATGGAAAGCGAATAAAAACAAAGATATTTTATGTAACAGAAAATAAAAAGCAAGGCTTCGGTGCTGGTGCTGGTGACTTACAATGAACAACGAGTCTCCATTTGTCTTCGATTGCACTATCTGGTATGAATGGATTTTCTGAACGACACGTCAAGTATTTTCCATCGTCATCTACCACGGGAATGAACGTCAGAATGCTCAATGATTGATTGCCTGTCTCGGAAAACTGTGGAAATGAATGAAAAATGATTTTAAAAAAATTAACGAAAGAAAATGTTTTCATTGAGTTTCATTTGTTTTATTTTTTGCTTATTCGTGGCGAAATTAAGTTGTTATCAATGCGAGTTTTGTGAAGCACTTCAATCAACATTACGAGATGCGAATTCTGACTTTTTAGATGATTAAACAGGAAAGTTTACTCGCATCGCCTACGCAACATTTGCATGGCTTCGGATGGGAATAACTTTGTTGCTACTGAAGCCGTAATTGTCTGTTGATTCATTCATCCAGGTTCATTTTGCCAAACAAACATCATTAAAAAGAAGGCAAATAAGCTTTTCGCATTTAATGTTGACTAAGCGATATGGAATCATATTCAGACTGTGGATTGAATACTCACATTCTTGGCCATCCTTTTGATTTGTCGTGATCCCTTCCACCATGTTAAGACAGCCTCGGGCCTTGAACCGGAACTCTTACATTCGACATCATAGCGTTTCTCGGCTGAGACGAACTTTTCCCTCGTTGTGATATGAACTGCTATTGGCTTTACTGAAATGAGAAAATTGAAAGTTGTGAAGGAAGGGAAAAAGAAACTTTTAAGTTAAATAGTTACACAACTGAAGGAAGTTCTTCGTTCCGCTAAAAAGTCTTCAACTTCACTAACTGAATGGACAAAGTAAAGCTCATTGGAATGAACTTTTGCAGAATTCTTTCTTAATTTTTTAATGAGAAATGACAAATTTGAAATCAAGAAAGTTTCTCGCTCATACAAAACGCATCGATCATCTTAACAGAAACCGATTTGAAGCACTCGAAATTCGATTCTATTGTTCAATTATTGGTGGGCGTATGAACAAGGAAAACTTTCGATAATTAAAAATGAAAATGGAAGATTTTTCCTTGAAAGCATTTAAAACTTCTTTTCGATGTGAATGAATGCATTTGAAAGTTTATTCAAAGCGAAGAATAATTTGAAAACTTTCCTACGTCTTCTTAGACTTGAATTTGTTTTTTTCTTCTTCTCTTTTGTTCTTTTTTTTTCTCCGATTCCAAATGATAAAAGTTTTTGTGGCTTCTCGCAATTTCAACATCATCTCATGTGTCATGAGAACGATTGTCTTGAACAAATTGAAAAATCATTTATCAAATGTGAGACAAAGAAAAGTGAGAAGGGATTGAAAAAAAAAGAAAGAAAAACTAAAAAAAGGTTAAATTCTGTGTTTTATCTTTTCCTTGTCACCCAAAACGACCAAATCATATGCCACCAAGTTGGGGAGACTCACAACGAACGACCGACCGACCATTCATATCCATTTTTCTGCTTTTTACATCAACTCTATGATTTCTTGTCCTCTGCGGTTTCACTCTTTTGTGAGCTTTTGGATTGGACTTTTATTTGTGTTATCGAGAGAACAAAAGAGGTGAAGCAATCATTTATCATTGAATCGGAGCAGAAAAGTTGTGGTTCAACCTCCAGCTTTTGGGGGAAATGGAAAATAAAGCTTGAAAGCGAAAGCAAACACACAAACAAATAAAAAAGGGCAAAAGAGACATTTGGACAAGTTTTTACTTACAATTTACATCTAAAATTACAGCTTTATTGTTCGGCGGTGTCAAGTTCGTGTTGCTCGCTACACACAAGAGTCTTGCGTTCAGATGTTGTCGTCCAACGTTTGGATATGATAAATGATTCACAGTAATTCCATCTTTCCTCGTTTCAAATGACTCATCAATAACTGTGTTGTCCAAATACCAAGTAACATTTGGTCGAGGCCTCCCTGCGTCATAAATTAAAAAGAAAAGTTTAAACTTGCATTAAAGTATTTGACAAAAAAAGAACAAAAAGAAAGAAAAAAAAATTCCATTGTGCAAGGTAGAAAAAAAAAGTTTTTCCAACTCAACTCATAAAATATTTGGATCGTAAATTCTTTGAAATTCTCAATTTTATTTAATTTCAAAAACTCTTTTTTCTTTTTTTTGTTGTTGTTGTATTGAGAAAAGTTTTTATGTGAAATTGAGTGGAATTATTAAAATTTTAATTTATGAAAACGAATAACACGCTCAGTAATGTTTTGTGAAAATTATATGACTTTAAAAAGGTTGTTTTATGACTGGTCTGGGCGTGATGTTTTATCAATATTTATTTATCGAATCTACCCGATAAATCGAGAGAGAAAAAAGAAGAAAAAAAGCGAACCAACCTCCTGAAACTTCACAAATCAGTGTCACATCACTGCCCTCATTATACGGTTCAATTAATTTTGTTCGGTCTCTCCTTCTCGCATCATATATCACAGGTTTTTGAGGTGGAACTGAAACGGGTGGAAAAGGCATTTATAAGGGATTAATTTTCACAATTGGCATCGCCATGCTGAACAATCTTATCGATTACATTCTTCTCTTCTAACTGGATATCTACAAACTCTACAAATTTATTTTCATGCTCACCTATAACAGTAAAATTAATTTTAAGATTTCTAGTTGGAGAATTCCGGAAGTCAACTCGACATCTGTACATGCCTTCATCGTTGAGTTTGATATCATCAACAAGAAGTTGTGCTGGATGTGATGCTGTTCGAAAAAATGCTCGACTGCCAAAGGCAGCTGGCGATGACCATAATTTAGCCTGTCCAAACTGCCGGCCCCGAACATCGAAACTTTTGAAAAATAAACAACGAAGCGATTTAAAAGTTAAAATTAATTGCTTCCAAAACAACTCATAATTGTATATGAAATGAAATTCACATTTAAAGGAGTTATAAGTAATTAACCATATTGAAAACTAATGACTAATGAATGCTTGAGAATATATAATTCCATGACATCAGCGATGGAAATTTAATTCATGAGCGAGAAATTCATTCTCATTAGTTTCACGTTGTAACTAATTCATAAATTATTGGATATCTTATCCAAGTGGTTATTAAGTACAGACATATCATATGCGGTATCACTTACCTGTATAATGGCTCGCCATCGCCTTCTTTAAACCACAAAACCATGTATACAGCATCATCTCGCTCTAACGGTGTTATATCACATGGAAGCATCGCCTGCTTTCCCAACACACCGGCGACAGATGTAATTGGAACTGAAAGAAGATATCAAAGTGAATTGTTTATTTAGTTTCTAGCATTTTGTGGTTTGCATTTGAGTGTATTTGATATTTATGCATCAGAAGAACAATAACGTCATCAACTGATGAGATTTGATGCTGTGTGGCTTATAACAGATATCTCTTACATTCCACAATTAATCCCACTTTGGTATGTGATTGAAACACCCAAGTTGTATTGGATTAAAGTTTAAGTGGATGCAAAGACCTCTCGAGACGTTTAATGATTGTGGTAACGTTTAACGAGTTTTAATTATGACAAAAAACATTTCAACATGCAATTGTCAAAGCGAAGGTATTTAAAATATGTGCACGATAATTTGTCATGAAATAAAACCTGTTGCGGAATCATTTTAAATCTTATAAAATGAAAGAAAGTGAGCAACGCGGTTGAAACTGTTTTCTCTTCCTTATTATGCTATCAAAATACTTGAAATCAGACCCAAAAAATCTTTGAATCCACTTCAATTTCTTATCCATTTTGTAAGCTTAACCATCTTGCTGAGCAACGAAAACTGAGTTCATCGAATGGCTGGAAATGTTATCATTTGATTGAAATCAGATATTTATTTGTTTTTCTTAAAACTTCTTTTTTTCTTATTTTTTGTATAGAGTCAGATCATCGGACTTCCAGTCTTTTTTATTTCGTTATCTCTTAATACAATTGACCATCTTTTCAATGTAAGTGGAATGATGAGAATTTATTTCTTCGTTTGTTGGATTAAGTTTTATATTTTGCTGAATTTTCTCAACATTATCTATCAAGTTAATGAAGAAGCTCGAATGGAAGTTACGAACATGGAAGATTTATTTAATACAGTTTATTTAATTAACCAGGTAATTAAATATTAATTTTGAAAGAAAATAAAAGTCGAAGAATGTTTCGAAAGTTTCAATAAATTTAATAAATAATCAAACAGCAATTCACTCAAATGGCGAAGTAAGTTTCTATAACGACACGAGAATAAATTTTATATCGATTCGTAACACGAAATGATGCGAAGAGAATAAAAAAGAAATTCTTTCATTGAAGACTTCAATGCATTGAAATAAATGAAATTGAAGTTTCGTTTTGGTCGATATCACGATTCGTATCGACACAAAGAACAAATAAAACGTGGATTGATAAAACAATAACAGAAGTACACATTTATATGCATAAACATATTATTCTTGGTTATCGATTAAATCATAAATGTCTTTTGATATGATTTCACACGTTCGAAGAATAATAAATTGCTTCAACTACGTTAATTGATCAATCAAAAACACATTTTCTCTTCGAATATGCTTTCTTCTATTATTCAAATATTCTCTGCATGCTTCGTATTTATAGAATTGAAAATTGAGAAAGGATTTACGTGCTGTGTTGAATATTCACTAAATAAATAGATTTATTGAATATGTTTGATGTTTTCATGAACTACTAATTATGTAGACCATTTGGTGCACAAATTGCTATCAGATAATTGATTTTCCACGTACGTTTATGTATTTAGTTATCTCTTGACATTCCTACGATTTTCTCATTATTTATTATCGATCAATTGATTTCCTGAACCTCTTTTTAAAAGATCATGATTGAAATTTAATGGAACGAATATTATAGCTTCTTGATTATTGCGGAAGAATTGAGTACGAAGACAGAGACTACCCCAATAGACAAAAAATTGATGAGAGTCTGTTGCTCTGCTTCATTTTGAAATGAAACGTGAAAAAGTATTGTGAAGAATTCATTTATTGGAATCAATGAAAACGTTCAAACAACTCTTAACATCATTGTTAACATCATCGCTTTCAATAAGAGATTTTTCAATATCTCAAGTGAAGTAAGAGATACGAAAATTTCCAACATAAATGGCGAAATAAACAAGCAACATCATCATTAAAATTTTAATCTTTCTGCATGAGAATTCTAAATGAAATTGCTCGCTCATTCATAGGGCAAAGTTGAACATAAATTCAATTATGCTGATGCTATCTTTTAAATATTCAATAGAACTAAGAAGTTTCTCGGTCGGGCGAGAGCAAAACACAAAATCGGTTGTATGAAAGAAACCTCAACATGACTTGCTAGAAACTGAAACATGTTTCTTGATCAAGTACAACAAAAAACAAACTTTTTTTACAAACATCGAATGCTCAGTTGAATAATTCAGAAACTTTTTTTCCTGCTTCTTCTCTCGATTGGAATGTTCTTTTCGCATAATTTTCAATTAAGAAATTGCTATCGAAAACATGATATGAAGAAAAAATTTCCTTTCTGCACTTCTTGTGCCTCAAACATAAGTTTAATCTCAAATGAACAAGTTTTGATCAGAAAACATGATTTAAAAAATATTTTTGTGTGTCGTAAATATTTTAAAGGAGAGAAGAAGTTCGCCAAAAGTCTTCGTCTTCCTTCTAACATTTGATATGAAGATAACTCTCTTTTGTGGCGGAAATATGTTTCTAGCTGAATAGTTTTCTATTTTCCGCTAAAATATTTCATTTTTTTAATGTTCCATTTGTGAGTTATGGCATTTTTTATGCCATGCAGCGAATGTTTCATGGAAAATTTTTATGTATAACAAACTATGTAATTTGTTGTCTACAACAGTTTTAAAAACATAAAAAAATCCAATCTTTTGAATACTAAAAACAAAGATGATAAGTAGTTACCATAAATAAAGCAAAGCTAAAACTTATAAAAATGCATAATAATAACAACACCAAAAAGAAAAAAGAATGAAAGGCAATTTCGTGCCTCCGATCCTATTCTGCATGTTTACTCGCTTGCTATGCTGATTTTAGCGAGACATTCTTTAGATTATATTGCTGTTTAAATGTCTGCCTTTATCTGTAATGCTCTGCAAACAAACTCCTTGGCAACATATGCATTAACATATACAGAACTCCCCCTAAGAAGCCGCATGAGAATTGTTGTTTCATTGCACTCTCGCCTTAAAGACACATGGAACCGAAATGTTTACTTTAAAGACTGAAATTTCTCGTAGTTTATGTTAACGTCTACCATGTAATTATAAATATCTTCGATCGAAACTGCAACTGAAATGTTTACATTGAAACATCAAAACAAAGCTGAATGTAGACGAAATGAGAAGTTGGACTAAGAAGTGTAAAAATCTATGAAAGTTGAGAAACTCAAAAGAAATTTTATTGGCGATTAATTGATGAGTTATTATATGCTATTGGTGGGTTAATGATGCGGGTTTTATGATATCCACCACACTGTAGTTTGATCACTGCACTCGGAAGTTTCGAATTAAAATGAACTCATTCAAATTTTCTCTCGTGTTTTATTTCATGTTTTGAAAGAAAGAATGGGAAAGCGAGAAGTAATAAATTAAACCTTTTATTGGCGTCTCGTTTTGTCTTGCCGTTGCCAATGCTTCAGATTAAAAAATTCTTAGTAATCTCGTTTTCTCATCAAGAACACGTTTTAAAGAAAACAACGAGAAAACAACGAGAAAAATTAAAACTTCTTCGTTCATATCATTCTACATTTTAAATGTAAAATAATTAATTTGATATCATTTCCTTCTCCTTCTCCTTCAGCCATTCACTGAAAGGGTCTAACGGAATCTACATAAATGTCAACTGTTGATTCTTGAACTGGATTCGAATGGGATCGGATCGTGGAAATATTTTCGAGGCACAAATTAAACAATTAAAAGAGAGACATGATTTCAAAGAAATATCGAGAAATGTCTCGATCATTATCATAATCTCAAACTGTCGTTGGTTTCTCGATAGCGCACGAATGAACGACTTGAGCCGACATTGAGACAAAAGAGAAAATGAAATAAAATGTTCGTTGTTGTTTCTGTTTAGCGTCTTCACGACCATTTCCAGAAATAAATGTTTTAATACAGCAATTAGAATAAATTTTGAGTGTCATGCTAATATGCAGCTCAAACATAAAAGTTCCGTCAAAAAATGTTTCTGCCGCCAACACACAAAACGAGAAAGCAATTTTTCTCTAAATGTTTAATGTTTCGGTTGTCATCAATTCGATTATTTATGTTATTTTTGTTTCGTCTTTTCGGGGTTACATGGAAATGCATCTTATGTAAACATGCAAGTCGTGGAAGTTTAATCAGACTTAAAACTGACGTTGTGATGATGATTTTAAGTCTCGCTCCCCACTTGATTCTTACTTAACTTAAGACTGTATTAACATCAAGAAACTGGAATTAAAATTCGATTTGACAAATTAAGTGCTGACATGATGAAATATCCGCGACTATTATTTAATGATGCAGTTTAATTATACATGATTCAGTAATCGTGGGTACATTTTCTTAATACTCACTTGGCCTATCCAACTCATTAATGAGATCATCGGCTTCGATATAAGCTGCACTCACGACTTTTAATCCATTAAGAAAGCAACAACAGCAAAGTATCCACAATGGTATTGAATTACATTTTCTGCGTCTTTTAACTTTCCACCATCGTGTATTTACCGACATTTTCGGAACTTCAATTTATTTTTTATCCTCTTGCGAGTTCTCTCGTAAGTATTATATGGCTTCAAAGATTAAACATGTCAACAGAACGTGAAATTTAATCACTTTCTGAAAGATTTTTTTTTTCTAATTTCGCTCACGGTTATTTACTTTTTCAAGTTTTATTCAGAAGGTTTGTTTGCACAACACTTGTTGTTATGAAGGATAAGTTTTTTTTTGTATTTTGTATTCTTCTCACTTTTGGACACTAAAACATCTTGAGATTTACTCACAAATATTTTTATTCTCATTTGTTTGCATTGTCGTTCATTTATTATTTTTCATCACTTGAGACGTCTTTAGAAATTCTTCTTCTTTTTTTCATTTTGAAGATTTCGTTTCTTCATCCCAATCATTTCTTACACGGTATTAAATTTTTTGTGTCTTGCGCTACGAGAGGCTGTCGAGATAACTGCAGTGCACTTGTTGTGAAGTTTTCTTCAATCTACGCTTGTTTTTCTCTTAAGTATTGACAATGCTTGAGAGGAATCTAACAAGTACTTTCCTTCTGGTTACAGATTGCGATGTTTACGACTCTAATTCATCACATTTTCCAATAAAAACTCGACAATACTTCTTCGTGTCTTTCAATAGTTTTCTGAATTCAACATTTTTTCTCTCTTTTATTGCGCTTTGCTTTTTATTTTATATCGTCACGTTTTTTTATTATTTTTTCATCAACAGCACGTGATAGCTGTCTGTGAACAAGGCAAATAAAACAAGACAAAACAGAACATAAATAAAATTTTCTTGAAAATGATTTTCTCACAGAAAATATACCAATTAACACTTAACATCAATAAATTGTATAACAAGACGAACTGTGCCGTGTTTTATAATGTGTTGTAAATTTAATGAAGGCACAACAGAAACACTTCTCATTGAATTGTCGGCCCTTTCATAACTCCTCCATCCTATCCCCCAACAACAAAAAATTCCTTTCACGTCATCAACAGAAACTCTCGTTCTAACAAAAAAGATAACACTTGAATAATTTTGAAAGCCAAACGTTAAAGATTTAACTCGTGCCAGCTTTAAACACAAAACAGGAGAAACTTTACAGTGAAATTGAAGAATTTAAATGTCGTTCAAGAGTTTCACTTGACTTGATTGAATATTCATGTTGATTCAAAAAATTCCACCGCTCTCATCATTTGAGAAACCTTGATTTCAGGTTGGCAGTAAAATCGAATTAATTTTGAGGAAAATAAATTAAGTCAAGTCGATAACGAACTGGCTGTTTGAAGAATATTTTAGTTCAAAAAGTAGCAAAACAAAATATAAACAGGTTGACCGCAAGTTTTTATTTGAATATTCGTCATTAATCATCATAAAAAAGCAGTTCGTTTTCCATTCGCATTAAGCACAAAGAGAAAAAAAAAGGTTTTTCTTAGCTGGTGAAGTAATATTAAATATAAACAAGAGAAAGGCATTTAACCGCACATTTACTTGGTTTAATTATATTAATTCTCTTTCTCAAGCTCCATTAAATACCGAAGACATTTTTCGATGAGCGTCTGGTATACAACTCTAATTAATTAGTGTCCCACTAAGTATGCAAAGGTTCGCTGTGAAAGTTCATGGAAAGCAGATGGTTTTGTGGTTTCTTGGTTGCCTCTTCTCAAAGAACTTTGCGACGAGAATAGTTGTGATGATCGTCATAAGCTCTAACTTGAACATCGACTTCATAAAATCAGCAGTATGTCGCTTTAAAAAAATAAAATCGCTGTAAAATCTCCAAAGCGAATCTTTGACGTGTAACGCGAAAAGATTTGGATATTTTTAACTTAGGCTTAAGACAAAAGCGTTTCGAATTAATTAGCGCGATTAAAACCAATTTTATTGCGTCCACTGTGAACAGAAATTATGTAAACGACGATTTAGTGTATCCACTTGAAGCGACCTTAAAATTTCAAGTTTTTCATCAAGAGATGATAAAAAAAATCAAAAATATTTTCTGCATAGTTAAATGAGTTAAATGAACAAGTTTCAGTTGTTTTCTTGTGTGAGAAATTCTTGAAATTTTCAAGCGTTTGCGTTTTATTTTATTAAAGCTGAAACAGGAACTTTCCATCAATCATTAACGAATATTATCATCATATCTTTAACCAATCGATTCCAAATAATTAAGCTTTTAGCACTCCATTACGATCATAAATTTTTGTTGCCCTCTCATCATCGGAAATTCTTCACTGTATGTGTCAGCAAATAAAAATAAATTAATGAAGTCCTCAACAGCGAAAACAAAACAAAAAAGTATTTTCAATTATTATTTTTTTCGTAATTATGGCAACGAGACATACCAAAAGAAACAAAAAAAAATCATAATTCAATTAATGACGAACAAAGAAAAATACACAAAATTTTGCCTATTTGTACCAAAAACAAGAGGCACAAATGAACAATAAAATAAGCGCCAGAAGCGTTTTGTTTCGTTATAATAATGAAATTTTTTACCCACTCTCTCCTTTATCTATTTGATTGTGTAAATTATAGATCCACGAAACAGGCCACGAACTGTGAAAACGATATTATTTTATTGTTTCTTGCTAGAGAAAAATAATGAGTGGCAAGTGGCGAACAAAAGTTCATACCACTCTGGCTCCTAATCTGGGTAAATTAATTATCGTCAATTTAATATTATTCGTGGAAGCCATAGAAATTCCGCTAAATCATTAATCCAAATTAATTTTCGTCGGCCGTGGAAAATCTTGTGTACGCTGGTGGCTATTTATGTTAGTTTACAAAGTTGATGCCCGTCAATTTAAGGGAACAAATCATTTAATCTCTTGAATAAGTTCCAATTCATTGTTGATTAATTTTCTGTTCTCTTGATTATATCATCTTTAATATCAAATTATCTTACTTAAAATGAGATTAATTTTATTCACAAAACAGCAGAGATTCCTCCAAGCCTATCTCCAAACAATGAAATTCATATTTTTTCAAGCTTTTAAAGCATCTCCGTCCCTCCCAGAAATGATTGATGAAAATAATTTTGTAAATGTTTGGATTTTGTCAAGCTTTAACAATCGGAATGTCTCTTATTAATCTTGGAATTCATTTATTGTTCTCCCCCACTACTAGAGCATCCTGTTTACAGCACGCCAAAAAGTCACTCTACAGTACAATGTGCTAGGTCATGTGTTAAGGATTTTCTCGTTCACAATGCTATAAACATTTCCTGATAACAATCTTTATTACTCGCGCTATGTAAACACATTCCACCAGCACCCTCCCATTTTCAGTTCATGCATTTCCCTCCCACAACACTCGAGAAATGAAATCCTTGAGAGCTACTTATAAATTACGCCCGCTTTTTTCATTCATCATTATGTCACACGCGAAAATATGAAAATGACAACAACTCTTTCGGAAATAATTGTATAATCACAGCATTGCTTTGTAAATACGGGAAGAACTATAGTGGCTCATGCTGATACTCCCTCCCGCCTACCAGAGAGCTTTGAAAACTAACTAAAAACATGCTTCAATGCTCGCTCATGTTCCTTTTTTTCCTTTATTCCACTCGTCGCTTTTGTTTGTATATTTAGCACAGCTTTTATATTTGAAACTTAGGCTCGCGTTGTACGAGAATATAATTTGGTCAACATGAAAATGAAAAAAAAAGAAAATCTGACAAAAACTTTTATTGCATAATCCAACACCGCTTGTGGGAAAATTTTCCAACTGCAATTTTTATTCGTTTATTTTTATTTTACTTTTTTTTAGTTCCAACCAACATCACGTATTTTTATTGCGGATATCGGAGCATGGGAAAACTTTTTACTTTATTAATCCAATCATCAAATTGAGCATCCGTGGATGGAGTTGAATTGGCGTTATTACTATTCATATTGCCAATGACTTTTTCATGAGAAGTGATCATGTTAATGCAGATGTAAGTACACAGTAAATAATTCCTTATTTTTCGCGTGAAAATAAAATATCATAAATACACAAAAAAATATCCCTAAAAGCGATATTTCATCATTTCTTTTTTTCTTCTAGATTTCAGATTTTTCTTGGAAGTTATTTTCTGCTTTTTTTCGCCTTTTCGTGTTTTCACATATTTTATCTCATTAAACCTTTCGCATCGCTTTGAATTATATACTTTACACTTTTATTCCTTATTCACATAAAAAGGAAAAACCGAAATCAGATAACCGGATCAAGTTTTTTATTTCACTTCTGGCTATGTATCAGTGAATAAATTTTATATGTCTCTTGTTTTTATTTTTTAACTGGATTGTTAAAGAAACCGACTCATCTTCATGGTATCCACGACTAAACTGAGACTTCTGTGCCGACGAACGGATTTATTTTTTCATTTCTTCTCTTTGTACGTCAAACGTTGCATTCTTTAACGTTACGTCAACAACGTTGTCTGCTTGCAAACGTAGTGAGAGAATCGTAAGTTTTCTTGTACATAACATTGCATTCAATCTCTCACATAGAGCCACGAGGCGCCAACATTGACTAAATTACGCATGTCTACGTTTTTCTTTACGTTACGATTTATAAACGTTGCAACTCGTTGAGAGTTTCTTCTCTCTCGTGACCGTGAGAAATCGATTTTATTCATCCCATGCTTGTCTTGTTGTGTTTTCGTTTCATTTTTCGGCAACCGCACATAGTTTTTTAAGGCTTTAATGAGATGAAAGAATTTAAGAGTTTTATGATCGGAAAATAAGTCGAATTCAGTTGAAGCAGAAGAATGAATTTAACGTAAGGGTTGAGTAAGAAAGCATTAAATGTGTCGTAAAATTTTCACATAAATCGAGTTGTATTTTATAACTCGTAGGAAAAACATTTCTGTTTACTTCTTTGTTTATCCTTTTCCCCGTTTAAATTGTACATTTATATTTTGTTTATTTCTTCTTGTTCCACAAGTTGTCAGAATGTGATTGAAATTGCATTTCGAAATGCATGAGTTTAATTACAAATTCGATGGACACGCAAGGAGGGAGCATGAGAAGCCGTGGAATGTTAACACCTAAAACAAGACAAAATTAAAGAGTAATAAGAGATAACGACTGGTCTGTTAAATTTCCAAGCTGATTCCATCGTTATTGATTGCTTTTTCGTGTTCAAGATGGTGATATTTTACATGCAGCGACAGAAAGCGCTTTAGGGCTGTTCACCTCCATTGAGCATTAACGAAGTGTTTAATTTGATCGAGAATTTAATGATCAACGCAGCATAAAATTACATGATGATTTATTCCGCTTTCAGGCAATTTTAAAATCACGCGTCGTTACAAACTCCCGAAAAATCTGTTTGACATAAATTGCAAAACTTTTTCCACTTTGTCAATTTTTCTCTTCTTTTTTCTTCTTCAATATTTTTCCTCGAACGTGCAAACTTCATTTAAATCGTTTTTGAATTTTCTCGTCGTTCTCATAGTGATACTTTGACTGAAGTTTTTTTATTTTCTCTGCTTGTAACTATCTACGTAAATTGCACGTTAAAATGTTGACGAATGTTAAAACGTTGCAGTATTTGCTGCAAATTGTACATATGTACATGCATAGATAGTCAAACAGCTTCCAACATGCAAGAACATGAAGGGAGTTTATCAGAAAAGACGCTTGCTTCATCTCTATCTCCGCTTTCATTCGATTGTAAGTTGTCATTGGATTTTCTTTCGAGTTGAAATCGAACTGTCTTCTTACATATGTCTCAACGAAATTGTTTCTCAAATATCTAAATATAAAAAAAAAAAATTCCGATTTTTCATGGATGATAAAATTGAAACTGCGAGAGTGATTTCCTTTTTATCATGTTTCAATGGAGCTTCACAGGAATATTTAGGACGTAAGTTATGAAGGGAAAATGATATGAATAAATTATGAGTTAACTTTACAGCATACATAGCTCTTAGTAAAAGATTTCGCTAATGCTTTCGCATCGTTATAAAAGGAAATTTCAGTAATGTAGATAGACGGAGTTGGTTGATTAATAAATAATAGCAACAAAACAGAATTCTCAGTTCTGCATATAAAAAGTTTTAAAGACCATCACTGGATATTTTGTAATAAAAAAGCAAAGTATTTACTTTTCATCTTTTTAAATGCTTTGCAAAAATCTTTTCTTTTTATGTAAAGAATCTTTTTATAAGACCATTTCAATTAATTATTCAAGTTGATACAATAATGATATGCTCAAGAAACTCGATGAAAAATTTCTTACTATAAGTCATTTTCTCTAAGCACAGATGCTCGGTAAAAACTTCTGAGCAATAGCAAAGTTTCTGTAGATTCATTGTCTCAGGTGGTGGAGCGATGAATATCCACGAAGTTGAAAAACTTCAATCAAAAAAAAAATTCGGTAAAATACTTTGCAGATAAAATATTTTTTCAAACACGAAGCCACACAGGAAATTTAAAGTGTTAGACATTAAAATTATTTATAACAAACAATTGCACTCTGGAGAGACGTTTAAGAAAAGTTTGATGTCATGACAAATTAAAAATTTCCCCTCACTTACACTTTTCCGTGAGACTTCAACAACGATAACAAATTCAAGAATAATTGTAAGTAAGTTTTATAAACTTTTAACCACAACAACATTTGAATAAAAATTTCCACAACCACAAAATGCGAAATTGCTTTTCACATTCAAAAACTGTCGACGTATTTCATAAAGACGTAAATAATTTTAAACGTGACGTGTTTGATTACTTTTTGAGGCTTATAAGTTATAATAAAATTTCTAGGAAAGTTTTAAACTAAATTTTTCAAACTACGTAATAAATTTAAATAAAATTTGGATCAGTCTTGATCAACTTTGTGAAAGCAGTTGACTGTGAAATAAGTCGAGAAATTTCTCTGAAAATAGTACGACATCATCTCAATCTCTTCAAGACACTGAATCTAAAAATCATGATGGCGGTGGGATTAAATAAATTAAATAACTTAAGTATCAAGCTTGGCGAAAGTTTGAAGAAACTTTATCAAGTGACGGCGAATGTAAAAGTTGCAGAAAAGCTTTCTAGAAACGTCGTCTCTCTCAGGAAAGTTTCTTATCGTATGACGGCGTGCTCACAAAATTTAGTGGAAAATTGCAGAAAAATAAAGAGATTGTCATGAAGAAGTCTTAAATATAATATTTTCTCCACAGAATCTTCGGAAGAGAATGACGAAAACTGTATGATATAATAATGGTGGTACAGAATAAACATCCATCTTCAATGTTCTTATTCCTCCACTGATTATGCTGCATTAAAATCATTCAGAGAGATATGTTGAAAGCACATAAAAACTTCATTTTCCACCAATTTTCTTCATTCACTACACTTCGATCTTTTCAATCACGCAATCTAACAGTTATTGAGTTATTGAACAAAAAGAAGAGAATATTTCCGTCAGTAACTCGAAAGTTTTATTAGACACGCCATTAAGCGTGTTTATTTTTCTGTATTCAACTGTATTCCTTTATTCCTGCCATGGAAGAAATTTATGATTTTGCAGCTGTTGAAATACAAAGGTGTGAAAATAGTTTCTTTTTTCTGCACGTTTTCCAGAAAACTTTTCACTATTGTTCTGACATTTCCTCGCCTCAACAAAAGTTCTTCATTCCCGTCTCTAACTTTATCGTTTATAAATACAAATGGAAAACGTTAAAAATGGAATTAAAATGTTTCAGAAAAAAGAAGTTAACATAAAAGAGGGAAAATAGAGCAAATAAATGTAAAGGTTGAAACAATTTGCATGATTGCAGTACTCACTGACAGCTTCAATTAATGACAAAATGAAAACTTCATTCACTCTTTCATACGGTGTAATTTATTATAAACAATGTGAGAAGTTTGTTATCGATTCAGGTATAAATTTCCCTCTCTGGTAACGTGAAAGTTTACAAAATGAAATGATCAACAATGCAAAGTTGTACATAATAAATTTGTTTCAATCTTTTGCAATTCCAATTGAGATAAATTGAGTTTGATTGCACTGCAAGTTTAATGAGAAAATATCGAGAAAAATAACTTTAAAAGAAGAAGAAATTTCATATTTATAAAATAAAATTCAATTTGTATTAGTAATAACAATCAAATTGTTTTCAGTTCGTATTATAACAAACATCGCAAAATTTTCTCTTTTAAACATTAAAATAAAAATAATTTTCTTCGATACAATGAAAAACGACTTTTTTCCCCCATTTTTTGCAATAAATTCTTGATGCAAATAAAGTCCAGTAAATAAATTTAAGCTTTAGCTTAGCAACAAAAAAAAAGAAGCTTTCGAAAGGAATGAATTTGTTAAATCGAGCGGAAAGCCTTCGATAAATTTATTTCATCTGACATCGGAAGTCTTTTCTCGTCTCTTTCTTGCTTTTTGCTTTTCTTCATTATCTGCCGGTTTTCAATTGAATTCATTTTCAATGTAGGCAAATGCGCCACCAGAATCGGGATAGTTAACTGTCGAGTGATTTAATCAGGGTTTTAAGGAAGTAAAAGCAATTACTTATGAATAAATCTCAGTAATCTAGAATGGCGTGGGTGTTGGGTGGACGTGGGATAGAGAATTGAAATAATGGCCAATTAATGTAAATTTTTGTTAACATAAAAACTTTTTCTTTCTCAATCGTAATATTTTTTATTTTGTTCTACTCGCAAAGCCCAATTTAAAGAACGTTCTGAGAGGTTACTTCAACATCTTACACGAATGAACTGACCGTTTATAAATCTCATGCATAACTTATACGCTCTAAAGGAGATTCATTATATTATGATGATGATCATAAGAACTTGTGGAAATAAAATTACTTGAACATCATCAAAATTCATGTTGTTCAAAACAACAACGTGATTTATTTCCTCTTTCGTCTTAAGCAAGAAAGGCTCATCGATAAAGAAAGATAAATTGACTGAGACATTGAGCGCAAACATGAAATAAATGTTTCATCATTGGTACGTGATCTGAAAATGATGATGATGATAAAAATTCATAACAGCTCTTAGCACGACAGTAAACATAAACCTGCTATCGTTATCGATCGCTGTGAAATTAATCATTGATTCGACACAATATTAAAGCTGCGGTAGAATATGTTCAACAAGCTAAGTAAGATGTTGTTAGCTCAAGACATTCCAGTTCAATTAAAACTTGTGTTTCTTTAGCTTTTTTTTCTTATTTCTTCTGCGCATTTTGTGTTTTATGTTGTGGAATAATTAATGACGAGAATTATTCATGAGGACCTCGTCGAGAGGAAAAGAATAAAAATAAAATTTGTGATATATAAGATTGCGACATTTGCAAGCTTCTTTATCTTTATTTTCATTAAAGAATTAACATTCATTTCGAAACGAGAAAAGAGTCTGGAATGGAATGCTAACCATGATGAGAAGATATTTATTAAGTAGAAATTTATTTTGTTACAAACAAGATGTTAGAATTTATTTTTTCTTACAACATTAGTCTGATTATCAGATAAAGTACAATCGTTTCACTTATGACATGAGTTTTTCATTATTTTCGCTTGTATTAAACTTTTTGTGTTCTTATTCCTTTGACTTTCTTCATAAGAGAAATTTATACTCAAGCAATTAAAGCTTTGAGAATCATTCAAACATAAATTTTAATTTAGCAACAACTCGTTAGTAACTCAGATAACAAAGTTCTACACATAAAAGATAAGATCGTACCTGGAAGCGTCAGCATTATTTATGTTCTTTGACAATCAAATTTATATTTTGCATAAAGGAATGTAAATCCATTGCAACGCCTTCGTTAGCTGCTTCTTTGCTTTTCAGAGATAAAAAGAAACAAACGATGGAAAACTCACATAAAGTTTTGCTTTAATTTACAAATTGTGTAACAATAATTACGTTAGGAAAGTTTCTCAATTATAATTGAGTTTTCGTATGAACTAATTGATAACTGACCATTTTGTTCACAATTCATTTACTTTTAACTTCACTTATCTTAATCACATTGCAGAAGCACTCAACATGTTTGTTTAAAAAGTTTTTCCTTCACTTTGTCACTATTCAAACATTCTTGTTTAAATCTATGTAAAATAATTTAAAATTTTCTTCCTTTCAAAGTTGCAGAATGCTTCAGTATGTTAGTATATTTGTGTAGAAATTATTAAACTCCTGACCATGATTCTCAATCAAATAACATTGGTGCAAATTGTTCATCACGTTTCACATTACGTGAGTTGGCTTTTAATGAAATTAAACTTTCATGTGTTTGCATGGTGAAGTTTAAAATTAATTTCACAATCTACCTTGCAATATATAAAGCATGAGTTAGAAAAATATTTATTCTTAAAATTGGATAAAGTAAACACAGATTCTCTTCCAACTAGAAATATCTTTTGCACATCATTAAATTTTGTTTACAAGTTGAGAAGATGCGAGGAAATAATATTTAGTTAGATATCTTATCGAACTCATTATCTTTTCAGCCAAATATTCAATATTTAAGGCCTTTGAATTCCATACGATTCATTATTTTAAATTTTACTTCATGTTTTTACGATAATGTAATGAAATTATTGCGTGTGACCATTAAAAGAACTTTTAACTAGTTTTTTTTTACTTTTCTAGTAGTTACGCGTGAACATTTTTACCTCACAACAAAGTGTTATTAGAGGAAATGTAATCACACTTAAAACGCAACATTAAACTTTTATTATTTTCACCACTCTGCCACTCTGTAGTTTTTTAATGTCTATATGCGGAAGTTTGAAGTTTAAAATTTTGTGATGAAAATGTTGATCCCAAAGTATTCTTTGATGTTTATTAATAATAATTTAAATAACTCTGAAAACGAATAGGTGATCTTAATTCTATTATAAAAATTTATACATCTTTGAGGTTAGAAACTGTTGATCCTAATCCGATCAGCTTGAAATCTAAATTTGACCCGGATCAAATGCCAATCGGAACCAAATTACAATCCCATTCGTTTATGAAAATATTTAACAGCGTTCGTATCTCATATTCATCTAATTAAATTTTATTCTAAACAATAATCTCGAAATAGAAATGATAGTAATTAAAAACAATGCAATCTGTTTGATAATTGAGTTTAAAACTGTTTAATGAAATCCAATGGAACAACGCAAAAAATTGTAATTTTTCATGATTTCAATAAAGCCAATTAAACTTGTGAATATTTTATGAAATCTGTTTTAATTAAAATCAATAAAGGTAATAAAAACAAAAAGAGTAAATATCATTAAGTTTTACGAAATCATTTCAACATTTTCATTTCTATAGAATTGAAAAAAAAATTTCAGGTTGGTAAGGGAAGATAGTTACATTAACTTAACTCACAAAAAACTCCCACAAACTTTTTCTTCTCCATGTGTTGCATGAATTACTGCATTTGATTACAAACAGATTAGAATTCGTGGTTGAGTTGTTCAATGTAATTAGCACATATTGAATACAACAGTCATTAAGGCTAATGGCAAAGTTTAAAAGGTTACCAAGAATGACTCTTTGGAAAGATTTCTAAGTTGGAAAACTCAATGAATTCATTGTGCAATTGACGACAGTTTAAAACTCATAACAAACCCTAATTTTTTGTTCTCAGGAAGTAATTAAATTTTTATCAGATTTCTTTTAGGTAACGGATGAGAGAAAGTTTTCTAAAGAGTTTGATTCAATTAATATTTTAAGTATCCTTATTATATAAAAGAAAAGGAAAGTGTTTTGAGAAAGCTGAAGAAAAAGGTCCCATCAATGAAGAGTGTTCATATCGAAGGGATGAATGGAGAAAATTTATTCCATTGAATAATTTATTGACAACATTTATCGTGGCTGAAAAGAGATAGAAGAAAATGTTTCAGATTGTTAAGATGATGTTTGGATGGACACTTTCGGAAGTTTCCTTTTTGTTTCTTCTCTCCTGAGCTTCATCAAAGTTATAAAATATTCAGATCTTAGTCTAATGATTTGTCTCGAACTCAAATAAAAGAATGAAGTGAAATTGTAAGCAAGAGAAAGAGAAGAGATTGATGTAGAACAAATTACTCTATTAAGAATTGAAACCAGCCTATGGGAAATAAAATTTTACGAACTTTAAGAGCTCGTTTTGTAATTAACATGCATGCTTAATGACTTCCCAATAATTACAAATCATTTCTAATGACGCCATCAATTTTTATGCTCGAGTTAACAGTACATAATGTGTGACTAAGTTGAGTCACGTAATTTTTTCTGAATATTTATCTCGAGTTATTGCCAAAGATAAACTAACTGAAGCACCATTGAAGCAAATAGAAAAAAGGAAAGAAAAACAAATCACGTATTGATGAATTGATGATTTTTATGGCCAAAGTTTATTTGCCATTAAGAAATAAGAAACCGAACATTTGAAATGAGTTAATGGCAATGATGTGGAATTGATTAGAGTAGTTTTTATCTTTAACGCAAGGATAACTCGTTTTATAGCCAAGAAGTGCTGTGATTCTTTTCTATGCAAGAGTAATTAATGATGTCGAGCCTGAGGGCGCTAAAAACATCACGACAACAAATCCTAACAGCAACATTAGAGTGGTGTCCCGAGGCATAAAAGAGGAGAGAAAATATAATTTATTGCAACTTTTCCCCATATGCTCGCCTGCTAATTAATGTTCATCGTGTTGTAACAATCTGTTTTTTTATTCGTGTTGTTAGTTGTTTTTTTAAAAATCAGAATGCAGAAAAAAACCAGCAGAGAAGAAGGAAAAAAGAATTAATGTCGTCAAAAATTAAAAACATGGTGAAAAAATTATTCATTCCGTGTTTTTCCATATGTTGCCATCCTGTGTGGTCATCAGAATCATTTTTCGTAGCTTGTAACAGTTAAATGATGTTGACGTTGTGGAGAAAACTTCTCTCATATAAAATTAATAAATCAGTAATAAAAAATAGAGAAGAACTAAACTTTTTACATTTTTATAATCACTTTTCGTTTTTACAAATCATAAATTGTTGAATTGTTTTAAAATTTAAACTTAATCGTTCCTATCCTAGTTTTCCACATAGTGTAATTAAGCCCAATATGATTTCTCTAGAAAATCTGTAAAGGTTACGAATGGAAATATAAAAAATGGTGATCGGTTTCCGATTAGTTTCAGCTATTAATTAAAATTTATGTCATTCTGTTCAATGGACTTTAGTGTTAAAATAAGAGAAAACAGAAATTAAAATTTTCACTTAGCCAATTCAACTTGGGAAAACGAAAAACTTTCCCCACATCTCCTACAATTTGAGTTATGGAAATGCTAAAAGCTTTTTAATTACCATTAAAATTGCGATATTTCATATCCGACATTTGCACGAACTCGCGAGGCGCATAAATCTGAAAAAATTGAATGTAAAATTTGTTTAATTAAATAACAAATGGACCGGAAAAATCATTTTTTTAAAACAAAGAACGTGTTGTTAAGTTGTTAATCTGCATGATAATAAATGCTTTTATTGTGAAACTTTTCACCAACAATTCGTCGACAGTTGTTGAAGATTTTTAAGTGCGTTAAAATATTTGGAAGTCAAATACCAAAAGAGTTTTGCATTGTTATATTGCTGAAAACGAATAGTTAGAGTTGATGCAAGCTCAAGTTCCGGAGTTAAATTTAATTAACACCAACAAACTGTCAACTTTTCATCGGATTTTTCACTCTCCTCAAATCAACGTGTACGAATTTTAAACAAGAGAAAAGATGTGTTGAAAAATAATTTTCATCAACCGATTTCGTTTTTGCTTTAGTGAAAAATGGTGAAGTGGAATGAAAAGATTTTTCCTAATTTTTTGTTCTCTCGCTTCTTAGCGCATTCATTGAAAAATGAGAGACAAGACACCGCCAGTATAGACGTAGAGATACAAAAAAAGTAAAAATCTCTTGTTTTTGTGGATGTTAACATTTTCATTTAAGAATAAAGGAAAACTCGAATTAAGCAGCTGAAATGACAATTTGTTTCTGTCAGAGCATCAACAAGATTGCTGCCGCTTTATTTCCTTGTTTTCTATTTGCTAAACGAAACACGTCGGATTTGACATTGAAGCTTTACGGAAGACGACAACGAGACATTAATTTGAAAATGGTTTTGGCAAATTGTTTGTCAATTAATTGGAAACATTTGTCGAGTTAATGCGCTTGGGAAAGAATCGAGCCATCGGAATGATGTAACAACAAGCTTAAACAATCGAAATTCTTCCTTCCTCGTCATATAATTGATGGAACGAATTGAACGCTCCTAATAGCTTAAACATTAAGTTGGATTATGAATAAAAATGGACCGAGAGGCAAAAACAAGTTAAGCATGAAAAGTTAATACAGCAAGTCATTATCATAGACAACCTTGAATTTATGAAAGTCATGTTATTATGAAGAGTTAAATACATTTTGTGAGTCAAACACATTAAACTACTTAAAGTACTGACAACATCATCGATTATTTTCGGCACATTTGATGAAGTCGTAAATAATTACTTAAAGTAAATTGAAATTCTACAACAGATGAATGCGAGTGACAAACCCTTAATTACGTTGAATATTTTTGCGTCTTAATTTGAGCGATTGGAATGTCTGTTGATAAATTAGAATATGAAAAATATTAAAGGGCAACATCAATGTGACAACGTTCAACATTATATTTTTGATTTGGATGTACACAAATTCTATGGATATAAAATTGCTTTTTGTCTGTTTGTTTGTGTGTTTGCTTTCGCTTTCAAGCTTTATTTTCCATTTCCCCCAAAAGCTGGAGGTTGAACCACAACTTTTCTGCTCCGATTCAATGATAAATGATTGCTTCACCTCTTTTGTTCTCTCGATAACACAAATAAAAGTCCAATCCAAAAGCTCACAAAAGAGTGAAACCGCAGAGGACAAGAAATCATAGAGTTGATGTAAAAAGAAGAAAAATGGATATGAATGGTCGGTCGGTCGTTCGTTGTGAGTCTCCCCAACTTGGTGGCATATGATTTGGTCGTTTTGGGTGACAAGGAAAAGATAAAACACAGAATTTAACCTTTTTTTAGTTTTTCTTTCTTTTTTTTTCAATCCCTTCTCACTTTTCTTTGTCTCACATTTGATAAATGATTTTTCAATTTGTTCAAGACAATCGTTCTCATGACACATGAGATGATGTTGAAATTGCGAGAAGCCACAAAAACTTTTATCATTTGGAATCGGAGAAAAAAAAAGAACAAAAGAGAAGAAGAAAAAAACAAATTCAAGTCTAAGAAGACGTAGGAAAGTTTTCAAATTATTCTTCGCTTTGAATAAACTTTCAAATGCATTCATTCACATCAGAAAGAAGTTTTAAATGCTTTCAAGGAAAAATCTTCCATTTTCGTTTTTAATTATCGAAAGTTTTCCTTGTTCATACGCCCACCAATAATTGAACAATAGAATCGAATTTCGAGTGCTTCAAATCGGTTTCTGTTAAGATGATCGATGCGTTTTGTATGAGCGAGAAACTTTCTTGATTTCAAATTTGTCATTTCTCATTAAAAAATTAAGAAAGAATTCTGCAAAAGTTCATTCCAATGAGCTTTACTTTGTCCATTCAGTTAGTGAAGTTGAAGAAGACTTTTTAGCGGAACGAAGAACTTCCTTCAGTTGTGTAACTATTTAACTTAAAAGTTTCTTTTTCCCTTCCTTCACAACTTTCAATTTTCTCATTTCAGTAAAGCCAATAGCAGTTCATATCACAACGAGGGAAAAGTTCGTCTCAGCCGAGAAACGCTATGATGTCGAATGTAAGAGTTCCGGTTCAAGGCCCGAGGCTGTCTTAACATGGTGGAAGGGATCACGACAAATCAAAAGGATGGCCAAGAATGTGAGTATTCAATCCACAGTCTGAATATGATTCCATATCGCTTAGTCAACATTAAATGCGAAAAGCTTATTTGCCTTCTTTTTAATGATGTTTGTCTGGCAAAATGAACCTGGATGAATGAATCAACAGACAATTACGGCTTCAGTAGCAACAAAGTTATTCCCATCCGAAGCCATGCAAATGTTGCGTAGGCGATGCGAGTAAACTTTCCTGTTTAATCATCTAAAAAGTCAGAATTCGCATCTCGTAATGTTGATTGAAGTGCTTCACAAAACTCGCATTGATAACAACTTAATTTCGCCACGAATAAGCAAAAAATAAAACAAATGAAACTCAATGAAAACATTTTCTTTCGTTAATTTTTTTAAAATCATTTTTCATTCATTTCCACAGTTTTCCGAGACAGGCAATCAATCATTGAGCATTCTGACGTTCATTCCCGTGGTAGATGACGATGGAAAATACTTGACGTGTCGTTCAGAAAATCCATTCATACCAGATAGTGCAATCGAAGACAAATGGAGACTCGTTGTTCATTGTAAGTCACCAGCACCGAAGCCTTGCTTTTTATTTTCTGTTACATAAAATATCTTTGTTTTTATTCGCTTTCCATTTATTTCTTTCTCTTGCTCTTGCATAAAATCACAGTAGAATGTGAAGCATAAAAAAGTCGTTTCATTTGACTGACGACTTTCCATAATGAAGCCATTGAGAACATAAAAATATTTCTCTGTTAAAAATATTTCATTTTTCCTTTTTTTTCACTTCTCAACAATTTTTTTGTTCTTTTGAGTTTATTTTAATGTTTTCAATGGCAAAGATCATATTCAGCTTTATTCAAATATGTAAACAAGAAGAGGCGACTTAAACGCAACAGCAATTCTCGATTTAGATACAAAGTCACATCTCATGAATGTTTTTCTTTCCTTCCTTTTGTGTTATCAACAGACATGCCAGTTGTCACTCTGAAAATGGGCTCATCACTTAATCCCGATGATATTAAGGAAGGTGCTGATGTATATTTCGAATGTTTGATTCAATCCAATCCGAAACCATACAAGATGTCGTGGTATCATAATGTAAGTTATTCGGGGAATTTGTTGACATTGACAGAGCTTTTGTGACGCATAAAGGTTGAGCCCGATGTGGCCCTTGGCGAATTTCTCGTGATAATTCGCAAACTCTCAAAGAAAAACACAATTTGATTCTTCTTTACATTGCAAATTTAATTTGACTCAGTTTAAGTTTGTAAATGTGCACGACGAGAAAAAGTTTTTCAGTCTTTCAGTTCATCGTTCTCGACAATTTTCTTTTCACTTTTCAGAATGAGACGCGAGAATTTAATAAATTATAAATTTAATATATTCAAAAGCTCTTTTCGTTCACAAATGGTATTTTGTGTGTTAAATTATTCAAAATGTAATTTATTTTAATTTCTTCTCGTTTCGTTTTCCTTTCTTTGTATCATCTTCACGCCTCCAACGAAATAAATTCCCGTAGGGAGTTGAGCTTCATCACAATGTCACAGCAGGGATTATTTTATCAGATCAATCATTGGTATTACAGAGCGTAACAAAGAGTTTAGCAGGCGATTATACTTGTTTAGCTGTAAACAATGAGGGTCGCGGCACAAGCAATCCGGTTACGTTGCGTGTTCGATGTGAGTATTTTCTTCCATTTCATTTCATTTCGTTTCGTTTATTCATCTTTCATGCTTTTTCCTTCCTTCCTCCTTTGCCTCCTTTATCCTTTTATCAATTGACATCTTCCATAGTCGCGGAACTCAAATTGAATTGAAATGTGTTAATACTTAAGGCGAGCACCCTTCGATTGCCTGCTGCTTTCGGCATCATTCAACTTTTCTTTTTTGCTTCTCATGAAAGGGTTCAAACAACAAGAAGATTACACGAGTGAATTGTGAATTGAAAAAAAGAAGGAAAAAAGCTATTGATCCGATATTTTCATGTAAAGCATTTCCCAAATTTCTCGCTGTTCTTGTTCTTCGTTCTAAGAAAACCTTCATTAAAAGAATGAAAAATGATAAGCTCGTTTTACGTTCAAATGAACTTTTCTTGTACTTCTTTTGCTGATTTTCACTTTTCTTCTTCACTTTTACGTTTATTTTTATTTTTTTCGTTTTCTTCACCAGAACATAAATTAAACTCATTAATTTAAAATGGATTTTGATGCTGCTCTGCTTTGTACATTTTTCCTTTCATTCCTCCGCATCACCGACTCAATCCTGAATTTATAATGATGTTAAATGCTGATAAATGTTTATTTTCACTGTTTGTTTGGTTTTAATTCGACTCCACAGTTGCCCCAGTTTGTTCAAGCGACCGAGAAGAGCTTTTAGGAGCTTTGAAACATGAAACCTTGCAATTGAAATGTGAAGTGGAATCATCACCACCTGCCGAGTCATTTCATTGGACGTTCAACTCATCAGGTGAACAGACGGAGCTCACATCACAGCTACACACCAGTGAATCAGGATGGTCTCGATTAAATTACACACCCACGTCAGATCTTGACTATGGAACAATCTCTTGTTGGGCGAAAAATGTCATCGGCGTTCAGAGAACTCCATGCGTGTTTCAAATCGTTGCTGCAGGTAAATTAATAAATAAATCTCGGTTACATCTCATTTGCGCTATTTCAATTTCCACAAAACGAAATTGTCAATTGTGTAATTGCAAATTCTTTTTGCCATTTCTGGTGCTAAAGGATTTAAGATTTGAATTTAATGATATCAGTTGTATCACTTCCCGTTTCTCGTTTTCCAGGTCGACCGTTTGCATTGCAAAATTGTACGGTGTCAAATCAATCTATCGAAACGATTCATGTTGAATGCATTGAGGGATTCGATGGCGGCTTACCTCAAATGTTTTTATTGGAAATGGTTGAAATACCCACATTAAAATTAGTCAGAAACCTGACACTTTATGTGAGTTTGAAACGATTTTACCACCCCAGGTCTGCCCAACTCAAACGCCTTTACTGTCATTTGTGAAAAAAATCCTTTTCGCTTACAGTAAATCGAGTTGAGTGGCGTCACTTTAGGGATCTTTCACAAGCTTATTTCAAATGTTAGGAAGTGTTTGAAATGAGCGACGCTACTGTAACGGAAGATTTATTCGTCAATTTTATTTATTTATTTATCTGGAATACATTTTTTTTGGACAGTTTTTGTGTGTGTTTGTGCTGGTTTCATGCGAAAGAATTCAAGTCATTTTTACAATTTAATCGAATTTTCGAATTCTTTCCACCAACACATAAATTTCATTCGCCGCAGAAATTGTTTCAACAAAATTTATTCATGGAAATCCATTTATCAAAATTGAGAATTCCGTTCTTCCATTTCCCCCCCTCAGTGTCTTAACTGAATTTTTAACTCAATTTCAGAGGCCACCTGTATCATTCATTTTGGACAATGTTGAGTCGAGCAGCTCGTATCGGTTGATTTTATTCGCTGTGAATCCCAAAGGTCGCTCAGAGCCTGTGATAATCGATGATATTACATTTAAAGGTGTGGCTAAGTTTACAGGTGAGAAGCTTTTATGAGCATTGAATGAAATTTATTTATTCTCGAATATTTCGTGACATTTCTCTATATGGGGGAATATAAAATTTGACATTTTTACGGAGCGAAGTTACTGTTGAGGTTGTGGCATGTGAAAAAAGCTGAACATGACATCAAACTAAACTCTTTGAAGTCCAAAAATTCGTCAAATGTTTTCATCATGTTCATGAATCCTCAGCCATAATCTATCACGAAAACAGGAATAAAAAATCTCACAGCATCAACATAAATTTATGTGTTGGTCGTTCCTCCTCTGGTCGTTTCTCCTCTGGTCGTTTCTTATTTGCATTCGCAAATATTAATTTATGTAAGCTTTTACAAATCTCTGGATTTTCATCTCAAAAACAAACCAAAACTCAACACAAACGAGGATTCATTTCATCAGGAAGAAACTAAAATATATTTAAATTTCATTTTGGCACAATCAGTTTTCCCCTCCGCTTTATAATATTTGATTTCCATAAAATGCAAAAATTATTCCTCGCTTTACTGTATTTTATTTTTCTTCTCCCTCATGATTTGGAATGTTACGAGAGAAGCAAAGAATTTAATGAAGATTTGCTTTAATATAAACAAAATCTTTCATCACATCGACTTAGTCAGCAGATGATGATGTAAAGCGATTCGTGTTGGCTCGTGCCAACCTTATGTCTGCGACTCTTTAAACTTTAATCTTGATGAATATTTACATACAGTGAAAGCTCAATCTCATTAAAAATGTTAAATCTTATTGCTTAAGCTCGTGCATATTAATAAGTAGAAACGTTCATGATAATGAATTTGTTCATTTTTCAACCCTACACAAAAGTTAATTTATTAATTCAAGGATTAGTTTGAACATGAACAATATAATTAAATATTTGAATTTAATCTCGCGTGTACTTCATCAGCAAACAATTTAAGTTTCGTTGCAAGCATAAATATTTTTGCATAAATCAATAAGATAAAAAAAGCTTGAAGTTCATAGAATTGCAGAAACAAAATCGATAAAACTTTTTTTTCATGTTACAAATCTAAACTAACTTCATTCACAGTTTTTCATCGTCATTCTTGTATTTTAATTTTATTCTTTCCCTTCAGGTGTGTCAAACGTGATGAATGTTCCCGTCTCGCCTGTTCTTGCCGCACTCGTTTTGACTGCAGCGATTTTATTCGCAATTGTATGCATTGTTCTAGCGACAATTTATCGAAAGCACTCGCATAAGTAGGTTAATAAATTTCTCAAAAATATTCCACAAAACTTGACGATAAGACGAATACAAAAGTTGAAAATGTTAAGCACTTTTTTTGTTTCGTCTAATCTTATTCATTCTATGTTCAATTCTTTTCCCATGTCAACAGTAAATCACAATTCACAGAACTAACAAACGTCATTTTTCATTTCGTTTTTTTATCTTCTTTCCATCTTTCGCTTCTTGCATTTCATATGGAATTGCATGACGATTCACCAACGATAAGAAATAACGTTGAAAAAATGAAAAATTCAAAAACTCTCGACATTTCTGCCAAATCAAAGGACTGTCAAATGCAATCAATGTCTCAAGCGAGAGAAAATGGCATTTCAACGCCGCTTGTTGACAGTAGTTTGATGAGACATAGTCCACAATTGATGGGTGAGCCACCTGATGGTGACGATACCGATCCAGATGTGATTCCAAATCAATATGGTAAGTGTCGACGATGACTTTGATTCTCAAAATAATTTTGTTTCGTGTCTGATTTTTAATTTGTTTTTAATTAATTTTCGGTTTTAAATAATATTCCGTAGGCTTCATTATCAGCTACTACAAATCATTTCAATGAAATTTTAATGACGCTTACTTTGGTTGTAATTAATTTTGTATATGTGTAGATTGAATTCATCAGACAAATTATGTTAAGCTTGGGGTTTTTAGGGATTATAATCTGAAACCTTTGTAAAAGCCGATTACATCAATTTTTAAATTTTGATTTCCTGACTCTCTAGTTCGCATTAAAAGTAATTAAAATTATGGTTAAATACCATTGATTGTGTAGTCATAATTGAAAAATATAGCTAAGCTTAAGTTTAACAATGAAATTATCAGAATTAAACAAACAAAAGAAAAAGCTTTGTTGATTCATTCATTTACTTAACAAAATTTCCTAATTTGCTTCTTATTGTTCACAAATATTTACTGCACATATATAAACAGTTAAGTGATCAAACTTTTGTCTAAACTTTTCATTTCATTGTAATTGCCATCATAAACATTAATTTTAAGGATTTTTAATGATTTCGAAAATGCAAATAAACTTTATAGGAAAATTATTTAATTAATTCTTTCGTTTTTTATCAACTTTTATAATTTTTCAGCATTGCAATTTTTGTTGTGATAATTCCCTTGTCGTTAGTTATTTCGATATTTTCATAATTTTAATTAGCTGTTAAAATAATCAGCTTTTCTCTCAAAAGCTTCTCAAATTAATAATTTCGATTGCTGTTCAAAATAGATGTAAATGAATTACTTCATTGAAAAGGTCACCTGAATGACTCTTTTTGTCTCTCACACCTTTTTATTTTATTTCTACTTTGACATACGAGTTGAATTGATGAATTGAGATTAACATGACCCTTAATTGTGTCAAGATATCACAAAACATGATTTTTGATTTCATCTAACCTTTACTTAATGATTTGTTGTGATGATAGAAATGTGTAAGGCTTCAATTCTTAGTTTAGGATTCAAAATCCCAAAGTTCCATTAAGTAATCAGGACGGTTGAAATGAATGATGAATAACCAACAGCGACAATCGGCTTTTAGCTACATAAAGTCTCACTTACTCCTTACAGAACGTCGTCCATTGAAATCAACGATGCCCATCCCTCTCTTTCAAAGTCCGTCATCACGTTTGAATCCCAAGGATATAATGGAGGATGATCGAGGATGTTCCGTTGATGGATTAAATTTAACGTCCTCATTAGAGGGGTCGCATAATGAAGCACTTCATTATTCATTTATGCCCAACAAACAAATTGTGAGTTTTTATCTTCTTTTATTTCATTCTCCGTCGACCACTTGCTTTGAACTTTTCTATCTCGCTTCTGTCTCCGTTTTTATAACATTCATTATCAACACAAACATTTATATTCATAAACTTCACTTTCAAGACTCGTTAAGAATGCAATTAATCATAATTTAATTATTAAAAAAATTAATGTTGCTTGGGTGCGTCACAAAAGTTTCAATTTGAAACATTGCACAAGAAATGAGCATAATTTAGATTTATGAAGTGTTTCAGTTTTCTTCATATTTACCTTCACATATTTTCCACCTTTTATGGAGTGAAAAAGTGTTTGAATGAAAAAGAAGAGAAACTATTTTCAGAGAAATTTTTAAAGTAACATCAAGGATATGTATGAGTAGCAACAGGAAAAGCTCAAACAAATTATCTCAATAAATTTACAAACGCTCCATTAACTACTCACTCATGAGAATTCTCCTATACGCTCTTAAAGATATTAATTATTTCTTGCTCTATTGCGTTTATTTTCTTTCCTTCCATCTCTCACCACAGAGCTATGCAACGTTAGGTCGCAATAACAAAAATAGTATAACAACGTGTACAGCATCATCGTCCGTATACACTTCATCACCTTTAGGTAGTCCAATAAATCAGCAACTGGGCGGACCATCTGTAAATATCTCACATCCGATGAGTGTCGGCCTCATCAGCCCCAATCAATCAATTGTTACATCAACACTTAACGAATTTCGTTTTCGACCTGAGCTACTAGCAAACTCTAATCGATTACAAGAGAGTTGTATATAAAATAAATAAGTGAAAAGTTTTAGAAAAAAAATTTAAAAAAACTTGTAATCTCTTGCTCGAAAATAAATCAATTAAATAACTGAAAAGAAGAAGCAGAAAGGTTCTTTAAAGAATTAAAAATTATATCTCTTAGATTAGAAAATGGAGAAAACAGCGAAAAAAATTTAATTGAGAATGAGAAAGGAAGACAAATTAGGCAATGTCAACGATAGTCAAATTGTTTCATTAAATTCTACAATCAAGGAATGAAAAATTGTATGAAATTGCTGAATAATGAAGAGATTTTACAACGATCTTACTGTTAATTATAGTACACTTTTCTGTTCTTCAAGCGTTCATGGGACGCGTCATATCCACATTATACTGTTAAGGCTATAAAAGACTGGATAAATAGAGGAATCTGTAGAGAAAATAACAAAACAATTGAAAAACTGCTTTTCTTGTTTTAAGGAGTAAATAAATTAATTTTATAAAAAGAAAATTGTAATAGGCACTAAGTAGCGAATGTATACTCCGTTTTGGATGTGTTTGAGTGTGTGTGTGTGAACTATAATTAAGGATTTAATAGTAAATACATGAACATTAGTAGAGTCAAAGCTCAAATCGAAATTTGATAACCGCGAATTAAAATGTTGAGTTTTGTGTAAACAACATGAGATTTTATTTGCCAATTGTTGAATTAAAATAATTTTATTTGTGCAATTGAATAAGAAGAAATTTTGTCAATTTTATAATCAATTCAGTTCAGTCTAAAAAATTCTTATGGTTTAAATTAATTGTGTTAGATGTTTGATATTAAAAATATTTAAAAACTGTTTAGAACGCAGAAAGAAGAAACAAAAATTATGAATTCCAAATCATTTTATTGCTATGCAGAATGTTCAATTTGAATATTTAAGTTTGTTGATTTTAACACTCTGAAAGTTTCAAAGAACCGAAATAAAGAAAAACCAATTAATCTACAAGAAATCTCTTTGGGTTTTTATTTTATTTTATTTTTTTTTCACCATCTTTCGTTCTAAAATCAAATCTAGAGATGAAGACAAGTGTCTCGTCAGTCGTCATCGTCAGAAAATGAAGACGTTCTGTTTTCTTATGCCCCGCAGGCATAATATAACGTCAACTTTTCATATCTAAGAGAATTTGCATAAAATTTGGTTTTCTTGCTTTATTAACATTACGTTCCACAAGAATGGAGATAAAAGGAGATTCTTCTCTTCTTCATTATTGCAAAATGTTATGAGAAGAAAGGAACATAATGGATTTTCTAAATCTTTCTTTTTTCTCTCTGATATTCTTGATGTTCGGAATATATTTTTAATTTTTCTTATGAGTTCATATATCTAACAAATTAATGAAATTTTTAAGATATAAAATAACTTTGATTTTTTTTTCTCATATTTAGTCGAATGAATCGGAAGATGATTAATCTGATGAAAATTTCTTGTGTTCGAAAAGGTTGAAAAAAAAGGTTTTTTCATAAAAACTAATGGAAATTTATTTTGAGAAAGATTTTCTTTTTAAATTAAATCTTCTGTATATCTAAAAACATATCTGAACAGTATGTTTATTTATTTTTTTGCTTTTGAATAATCTTTATGTTATTTTACATTTCTTCAACTTTATTAAAGGTTCAACTGATACACTCTGAAATCGTTAGCATGAAAAAGCAATCCTAAGTTTCTTTGAAACTTTCAAGAAGTTATGGCTTATAACCACTAAAAACGAAAATGAATAAGCGCAATGCGAAATTTCAAAACCACAGAAGAAGGAGATTCGAAAACGTAACAAAAACCTTTGGTCTTTCTTTTGTTTTATCGAAAAAATATCATAATACAGAAAAAGAAAGAAAGGAAAAAAACACCAGCACAATATTTTCATAAATAAATTGAAATGAGAATTTTCTTTTATTATCATCGCTTCTGAGATGAAAAAGAAAGGAACTTTTCTTTTTGTTTAATGAGTATCATTTGCATAATAAAGTTTAAATGACAGTAGCGTTTCCTAAGGAAGCAGAAGACCTTCCGCTGTTATCTTTCTTAAAAAGCGAAGCCAAGGAAGTTCCAAAGCAGCAGTTGGGGTGTAGAAGCCATGAAAAAATATAATGCAGTTCAGTCACAAATCTTGTTTATCCTGAAAACAATTCGATGCGTTTTATGAACATAACTTAATGTTCTTTTCTTTTACACGGACTCTTGGAACTCTGTTCATAGAAACAACAGCAACAAGAAATTAAATAAGAAATCTAATTTTTATTTTCCTACAAAAGATACTGCAAGTGCTTTTTTTTAAAAGGTGAGTTGGGTGATATTGTTGCAGTTTTATTTCATTGTTCTTCGCATTATCATTCGAGACAATGCCAAAAGTTATCAAGAAAAGAGCTGAAAAGAATACAGAATAGATGAAGGTAGCAGCGATACATTACCAGAGCTAAAGAAGTGATTAAGCAGAAAATAATTCAGTTTCAATGGTAGCAAGCTAAGAAGCAAATTGTAAGATATGATACTGTATGAATAATAAGTGAGATTTTCCCCGCTGTCTTTGAGCATTATGATATTTAATAACATAGATGATTGTCTACCGAAGGCATCTTGTGATGAACATAATTCTGCTTGTTCAGATTGCAAAGCGCTCAAAACGAACATTAAATCAATAAAATAAAAGTTGAAAATTTATTGCTTGCAGCAAGTTATAATTGAATAAACTCAGACTACAAGTAATTAAGCATTTTAAGTAAAATTGAATAGCTGTGTGGATTTTAATCTATCAGCATTCATGACGATGAGTGAATTTATTTATTGTTAACAAACTCTCAATTTGAAAAGCTTCGGGTTGTTTACTGGGATGAAAATAATGGATAGGCTATCAATTCTCGGATCAACGATTCGAATTGAGTCTAAAACTGGTTAAAAGTTATCCATGTTTTTATCGGATATCTTTACAAGCGTCCTAAGTATTACTTAAAATAATCGAACATACTTTAATTAAATTTGTTTTAAACAAGTATCGTTGTCATCTTATTTGAACCATGAAACCGCATTAAATATGAGTTTTGTGTTGTCACATTTTAAACCTTTGTTGTTATACTTAACAACATAACATTTTATCCCCAGATGTTGAAGTTTATTTTGGTTAGCATCGATACGATATTTTTTTAAAATTTGAAACCTTCATTCTGGTTTGACCTAGTTCGATGATGGACAAGAAACTCAACCTTGATGGCTTATGAAAATTGTTTCTTTGCAACTGTAAAGTGTTGTTAAAAAGTTCAACTTAAGAAATTAATGCTCATTTTAAAGTAATTCCTGTAATTTCAATTCTCATAAACGTTCTCAAAAAGAAACATTGATAACTACTTGAAATGAAGAGAACTGAAAGTATATTTATAAAGCTAAATGCAGATAAATACTTCTTCACTCCCTTTCGTTTACTTTTCATGACTCTGACTTGCTTTTCGCAAGCGTTTTATTTTATTGCTTTCCAAATGCTATTCAAGACCAATGTATGCATTTTGTGCATTTGTAAAAACTTTTCAAAGAAAACGCTCCTCAACATGTACATTAAAATTACAAAACTCCCCCTAAGAAGTCGCATGAGAATTGTTGTTTCATTGCACTCTCGCCTTAAAGACACATGGAACCGAAATGTTTACTTTAAAGACTGAAATTTCTCGTAGTTTATGTTAACGTCTACCATGTAATTATAAATATCTTCGATCGAAACTGCAACTGAAATGTTTACATTGAAACATCAAAACAAAGCTGAACGTAGACGAAATTAGAAGTTGGACAAAGAAGTGTAAAAATCTATGAAAGTTGAGAAACTCAAAAGAAATTTTATTGGCGATTAATTGATGAGTTATTATATGCTATTGGTGGGTTAATGATGCGGGTTTTATGATATCCACCACACTGTAGTTTGATCACTGCACTCGGAAGTTTCGAATTAAAATGAACTCATTCAGATTTTCTCCCGTGTTTTATTTCATGTTTTGAAAGAAAGAATGAGAAAAGCGAGAAGTAATAAATTAAACCTTTTATTGGCGTCTCGTTTTGTCTTGCCGTTGCCAATGCTTCAGATTAAAAAATTCTTAGTAGTCTCGTTTTCTCATCAAGAACACGTTTTAAAGAAAACAACGAGAAAAATTAAAACTTCTTCGTTCATATCATTCTACATTTTAAATGTAAAATAATTAATTTGATATCATTTCCTTCTCCTTCTCCTTCAGCCATTCACTGAAAGGGTCTAACGGAATCTACATAAATGTCAACTGTTGATTCTTGAACTGGATTCGAATGGGATCGGATCGTGGAAATATTTTCGAGGCACAAATTAAACAATTAAAAGAGAGACATGATTTCAAAGAAATATCGAGAAATGTCTCGATCATTATCATAATCTCAAACTGTCGTTGGTTTCTCGATAGCGCACGAATGAACGACTTGAGCCGACATTGAGACAAAAGAGAAAATGAAATAAAATGTTCGTTGTTGTTTCTGTTTAGCGTCTTCACGACCATTTCCAGAAATAAATGTTTTAATACAGCAATTAGAATAAATTTTGAGTGTCATGCTAATATGCAGCTCAAACATAAAAGTTTCGTCAAAAAATGTTTCTGCCGCCAACACACAAAACGAGAAAGCAATTTTTCTCTAAATGTTTAATGTTTCGGTTGTCATCAATTCGATTATTTATGTTATTTTTGTTTCGTCTTTTCGGGGTTACATGGAAATGCATCTTATGTAAACATGCAAGTCGTGGAAGTTTAATCAGACTTAAAACTGACGTGATGATGAGAATTTTAATACTCACAAGATTTTTCTAAAGTTAACGGAAGCATTAAATCTAACTTTATGATCAAAGTGATGACAAACTGCAGTATAATTTTCACCTTCTATGAAGTGCTTTAATTTAATGATGCACACTTTAATTAGCTATCATTGCGTCGTCAACTTTACTCGTGTCATTATATCTTCTATCTTTAATTATGATGTCTAGCAATCGATCTTTTTATTGTGAATATTATGTCAGTAACCGGAACAGAGAATGTTTTAACTACTCGTATGTTCATCAGATAGTATAACATGTAACAGTAGGTTTAACAAAAAGAAAGGGTTTTTCATTTAGAAATTAATGACATCGAAATATATAAGTACAAAACACAATCTTGATTTGAAACCCATAATTAGCTATTCCAACTGAAATCTAAATAATGAATGTTAATTAAAACATGTCAGGTGGAAGGTCACGAATTTTTTTTAGACACCTTATGAATTGACTATTTGATATAGCTTGTCAACATCATACAATAAAGTACATGCATTATGAAACATTTCTATGAGTCGTTATGTCACACGCGACGATATCAAAAGTTAACTCTCCAAGGAATTAATGTAAATTGCTACATACTACATAAATAAAAATATAAAACTATGCAAATTAGAGATTCAGTAGCTTCCAATACATTTCAAAATATGATTCCAGTTTGTGTATGGATCCGATATGTCTGGGAGCTTTCGAAAATATTTAATACTTCATGTTAAATCATGAATCGATTTAAAATGATAAAAATTTACCAAAAATTCACGCTGGCAAAGAAAAATATCTGATCGAAGTTTGGGACATAATTCAGATAATAACTCTTGATTAAGATATATCACAGGAGGAAGAATTATAAATTGATGTTTAATCAAATGTATTTAACAAACCGTTTTTTAAGATGTTTCGTTTCGCATCGTTTGAATGTTTTGACATTTACATGCTGTTTTGAACAATCTTCTTTGAGATGATAACATTTCATTCCAGATACTTATAAACACAAAGTCATAAATTAAACATCGATAGCTTGTTATCTAACCAATGTGACATTTAAATGCCTTGAAGCGATGTCAACGTTTCTTGTTTTAACTTTGAACTATATGAACTGAGTCATAGTCTCGCTCACAGCAGTTTTTCGGTGACAGTTAATCTGAGTAAATTCACGTTGACTGTACGCAACGTTTACGTAACGCAAGACAAATTCATCTCTCTCAAACATAACGTTACTCTCTTCTACTGAAAATTGAGAAAGTTTATATGAATAGAGTTGCGCAACAATATCAATTCACCATATTACAATATATTTCATGGTTATCAGTGTGAAAAAATGTCATAACTCAACAGTCGAAGTATAAAGTCGAGTATCGCCAAAATGTCTTTCTCCATTCTCATCACGCGCCAATAAAAACCATTCGACACGAACATAAAACATATTTTTATTCTCGTTCAAAAAAACTGCACTCAAGGGAGAAATTTCCTGCGGAAAATTTTCAAGCGAGCGAACAAATATATTAAATAGGATATTTGATAATATCTTGGGTTAATGTCTCAAAGCATAGATAGCGCAACAATATGCAAAATAAAAATAAATAAGTAAAATTTTAAAATTTTCGCACGAGCCGTTAATTCTTTCCATTTTCATAGGACGTTCCACTAAAACTGAACATTCCAGCAGCTTAATATAATGTAACATAATTAAAACATTGATTAATTTTGTTTTGTTTCCTCTTCTACCCTTTTTTACTTATATTACGTGTTTCAGTCGTGTTCCTTTCAATTAATTTGAATATGTCGGTCTCTTTATTAAGAGTTTCGAGGTATGAGCTTGCGACATTTATATGTTAATTACTTCATTAACATGACGACTTTAGGTTTAGTTTTATGGCTTGTTGGAAGTAGAGAATTAGCATAAGTAAGCCTCATGTTCAAATTGGATTTGCAGATTGATTTTCTTTGCTTTTCCAATTATTTCGAAAATCTTTCAAGGCAAACTTTCGTCAACTAATTGTGTCATCAAAACTTTAGCATTAAAACGTAGTAGTTAATATTAATATGTATGTCTGAGAGAATTCACATGTGGACAAACAAAAAAAGGAGCGACAAGAAAATGAAGAAAAAAACTGGAAATCTTTTAAATGTCGAAGTTAGATTTTCCTTTTGGCATTTCGTTTTTCTTTCTGAAATCTTGATGGGAAAATTGAGAGAAGTTCTTGTTCACTTATCATCATTAATTCATAGACATCAATAAAAGTTTTGTCAACATCTTCACCAAAATGTTCTCTTTCATTTTTAATTTGGAAGAAGCTGAGGCTGTATTTGACTACAAACATTTTGCAACTTATAACATACTGAAGGTTTTGTCACGTTCACGTTGCTTTTTAATTGAATTTTTTTCACTTCATCCCTTATCCTGAAGCCGAGAAAACGGAAGAAATCTATTTTTTATGCTCATTTATCATTCTTATCATGGATAAATTGTGACAAGTGAAAATTAGTTTTTCTTATTTTCATCATTCTGCAAGTGCATTTATTTCTTTTTGTTAGTCATTTCTTGTCGATTAAAAACTCTGTATGGGGATTCTTTTTCCAATAAGACAACTGGACACAAACTGGGGAATAACTTCTGTTTAAATTGATAGTTTTTGAAAATCAGTTTTGTAAATTGTAACACAAACTTCAGGGAAACCGCAAAACTATCACAACAAATTCCATTTTTCTCTTCTCCGATGATGGTTTTGTCAATCAAGCTTTCACTTATTCAGTACTGGAACATCTACTTCTATTCTTTGATAGACACGTTTTGTTAATAGTAATAAAAACAATAAAATAAACATAATTTTTCAAAGTGACATCTTGTTACAAATTGTTATTTTATTGTGATTTTACTGTTGCAAATGAAAATGTTAACCAGGAAAAAAAAACATGAAATTCTTTCACTTTTTTACGGCTGCTCCATCCATCCGTCAGTCATCGACCGACAAAAAAAAATCTTGGAGATTCATTTTTCATTTTCATGCCTAAGGGCTTAGTAGAAAATAATTCAATAAGAAAAGTGTAGAAATCTTTAGGGGGTGATGAAAACCGACTCAATAAATATTTTACATGTTAGAAGCTTCGAAATTTGATTAAAGCTTTTCGAGGATTTTTAAAGTAACTCTTCAAAATCTTGAATTCTTAGATTTTCCGCCTTAAATGATATCAAGTCAGATCTCTTAAGACTCCTTTAAGCTTATCTTATTTTCTGATTTTCGAAGAAAAATTGCATTCTCGAAAAGTCAAAAAGTCAACAATAATAACGAGAAATCTACAAATAAACATTTGCGTAGGTGTAAAGCTGTAGCAGCTTCATTTGTTTGATGTTACTCTGAGAAAGAATAATCTTATTACTAAGGCGGATAAACATGTTTATCAAAATATGTCTGCGAATGGATGTATACTTTGTCTTTAGGAATCTGAATCCTAAGAAAGAAAAAGGTAACATATATCCTAATGGATATGACTTGATCTTATGATATTTTTATGATTACTTCCAAGAATTGTAATAATCATCAGCTTTATCTGATCTTTATATGTAATAACTTGAGAAAATATAAATAAACGAAGCATATCTGGCTGTTTTACTTCATATTGTATTGAATTCATCCAATTAATTAGATTTAATAGCATCCTCAAGTTCATTCTTAAACACATCAACAAATTTATACTTTTGAATTTTTCCAGATAGTGTTCGAGGAAATTCTTCAACAATTACAACAAACCGAGGTATTTTGAAGTGTGACAAACGACCCTCACAAAATTTTCTGACATCATTCAATGTAACTGATTTTGATCTTTCCTTCAGCCTTATGAAAGCTCCCACTTCTTCTCCCATTCTCTCATCAGGAATTCCTTAAAAAGTTTCCTACAAAATGATGTTTTTCCTGCCATTTTATATTAAACTTCACTCACCAACAACATGAGTTTCTTTAATATCAGGATGAGTGTTGAGAAAATCTTCAATTTCACGAGGATAAATATTTTCGCCACCACGAATTATCATTTCTTTCAGTCTGCCAACGATGTTTGCATATCCATTTTCATAAAGCACAAATTGATCGCCTGTTTTAAACCATTGGTCAACACCCAAAACTTCTTTTGTCTTCTCAACATCATCGTAATAATCAAGAAGGGTCATATATCCTCTGATGCATAGCTCGCCTGGTTGCCCAAACGGCACGGGGTTTCCACTGCCATCGACCACTTTAACTTCAGTATGATCTGAAATATATCCAACAGAGTTCTCCAAAGTCTCGTTTTCATCATTTGGTAATGATTGAAATACTGCCGCTGTTGTTTCTAAAATTAAAACAAAATATTTTCTACTCAACCCACCAATCCTATTAAATATTTTACCAGTGAGGCCGTAGATAGAACGAACCTGTAACAAAATCGCAGAGTATTGAAAATTATTTGATTTTGTGATATTATTTCAAAAATTACCTTCGTTACATTCAAATGTTTTTGAATATCTTTCACTAAATTCGGCGTGCAAATGGCACCAGCCGTGTTGGCAATATTTATGCTAGGAAGATTAACGTTGAGTTCTCTCTGCTTAGATATTAAGTCGACAAACACTGCAATGACAGAAGATAAGAGAAATAAAGGGCCACAGTTTTATGTCGTGAAACATTTGGTAAAACTTAATATTCTCCATTACTTGTAGTAATGTCTATGACAAGAATGACTATTCATGTTCCGAAGGTGTTTGCTAGACTAATAATCACTTACTTGTTGGCGTTCCATATATGATGTTGCAATTCTCGTTTACAATAGCCTGGAGAGATTCTTCAGGATTAAAATGAGGTGAAGGTAGAATCATTGTAGCACCATGATTCAAGCAATTCATAATCGTAATGATGATTCCATAGCCATGAAATAATGGATTATTTACACAAATACGACTATAGCGTAGATTCAACTCCTGACGCTTTCCTAGTTGAAAAAGATGATTAAAATGCTTTTGTTAATGTTGGAGTTTAAATTACCCATATCATAGCCACAATTCACCAAACTGAAATGACTCAAGCGAGCGGCTTTTGGTTTTCCTGTTGTTCCGGAAGTAAATTGAATATTGTAACATGTATTTGGTGAAATTGAAGACTGCAATTTGTCAATTTCCGCAATGTCCGATTCAGATGCAATATCCAGAACATCTCGATAACGTTTCGCATTTCTAAATGTATAAAAGTTTGTTTGTAAACAAACACTTTGACAAATGACAACTGATTAATGTATCAAAAAAGTTATTTACAGTAATTTCTTATCAGAAGCGATGATAACATGTTTGAGTGAACTTGTAGAGTTTCTATTCACGAGATTCATTAAAATTTCGTAATGTTTTTGTTTCCGAAATACTTCTGGAGCAACAATCGCTTTGACTCCAACTTTATTCAAACAGTATTCAAGTTCAGGAAGTTGATAAGCTGGGTTTAAGGCCACCTTAAGGAAAAACATCAAAGATTTATCAAGAAATCATATTTTATTATTTTAACATACACAGACTAGTCCACTTCTGGCAATAGCAAGCATTGTGATGTACCAAAATTCATAATTTGGTGACCAAATGCCAACACGGTCGCCTTTTTGAAGACCTAAGTTCATAAAACCAGCCGCAAGCTTGTCAACCTAAAACAAAATGTTTGAAGATTTTCTTCAACCTTTCGAATGTTTCCACAAGTTCATACTTTGTATAAAGTCTCAGAAAATGTCAGTCGTGTCCTTTCATTGCATGATATTATTGATTCTCTATCAGGATATTTGAGAGCTGTTGATTTAAGAACCTGACCTACATTTAAGTATTGAAAAGGTTCACTACCAAAATTATGAAGATAACTTTCCTTAGTTGAACATCTAGAAAGGTAGAAATTATTCAAAATGTTAATCAAATCTTGTTATACATCATAAGTTCCATTAACAAACTTCCGTAAAATATCTGGCTTTGATTGAAACTTTAGTTGTAAAAGTTTCTTGTTGTACTTTGAAATTCCCAAAAATCTCATAACTTTCCGTCAAGCTGAACAACTTATGCTTACGAGATCTGCTAATTAACTGATTACGTACTTAAAATCATTTTCGTTTTGAAATTATGAGTGTCTAAATAATGTTCTTCAAAAGCTTTCTTATCATAACCACTAAATTATCGACTTTATATTTGCCCTTTAAACTAAATTAATCTTGTTGTTTGACATTCTTTTCATTTAAATTCATTTAAAATCGTATAAGAAGAATTACCAAAAAAGAATTATTCGGGTAAGGGTAAGAAGCATAAGGATCAATAAAGTCATGATTCATGATTGATATTTCTAATAAAGTTTTAATAATAAAAAAAAATCATTCATCCAACACCTACTCGAGTTTATCGATTGAAAACGTTTTTCTTCATCTCAGCAAAATTTCTTCAGATCACGTTCCTTTGATGAACATTTATTTCTGTCTTCAATGTCTCAGATCACTCTTTCTTCAAAACGAAAAATAGATCACGTAGCTTGTGCTTGATGATTTTTAAAAGTTATTTTATTGCCATAATTCTCAATCATTAAGTATTTCATGAATTTTAAAGATTCTCCTAAAGAAGTTTTTGTTAACAATTTATGACATTTATATAAAATTAGAGAATTGAAAAGATGACTCAAATTAAGAAGCATGTTTCGAATGAAAATCAAAAGTCAGATTCCAAACTGACATCTGTTAGAATATAAAATTCACTTGAATTCTCTTGAATAACTTATTCAGGTGACAACAAAGATATTCTGATCTGACTCTTTGTTTTTATTTTGCCATTGGAAATTATCTAATGGAAAAGAAGACATTCGGATTAAACAATAAATAAACCTGACATCTTCTCTTAGGGTTTGATGGAACTCGTACATTAACTTGAAAAACACATTTCCGACTGTAATGGAAACGAGAATTTTTGAAGCGTAGAATAAAAAGCAAGTTGAACTTAACTTCTCTCGTTAAAAATACACAAATTGATTACAGTAGCGGTCTTCGGAGAGTTCTTAATTAAATAAACTCGCCGTCCAAAAATATTTTCATTTAATTTTATTTCCAATTTCTATTGCGTTAAAACCAGATGGTGGTGAACAAACAGAAACGGAAAAAAAGAGAAAACTTTTCCTATCATCCTTGAAACTCAATTTCGATTGAGTAGAATCTTGTTGAGGGCAAATGTTCTAGAAATAAATCCTCAACTTGAAGTTGAAACGAAAGAAAAGGCGGAAAATCACCGAAGTGAATAATTGAGAGAATCTTTGGGAAACTGTCAAGGCGTAATGATTTTTCACTGAATCCTTTAGCAATCGTAAATGATCCCTTTTCCGGGGAGAAGCTTTCTGTAATTGATGGATTGACTAGGACGACGGGTGAAAACTGAAAAGGAGTCGGCAATTTGCTACGGATATCCTGAAATTACATTTATACGTAAACATACGGATTACAAGAGCTTGCAAATAATTTGTTGATGCAGAATAATTTAGAAAATTGTTGCTTCGTTCTCCTTTAAGGTTTCCTTTTATTTCACTCAACTTGTTTTAACATTCTGATCCTTGCCCTACATCCATCTTTCCTTGATTTTTGATCACTTTAAGATACTTTTCGAATCACCTAAACTTTAGGATTAATACAATTCTCTTTTTTTTGTGAGGAACATCTGCGACCATCAACAATTTTTTAAAAACAAGTCACATGTAACGTCAACAATTTTTCACAACATAACAATTTTTAATGGATTTATTATTAATAATTTCTGAAGTGTTGAAAAGATTTTATAGTTTATCACAGGTTGTAGTAGATTAATTAATAAAATATTACGAAAAAAATTGTTTTCATATGGCACACGTAGCAAGTTGAAAACTCTTTTTAAGGGAGAAGCTAAAGTTGATATCATGCAACGGAAGATTGTTCAAAGAAACTTCAATAAAGCAATAATTTCACTAATAAATCAAGGCAATTTGTGCGATATCGATTAACGTTTGAGTTTGATTCTTTATATTTTTCTGAAAGGTTTTGTTCCTTTCAGTTCCTTCTCTTTATGTATGTTCGTACATAGATTTCATAATTGTACAATTACGGCTGCTCAGCTGAAGGTTCTTTGATTTATGAGCAATCGTTTGTTATCGGAAAATGAAAAACTCTCCTGCCCGTTATTCATATATTGATCGATGTGAAGTTTGCATACTGTTGGAGGATGCTGCCTCTGATAGAATTCTTCTGGCAACAAAATATTTCAGAGCACTCTCAAAAATGAAACAGAATCAAATTCGTATACACGAAAAATCATATTTTTTTAACAATTCTCCTACCTGAGGCAACATCTGTAAAATAAAAAAAAGAAACATCAAAAACATGAATTGAAAAAATCGTTTATTATTTTTATTGATGGATGTGGAAGTATTTGGATCACACGTGGCAATTTTGGTGATTATTAAATCAAATCTCGCCTTGAGTGCTCATAAAACGTCGAGTGTGCACATTAATGCTTTTAAATTAAGAGATGAGTGTGAGTTTTTATATTAATTTGGAGGTATTATTGACTTGTCTGTCATCTTAAACGAACCTCTCAATAGTTGAAATAAAGTTTATTCAGCACATTTATAAATTTGAATAGAACAAGAATTCATTGAATTCATTTTTAATAATTGTCATCAAAAAATGATTCAGGGCCAAAACAATAATCAGCAGTCAACAGTAGGTACATAAGTAGCTTAATCATAAAAGAATCTATAATAAATCTCCAGATACAAAAATCAATTGATAAATGAATTGTAACGACGATGTCGTTCAATATTGAAGGCAATTCAAAGCATGACGATATGAGAATCTAAGAAATGATGACTAGACTGTTTGTGCTGTTTCGAGCAGATAATTGGGTGGATTTTGGTAGCAAGAAATGACTGGGAGCAGATGACTTATGTTATTAAATCAATGACGTAAGTAATTTTTTTTCTATTCGATACAATCGAGAGTGATTTCAAGTGATTTAAGCATTTTTTTGCCTAGCATAATTTTTGTGTGTTTTCGCTTTCGTCGATAATGAGATAAGGAATGTTTTATCATTACATTTCCGACTTTTCTATCTGATTTTTATTTTATTTTCGTGTAATAAGACATTGTCAGTGAAGCATTTCACTTTATTTTAATAAAGCTTTTTGAACGAAATATTTATTGTATCCATCCCAATTGAATTGTCAAACGATTGTTATTGAGACACATTCGACCAGAGAGATAAGAGAAAGGTGAAATTCAATTACAATCTTCCAACCTCCGTCACATCGTGAATTATAGCTGAAAACATAAATCTACACTCAACAATGAATGCTTTTGGGATAAGAATAATACTGCAATATGTGTCGGAAATTTAGTTGCCATAAAAAGCTTTATTACTTGTTTGAGATAAATCTATATCAAAAGACATAAAATATTTTCATTTCCCAATTTTTTTTTTCACTTTTTCATGCTTAAAACAAGATCATTCATATCTTAGTTAGATATTCGGTCATAATTTAACACCTTTGTAATAAAATTCTTTTTGTTACGTGATTCAATTATTTTTGTTCTTTGTAACATTTTTATGCAGATGCGTAAAACATCATTCATAGTAAATTTAAACAACGTGATTCAGAACTGAAAATTATAAATTATAGTGAATGAGCATCAAAACTCTTCTTAATTGTAAAGTATTACTTTACTAAAGTTAAGCTCAACTTAAAATGTCTTAATCATTAAAATGTCGTAGACGATGAGGGCGCAACAAAAAATTCTTCTTAATACGTTTCACTCGCAACCACAACAGCCTAAAGGCTTTGTTATTCTTATCGTATCATCGGAAGAAAAGCATGAATAGAAAAATAACCTCAAGTTATGAAATAACACAAAAAAATTCTTTTATTACATTTTTGCCAAGGGAATAAAAATTTTCCTTCAGCTTTTTAACTTGAATAAAAAGTTTACATGAAATTCAACGCTGTTGTGTATATTTTTAAGCTCCAAAGTCATGAAAGAAAAGAATTTTCCGCTTGTTTGATACAAATACGTATATTTCAGAAATATTGCCTCCCAAAAGCTCATTATATATTTTTTCTTCTTTTTTTTTAGTTATTCCTCCCACACACAGAGATGAATTGAGAGTGGAAAAATGTCTATGTTAAATGCAAGATTGTTTCCTATTTGATATTTGTGCTGCACAATTTATTCCATTTGTTCACTTTTAATATCTGCTGGAGATATTCATGTATGTGCAAATATTTTACAAGTGTCGCATGTGCTCTTAATGGGCTTGAGAGTTATTTATTCGCTTTTATATGGGAAGTTAAGTCTGTCGTATTTTCAAGAGATTTCCTTTTATAACCCTGTAGAGTTTTTTAAGTAGAAATTATGAAAATTTCTATTACGAATTCACTTCTGAGTTAAATTTGATCATGAAATAATTGACAGAAGAAATTACAACATTTTTTTATCATTCTGCGGTTGGAAACATTAAATATCATTTAAAATTATGATAAGAATCTTCTACATTAATTCATTTCTGAGTTAGAAATTCTCTCGAAATACGAAGGTAGGAAAGTTTAATGAAGTGAAGTTTTCTTTCCACGAAGCTTTATTGTCCAATGCAAATTATATTAATTTAAGTCTTCAAGAAATATTTATTTGCTCCTTGAATAACGACAAAGAACATTAATCATAAATTTACTCAAATGAAGCATAAAAGGCAATTTCCATACCATTTTATGAAAACTTCTCTGTTCTAAGGAAATCATTAATATTTAATAAGATGAATGAATTCATTAAGTGTCGAATAAATGGGGAAAAGCCTATTTCAGAAGTCATCATGAAAATGAAATATATTAAAGTACAATGTACAACAGAAAACTTTATATTTATTTCTATTACGACCCATTACAAGTTAAAACTTTTTAAAACATACCAACCAACACTTGTTAAGTATGACTTAACATTAACTCATTTAAAAATAAAGTTTCACTTGAATAAAAAAAGAGAATAAAAAAATTAGAACAGAAGTCATGATATTTACTGAAAAAAAGTTAACTAAAATTTAATGAATGCCGCAAAAAAAGAGTGAAACTACCAAGGTTTGGTCAACAGTAGTAAAAGCTATTTTTAGGAATAAGGAAACAGTCAGAAAGGAGTCGTAGCAAACAACGATAAATCAAAGTTTTTTATTATAGTGACTAACATAGTAAGCTCATAGATTTTTTCATGTATGATTTCTTATACATTTTTCTTCTCCCTCTCGTAATCGTAGCGTTTTAAGTTTAAAGAGATTTTTTAAGATTTAAACTCAAAGTTTGTCCTTTATTGATGATTTATATAAATTTACATCACGCGATGTTACATGAATAATTTAGAAACAATTGATGGGATCATGGTGACCATTCGTTGACATGGCGATGAGTTATTTTTCAATGTGCTGTCATAAAACTAAATTGTCTGTTATTATCAAAGGGAATCGTACAGGAGAAATTGTCCTATTTAAATTTGTGTTAAGTTTTAAATTTACATAGGCCAACGTTCGATGTTTTGATATCAATGAAATTTTAATGAAATTTTTTTGTTTTTCTATATAATTAATTTTGTAGGACTCAATTTGTCTAAAACTGGGAACTGAACTTAATGAAGGTGAATTCAGAAATCCTTAGTGGTATTTATAGTTTCTATGGAGTTCTATTAAAAAATGTATGAACGAAAGAAATTTAATTTGAATTTGAATTGCTTACTTATATTTCCATAATTGACTATGTAGAGAAAAAGCATTGAGCAGCCCATAGTGTGACAAAATGGAACAATTCCAGCGCGTTTCGGTTGGCAATATTTGTGTTGCCATCGCCAATATCCTCGGCTGCAAGCTCCAATGAAAGCGCTTGGTGTCTTATTTCGTCGTTTAAACCAATCTAAAACCTCACCAAGTTTTAATTGACCGAAAGGAGTATCAGCTGAATTGAGAAATATGAATTTGTGTTGACAAATGTGAAAAACTGCATAAAATTTATTTTATTGCACAGCAATTTTCAAATATTTACTCACGTTTTCCATAGTACCGTGCTGGATCGTAAACTCCATGAATTTTTGGATTATACTCAGGAGGATAATCACCGAATGCCATGTTTTTGATTTCTTGATTTGAGAAAATTCAGCAGAATTTATTTTTTGGCCAACTGCGTTGCTTTAAATGTTAAAAACTCTTAAACAGCAATAATTAAATTAACGCTAGATGGCGTAAAACTAGGTTAATGATTAATGACATTGGATATGATCCGTCATTGATCATTAATTTTGAACCATCATCGTGTTATTTAAAAGTTCATAAAAGAAGCATAGAATATGTTATGAACTCGAGAAACAGGAAACAGAAAAGCAAAGTATTCCACTTGTTACCGTGTGATATCTAAATAACACGATACGTGACAGCAGTAATGCTTTTATAAAATTTGCGAAATTTTATTATTAAATTATTTAAAGGTATGTGAATAGACTTTCAAGGCACTGGTGTTAAGTTGTTTACTAGCAGAGTTGCGTTGAAAGCACGCTCATCAGGTTTTGCTTACAAAATTACGTAAAGTGTAAAATTGTAGTGCCTGTTGACATTTGAAGCTTTTGATTCAAATTTTCTCCTTTATCAAAGTAAATGTCTGAAAAATTTCAAAGATATCTATTAAAAGATGGTTAACAATCTTTTCATGAGCATTTACAGAATTGATTGTTATTTTACAAGTGGAAGAGTCACATGCGTAGCATTTCGAATAAACACAAATATCATCATTAAATGAAAAATTTAAAAATAGAAAATTGTAAAACAAATAAATATAATCAAAAGAAACATGTTTCGACTTTTTGTGTTTGATGATTTGACAAATGGAATATGTCAATTCAGATCGTCTACGTTGAAGATTTGAAACTTGAGATTATCATGTATGAAAAATGATGAACAATGTGAAATATTTTTTTAATTCGATTTGATTCCGTGTTTGCATTAGGGGACTTAAAGATTTTATTATCCATATTTTGTTGAATGAAGTCATTTTTTTTATTAACTTTCTTAAGTCTTCAAGGAAGGTTTTAGGACTTTGAAAGAAAAAAAACTTAACGAATGAAATGAAAATGTGCTATTTATGACTTTGCTATAAACTTACCAATCGCCTTGTGCAAGAGAAAAAAAAACTTTTATATATACTTCATATATTTGTTTCTCTTAGTTTATGGTGTTTGCTAAAGTTTTCACTATACATGTATCTAAATTTATGTACGTTAGAAGAACCAAACCCTTAGTCATTAGTAAATGAAAGACGAAAATTTTCTCCTTCTTGTGGTCTTGTGCTAATTAATGGATATTGTGTGATAATGTTGTAAAAATGTAGTCTTTCAAAGAAAGTAATCAAAGAAAACCTAAAAAGCAGTCCATAAATCTTCACCACTTTGTTCTCGATGGACTATGAGGCTTTGCTAAGTTTTAATAAGGGAACAAGTAATCGATAAATTAGGAGAATCCGAAAATCTTATTTCTTAAGAAAAAAGGAAACTGACGGATGTCGAGTGAAAATATTATTTAACGTTTATTTTTCCAGCGAGCAAACATTAAATAAATATTTTGAAGACGTTGAATGTTACAGAAAATTACTTAAATTAATTAAAGGTCTTACAAACAATGAACGGTTTTATTTATGCTGAACAATGTTTACGATACGTAAGGAAGAAAACATTGAAAACAGCAGGCGTGAATTTATTTATCTCCCTCCATACATGATGGCATGAAGATAAATAAAAAATAATTGAATGAGATAAAAATGAGATGTGAAACACAAACAAGTGATTCAATAAATTATGATGTTGATGATTATGCTAAATATTAAAGACATCTCTGAGTGAGATGACATAAACGATTCGTTTCCAGACCTTTTCAAGATTGTATTATAACTTTTAATGTAAAGGAAAAAGACGTCATAGGAAATAATTTTTAATAAAAGTTAAAGTAAGATAAATTTCGGTGTAAATTAAAAAAGATCTCTGAAACGATTTGAAGCATGAAGCAAAGTTCACAAATAAATAAAGATGAAATGTTTGCTTAAAAGAAGCTCAGTTTGTTGGAAAAGATTTACATCTGACACTTTTCATCTTGTTCTCAAGCCCACTCTAGCAGGTCTGATGTTTATTTAAGAATGTGATAGAAACATGATTTAGGTTAAAATTGTTTAAGATTTATTTTAGATTCAGATATGCTACCGTTTCTTGGAAAAATAACAAATTTGAATATTGTCATGGCCAGTAGCGCAACAAATTTTTGTGAATATTTTAAAACTTTTGTCAAATGTGATTAATACAAGCAGTCAAATTCTTTGAATTGTGTCGCTTGTAAGATGAAGTGAAGTAAAATTTTTATCTTTAGCGAAAATCATTAGTGACATCATTCATAATTAATTAGACTTTAGAATCGTCTTTAAACTCTACACTTTGCTTTGGGATTAACTTTACGAAGCAGAAACATCCAATATTAATGTCTGTGATTAAGAGTCAATTTTATTGTACGAATCTTAATTCCATTAATGGAGTCTGTAGAATGGAATGAAGAGAACACTTGGGTCCTATAATTTAAAGTTATGAACAGCGTTTGCATAAATTTGTAAAACCTGTTTTCCCAGCTATTCGCATCTGAAACGAAAAGCTGTAATAAAAACCAAGATACTTAAGCATTCGGTGTTGATTTTAAAGGTGTAATTTCATAAGAAATGTCATATGATTTCATTCGTAAGACATCTCATTTAATTCTAGTCAAAATATCTATCCATTTGAATATTTTAAATATGAAATTATCAAAGCGCGGCGTTGATTGTAATTAAGTGACATTTCTTCATCCATAACCACTAATAATTATGTGCAAATTCTTGTTCTTTACCCTCTACAGTATAATCATCATGCTTTGCACTTCATTTTACCAATTAAAGAAGTTCAAAAGATAACTTGGTAAATGCTCCATAACAGTCAGCCACATTGCATTTATTCAGTTCTCTCTCACTTAAAAATATTCTTATAATATTATTATAGAAAACTTTCACAAAAAAGGATCTAAATTGACTTAAAAGATTGTATATTGCATAATAGATTCGTGGTGTTTATGTATGCAGAACATTTTATGCAGCTTTCATTATAGAAAAGAGATTTTCATCCATTGGGAAAATGTGACATAAAATCTCCAACAAACTTTTGCAACAAACTGGATTAAGTCATGAAAATCGATCGAAAATTTGTATAATGCTTTCACGTTAGTGAATCTGTCTCGAATCTAAACACTTAATCCTTTATTTCTTTTTTAATAACCCAAAGTGACGGAAAGTAAAAAGTATGAACTTTGTGCACGATTAAAACTTTTTTTCTAAAGTTTCTTTATGTTTTACAAGTTACAATTTAAAAATAATTTCACATATTGTTTTTGTCCTTTTTTCTTTTTTCAAACATTTTGATTCATTCTGAAGGAAATGTATAAAAGTTTGTTGACAGTTTGTTACTTTGTATGTTAGAATCTTGCTGGAAGCTACTTGATGTCAGCTTCAATAGTTAAACAGGTTCAAGTCCCTTTACTGATGCAGAAATGAAATATTGAGAAGGCAATTACTTGATAAGTGTAGCAACAACTTAAGCTATCGTCATGTCTCTGAGCGTTCAGTATTTGACGCTTTCTATGATGGATTGCAGGAAGCTTTGTTTAGTGACAAACATCGCACCATTTACGTGCACAATCTTTATTACAAATGCGCATAATCATATCGTTGAAAATTAAAAAACAAAAACTTTTCAACATTTTTGAAAAGATTAATGGCATCGCATGATGAATTTGATTAAGGTTCACGAGAAATTATCCATGAAAATAAAATATAAATTACCAAAGAATATCACACCACTGTAAATGCATGAAAGCTCGAGCAAGATTTATAAGGTGTTATTAAATCTGCTGCTTGAAAAAAATTTCTGGGGTAAAAATTTTATCACTGGTAACATCATGGTGCTAAACACAGCACATAAATTTCTCCTGATGTTGTTTTCACTTTTTTTCTTCCTTTCCCTAGTCAAGTGTTTTTGAAGAGATAAAAATGTAAAATATTATTCTTCAATGACTTTGTAATAAATTAACGTCCAAGTTTTTGTTGTGTGCAATGTTGATGGTGAAATGAGAATCTGCGGATGGAACAAAGACTAATACCCTCGGCGGAGATTTATTAAAGTTGCAGAAAAAAATTGATATTAAGAAGAAAAAAGTGAGTAATGCGTTTAATTCACTTTGCAACAATAAATTGTGAAGACATTTTGATTTATTCTCTTAGAAAATTGAAGAGTTTCGGGCGATTAAGAAACATTTATAAAATATCAAATTACAAAAGTTTTAAATTATTCAAATGTGTCTATTTTATAGAGATGGAATGTCGAATGAAGCCGAGAGCCTTGTCGATGAGTAATTCTTTTCCCAACATGAATCTTTCAGGTCACTGATTAGAGTGGGCGATTTAAGACGAGTGGGATTAGACAGTGCCGAGGATTTACGAGAGAATATCTAATTGAAAATTTTTTGTTTTCTTAAAAAAGAAAAAATTATATCAGATAACAGCAAATATAAAATTTTCATGTAAATTTATTCCACAAAGCGCCGATTCTATTTTTACCTGCAGATTCGATTTTTTTTAATGAATTACAAGATTCTTTTAAGCGTAAATATTTTCAGATTCACTTACCAATTTGCTTGTTTATTAAAAAAATATTATTTCATAAAACATGTGTCGTCTATCAATTTGAAGCTGAAAGGCTAAGAAGAAATTTCTTGTACTTAACTTCAAATTGGCTTAGAAGAAAACTTGTTGGCTTCATCCCTTATTCACCTTAAGCATATGAAAATACTTACCACAACACTTCAAAAGCTTTAGCAGTATTTAGAAATGGTTTATAAAGCAAGAGTGCATTTAATAAAAAAGATCCTCCCATAAAACCAAAATGTCGATAAGGAATGTGAAGCTGAAGAACATTAGGAAATGGAGCATCATAAAAAGTAAACTCATAAAGCAACAGAGAGCGAGAATTTTTACTGTCCACTTGCTTTTTAAGTGTTATTGCGTTAATAAATTAAAAGAAAATTGCTGAAATGTATCATCATATGAAATTTATCAAACAATCTACATTTTGGTGACAAGCTTTTCGTATTTTACTTACTTCGTTATTCATTCATTATGATTATATGCTTTCAACTTTGAATTAACTTTTAATTTGTTATAATTTATACGATGTTTAGGTTTCACTTGTGTTGCTTTATGTAACAAAACATTTAACTATAGCTTTTAAATATTTTAAAGCTTTTTTTTGTATAAAATTTGTTTTATAATTTTTGATAACATTAAAATTTTACTTGTTTGTTGTTCTTATCTTAATTTGCAATGATTTTAATGTGATATCATTTTGAATTAAGAAATTTCTTGGAATTCGTTATTTTCATCAGTTTAAAATTGATTCAAATTATAGCAAATCACTCGATTGGTTGAATTTTCATATTTTTAATTATTGATAGCAAATTCCTTTGAATATTCATCCAATTATAGAGCTTTCTACATAAAGAGCTTTCTTCAAGCTTCGTAAGAAATTCTTACAGAATTTACATCAAGGATGAACATGGTAGAATGTGCATGTTTTTATGATCCAATGTGATAATATGTATGCGTATGCGTAATGTTCGTCAGAATTTTATGATGCTTCATTCCATCAAGCTATTTGCTAATCTTGTAGAAGCAAATCAGTAGCATAGAAAATTGTTTTGATTTATTACGTGGGATGAGAGAAAGTGGAATTCTCTCCTTTTATTACTTAAGCGAATCTTCATAAAAATCATGTGGGTCTATTCGATGTTGAATTATTATAAGATCATCAATGAGCATAAAAAGTAATGTATCATAAAATTGCTGGTACTAAAGTCTCTCTTCGATATCTGCCTTTCAAAGTGCATTTGTAAGGGGAAAAAGGTTTTTCAACAGTCATTAAATATTTGTTTCAAAGAGAGTAACGTAAATGGAAGAACATGAAATGCTTGTTCATAAAAGCAGACATCGTATAAAAAGTTTATTGTCCACTTGTTAAGAAAAGCTTTTTCTTAGTTTCATCTTTTTTCTTTTTTTTTCAAAATAAAAAATAAAATAACTTCAAGAACATAGTTTTGAGATTCTCCGAATGAAATTTCCAGTACAAGTTTTCATGCAATATTCGAGTAAGTAAATATTCAACTTTCAGTAAAGAATTTTCCAATCTCTTTTCCGCTCAGATTCCATTCCATTAGTTCATTATACATGACTCATTACCATTCAGAATTATGAAAATTGAGACTTGTCTTAAGGGCGTTGAAGTGATGAAAGCTTGTTGAATAACTTTTCAGTTTCATATCGTCGGTCTGCAAGCAGAGATTGCTCCTTTTGAGAATTTGAAGACGCTTATTTTTTCAGCTTTTTCATCTTCAGAAATATCATCTTTACTGGATATTTTTACGATTTGCTTTCTTGAATAAAATGCAAATGAGATGAGAGCTTTTTTTTGATCCGCTTTTGGCGAACATTGAAATCTCCAGCATGCAAAAATTCATAAGATTTTACTTCTGTTGCCTTAAAATATGTTTTGAATTCATTTTCTCCCTCACGAACTCAGATCTTTCTCTGTTTGCACGCCAATGACCTATAAAGTAAATGTAAATTGCTGGATACTTTTACCGTCAAATAAATAAAAAGAAACCGCATTTTTTATTTCCATCTGCTATCTTTCTATTTTTTTATTGTAGAAATTTTACGAAGCAAAAATTGAGCATATTTTGTGCTACGCTTCAAATATTCCTATGAAAAGCTTTCAATAAAAACAGAATTCTGTCCTTTGGTATTATGAGAGTCTAAAGCGGCTTCACAATATTGACTGAAGATTTGAATATAAACCCCTAAACAAACCATGCCCAAATAGTCTCCTGAAAACTGTTTTCTCAATCGTCGAACCTCATAAAAAAGATTTTGTGGAACGTTGGAGATTGATTCAAAAGAAACCCTTTAAAAAAAATTTGTTTTCCAAGGAAATGTTTTCATCATTGTTAGCTAATATTTATAGATCATTAGTGTGTAGCTTGAGCCCAATGCTTGAGAGAATTTTTGTTCCCTCAAAAGGTATTCCAAACCCATCCACGACACTCAGAAGCTCCAAAGAGAGCTTTGAAATGCTCAGACAAAAAGACATTAAAGTTTAATGTTATGAGTTTTAATCAAGTTGTTCACTCATGCAGAGGGATCCAAAACTTTACCATAAATTCAATTATGCTGATGGTATGTTTTTATTATTCAACAGAAGAAGGTGGCTTCAAAGACGATACAAAAAGTTGTGTTAAAATGTTATGCGAAAAGTTCTTTCTTTTATTATTATTTTTCTAAGCAATTTTAAAACTTTGAGGAAATCATTTTCGAAAGAAATGTTTATTTTACTTTGTTTCTTTAAAGGAGCAAAAAAGAAAAAAAAATCAATAAAAGGTTATTAAATATGAGAATCTCGAGCATGCATATCTTTGTATGAAACCAATGCAGACACTACTAAATTACAAAGTTTGCCTTCATGTTGGTTTATAAACAGCATTCTTCCCATTCAAATTACGACGTCGAATGTTTTCCTGATAGCAATCTTTATTACTCGCGCGTAATGTAAACATATTTGCTATGTAATAGAATTTACAGTCTTTCAGCCAGCTTGCAGGTAAAATAAAGTTGAGATTGGGGGAGGTAAAAGCTTCTTGTATATGAAGTACATAAATTACGTTATTCCATTCATTATTGTGTCACACAATGTGAAATGACAACAACCCATTCAACTGTAATTGCATAATCATGACAAAAAGAAAATGAGAAAATTATAGTTTTCGTTTTTGCTATTAAATAATGGAGCTCAGAACAGTTTTTACTAAGACGAAATTTCTGAAAATTCTAAACAAAAGAGTTTTTCATTTGGGAATACATTTGCATATTGTGCAAAGTGTTTGAAATAAAAACTTTACTTTTGTTCAGGTTCGTTCAAAGAAAGGCTTCTGGTTATGTTTGGATATATTATTTTAATATGTTCACATATTATACAATAGGGTTTATCCAAATTTTATATTTATTTTCAATTTTTCGTTTCAAACTGTACACTCCCTGATTCCTTCACACAACATGAAGCTTAATCGGATCAAAATTTAATATTTCACTGCTGGCTATGACTCATAAAATTCATATCAACATTAAAGCTTATGTATTTAATGTTTTTCAAACAGTTTGCCACTGGTGTCGCCGACTTGTGAGGCGAAACTAAAGGAGAGAAAAGAAATAAAAATAATTTTGATATCAAGAGATTGTGAATGCTACGTGAATCGAAATGTTTAAGTTACGTACGTCATTGAGTTACGTCAAAATTGTTTTTTACGGAGAGAAGCAACTGAAACTGAGCTACAAGTTCAGTGAGAGATGTCAAGAGAGATGTGGAAGTGAGAGGGAAAGACATGACAATGAAACAATGAATATTGAATGAACAACGAGTGGAAATCAGAAATTAACGCCTCTATTTTTAATAAAATCGTTTAGTAATTAACACATCGCTTTGGCCTGATTTATCTAAGTAAACCTGATGGATTTTTCTAATTAAATTCTTATAAACATAAAGAGGAATTTTTTAACACCTTTTAAGAATCTTTTCGCAATATAATAAATGATAATAACAACAGGTTATAAATTTGCCGAAAATGTGCTTTAATAATGACTTTCCGTGTTCAAAAACATCGCGATAAATTATAAAACCTTCACCGCGAGCGTTGAAATTTAATTTCAAATATCTGCACGCGTAAAAGCGTGAACTCGAAGTATTATAATTGGCGCAGAGGAGTTTTTAGCTTGAAGGTAAGCGAAAATAAAAATGCACAACGTGATGTTGTTTTTTGTGTATCCAAAATTTATAAAGGTATCATCTTCCTGGCCCTTCAATAGGGACTGTAGACATCATGTTTTGTCAGGTATAAAGAGCAGCAAATTTTAATTCAAAAACTAAATGAAAAAGTTTCAAAATTGAAAATTCTTTTTGATTTTCTGTAGTTAAGAAGATTTTTGAGACTTGTTTTATCATTTCTCGTTCATTTTTGCATGTTTCAAGAAATATCCACGGTATTTATGAATCAATCATGTCTTATCTCCATATAACGAGCAGCAATCTAAAAAATATTTTATTATATGTCTTTACTATATTTCATCGAGACATTGACATCAATTAGAACATAATAAATTATATTTCATGATTAACCTCAGTAATTCAAAAGGAGAAAAGCTGTTTTATCGCTTCAATGAATTAATCGTTCATACTTCAATTTAACACTCATGTTTTCATATTGAAATTAATTAATTTGCATAAGAAAGTGTCGTAAAAGACTGCATTGAACGATCGTAACTTGTTTGTCATCAATAATTTCATCCTTCAGAGAAAAATGAGCTTAGTTGAATGATTAATTTCCTCAGAGGTCTTGAAAAACGTTCTTGGAAATATAAAGAAAAACATCTTATTCAAACCAACAGAGTAATGCAGGCAAGAGTAAGATTTATAAGGTAATTTTTTAAAACTTTTTATCACAAACCACATCATGAAGTTAAACACAACACATAAATTTCTTCAAATTTCAACTTGAACTGCTTGAAGAAAGATAAAAATGTTAAATATTCCTCATTGGGGATGCTATAAGTTAATATTTCTGAACACCCAATGATCTTTATGACAAAGTGAACAATTGAAAGTCAAATGCAAGGAGCATTTCATTTTATTGCTTCTTCATTCATTTAAAGTTGAATGAAATGCAAAGAGAATGAAAAGTGTCAAAAGAATAAATGAGAAGACGAAAACTGTGCATTCATTGTAATGATGAGTGCGAAAATTACAAATGAATTACAACTCTCGTTTCAACAATGGGAACATTTAATCTTAATGCAGTGCTTTTGTCTAAAGTGTGATGTTTCAGATTTATTCATGTAAATGCAGTTTCAAGTTGATTCATGGAACATTTAACATTCATTACAAGCACGAGTAACAAATGGAAAAGATTTATAATTGAAATGGGAATGCTAATGCATGCTGACGAAATTCAGCTGCAAATGGCTTTAAATGAGACAATTATTTGATATAGTAGCAGATGATAAATTTGAGTTTGCTCATACTTAGATCTACACCACAATTCACAGATAAATACTGAAAGTTTCCTCAAGTTGAATTTTTCTGTGCAGTGGAGGGAATTTAAATTTTAAGAATTTCTTTATTTCAAAGTCTTACGTTTGGTTCAAGCAAATATCTATGTATGTCAGTGATATGATTGAAATTTCTATCTCACATAAATCGAACTCTTAGTGCAAAGAAAAGTTGTCATGAAATTTTAAAGGTTTCTTTCATTTCAATGTTTTTGTCATTCACGTCACGCCTTTTGTGTGAACTGCGGAAGTTTTTTTCCTTCCTAATTTATTGTTTGTTGTGGTTAGACGACGAGAGTAAAGAAATGCAGAGCACATACTGTTAGTTAAACATCTGTACATGAACATGACATTCAAGAAAGTTTTACTCATGTAGAATGAATGGTAAAGCGAAGTTTTTCATGCGTTAAAATGTTATCTCGACTCGAGAAGCAATTAGCGAATTTTTCTTAGAAACGCCTGAGTTGAAAGGTAATTTATCCGTTTTCGTGTAGATTTGCATAAATTTATTTCCATTTTAACCATAAAATAATGTTATTCAATGCGATTAAACAAAATGAAAGTCATAATAAAATATAAAATGAAATGAAGGTAAGAAAAGCGATGAAATGTGTACGTTCATAAACATTCTTTCGAGTCGATTAATCTTTTTTCTTGCTTTATTGAAACAAGAGCATGATTCAATAATTTGTTTCATCAGTTCAGGTCGATTTGTTATCAATAAAAGTTATAATATGTATGAGAGTAAAAATGTTCACGTAAGAAAGCAACATAACGACTTCGAGAAATCATCAAGACAAAATTACGTGATTTACTCTTTAACGTGCATCCACGTCTCTGTAAATAAATAAGCCGAGACATTAAGAGATGGACGGTCATCAGTTGAACGTGATAAGAAGGATGTTGCTTTGAAAACTCGAATAGTCAGGATCCTTATGCAGTCAGGAGTGGGCATTGAGAAAATGGTCGAAAATGTAAATTTCAAAATTCACTTTTGGATCGGAAATTGAACATCCAGCTCTGAACATAACAATGTTGACTCCTTGATAGTGAAGATTTCTAATAATAGATTATTTTTGGTTAGTTTTTCTTATTTTATGGATGAATAAGAAACAGCCTCCTTGATTCCAAATAAGCAGCATGCTTGGTAAGTTTAATGAATGTGCATGAATGTAAATATTTTCATTGTATTCTGTTGGTTGTTGCATCGTTGTTGAAACTAAACAAGCAAGAAAATTGTTTCCAATGTTGGAATTTAACAATTTTTTCTTATTTCATTAAAAGTTAGTTAAAGAAACTTTTCCAAGTGATTAGATTGATGTAGTTAGACCACTAAATGAGTATCTTCAATCTTTTTCTATTCAACTAGAATTTTTGATGTTAAATTGCATTGAACTTTAAAACATTTTACTGAAAATATTCTACATTAGAAAGTTTCAAAACAATATTAACAGGGATAGGGTTGGATTGAAGAGAATGGAATGACCAATCAAAAAGAACAACAAATTGTAATATCGTTAGAGAAAGATCTAAATTCCATTTGAAGAGTACAATTGAAAGCTTGCTTATTGTGGGATCTAGCAGAAGAACAAGAGAAAAGATAAAATTCAAGAGAGAGAATTAGAAGAGAATTAAAATTAAAATGAGAGAATAAATCAGTCATTTGACAGAGTTTGGAGAGAACAGTTGTGAAAAAAGAACTCGTTGTTTTATTTAGTTTATTTAATTAATTTCAGCATTTTATTCGAAATTTGTTGGCAAGGATCCGACACTTATCTCATCAATTCAATCGGAAAGTAATCAGAATCCATGACCAAGAGCTCAAATATCTTTATACAATTTTTCTATCGTTATAGTTCACCGGAAGTTAACATGAAATGTATAAAATCTGTACAACATTGATCGAACTGACATCAATGATTATAAAACCCAAGTGGGGATTTTGTTCTCATCCTCCAGGATTTTTCTTTTGTTTCGAAGAATACAACAAGCTTTTGCGAAAACTCAATTCAAAAGCAGTGAGATAATTTAATTGTAAACTTGATCGTAAAAGGCGTTAGGATGATCTGAGAGAGACTTTTTATGTGGTTTGACATGCCAGTCTTCTTCCACTTCACTGTATCCGTCTTTGAAAATAAAGGAGACAAAAAAGAAAACTTAATGGTAAAGCTTTCATTTCCTTGCGAAAGTAATTAAATTTTTATCAGATTTCAACTTGAATTAAACCGAATGAAACTGAATTGTCTTACAACGGAATTGATGCTGATTCAATTCTTCCTTCTTTCTTTCCTTTTCTCCCTTCATCAAAATATCTAAGAGAAGAAAAGGAAACGATTGAACATAAAAAAGGATTCCAATCTAACGCAATCGAAGAAAAAGGTTGGAAGGAAGAAAAGAAGGGAGGAGAAATTTATTTCGTGGAATAATTTATCGGAATCACTTTAGCTTGATGGAGAACAAACCTCGTAGAAATTAAACGAGATTTGTTAAATTAAAGATTAATCGTCCGAGTCGTTCTTCTATTCGAAAAGAAAGTCGGAAGGAAACGACGTTGAAATGTCAACAGAGAAAAATCTTGTAAATAATTTCGAGCTCTTCTGTTGATATCTTTTATTTTTAACAGAAAGCTTAAGCTAAGAATTGAATTACCTCGAAGATATTTTTCTTCGTGGACAGTTTTACAATTTGATTGAAAAATAAATATACGTAAGTAAGAAATAAAATTGAATCATCAGTGATGCGACCGCATCCGTCAACGGCTCGCTCTCGACTAATATCGTCGTCTCTCTCGCGCCCAAATGAGCCGGCTCGACGATCGGACTAATCCTAACGGATCCAACCGGATCACCCCTCCTTTTAATATTTATTTTTTTTTTCTCTTAAGACGTTGGCTTCCCTGTTGTTCCCTTCTGCTGAACATTCTTAATCTCGTCTGGAGATTTTCCTTGTAACACAAGTTTATCATCCAACACATTAATTGACTTTGTTCGTTGATCATCAACTCGCATGTCTGATCCGAACTTTCTCTTAAGTGCGTTGCAATGTTCTAAGTCACGCCCAGTGTCGTTTGCTTTTACCATCAAGTCTTTGTCACGAATCCAAGCGTCAATCTTCTCCAATTGATTGTTCAATTATTCAAGAATATCTTGTGCTTCTTCCATACCTTTGCCTTGTGCATCAACAGCTTGAAGTAAATTGTTCCAAACTTCTTGCGACGCGCTTGTTTAAGCACTTTAACTTTCGATCGTCTGTCAACAACTTCTTTAAGACGACGACGAATGTTCGAACTGTCGTAACGGTTCTGTTCAACTTAACGACGACCATGGTCTTGTAACACAACTACCTTCTCATCTTGCTGTCGAATGAGCTTCAATTTCATAACC